ATTCATAATGCGGGAGGGGGGGGGGGGGCAACATCCGACTTTAGGCGAGGGTCTCGGGGCCGCCTAGGCCCCCGACTCTCCTGGGGCTCTAGATCGTCGCAGATGCTTTCTGAGCGATTTCTGGCTAATGAAATTACTCAGCAGGGAAGTTTTAATTCTTTTCGAAATCCCTTACCACGAAAACGCAGTCGATGATGGTTTCCTGTGATGCTGAACTGAACAAATATATGCATAATAATAACAAGGTCGTGGACCACTAGAGGTCATAATTTTTATCCGATTTTGATGAAACTTACAATGTATGTTTATAATCCAGAGATCTCGGTTCCTGTCGATACTCCTGGATTATGGCCACTGATTGTACGAAAAATCACATAGACATACCCACACACACTCCGCCGGGCCTGGGTGTAAACAAGAGTTACAACTAGTGCTGAAGCCGAGGTGTCATAAACATGATGAGATGTCATAATATTCTTTTTTTTAGAAAATTTAACCCACATATTTCCAGTCAAAACAATCAATCAGTTTTTCATGGCTTGACCCACACCATAATATGTTTAAATTCAATATTTAACATGAAGAAAACAAAGCCATAATATCAACGGTCGATAATCTCTCTACTTGGATACAATTGGATTAAAAAGTCCTATCAAAATATGTCAAGGCCTCTTATAGATGGCGCGTGGTTTTATCGTCTGGAGAAGATGACGAATGCTGGGAAAATTTTCAATTCATCATATCTTTGTAAATACTGAACAAAACTTGACCATTTAGACTGACATCTCGTTTAACGCACAAATTGTAGTTTGCAAGTGATTCAACATCCCCTACATTGCGATCAACTGCTTTAATGGATTGATCGTTATTGCCTTTTTGATATTATTATGGTTGGCCGCTATAGGGAAGAGTCAGGGAACCCAAGCAATTTTGTTCTCGACGGTTCGGGTTCCGGCTTAACTTACATGATACACTTTTCGATTAATCATTTACCTTCCCTAAGATGCACATATCTACCAAGAACGGATATTTTTTTAAAAATCGCCCCCATGCGATGTCGATAAGTTGTTTTGGACAGAACTTTGGACATATAAATATGTAATCTTTGCTGTCGATACGGTTGTTTAGTGAGCATTCTCTAATCCTTTGATGCTCCAGAAACTGACAAAAGCGGGAACTCGTCTTTCTGACTTTCGAAGCAGCCATAGACAGGTTACGGAAAGAGTCAGACATTTTGGAGTCAATGTAGAAGTTTTTACCAAGATAGCTTAGCTTGGCCTTTTGCCTTTTATAGCTAAAACACTATGTCTTTCAATATATAGAACTGCATTGGACAACCATTCAAATAGACGGTTGGTTTCAAAGACAAGACGCAAAACATTTCCTCGATCAATTATTACCAGGCGATTCCTAACTGACATTAATTAAAATTTGAGATCCCCGGTTTTATTATAGAAAACGAATTCATGGGATGTTTCAATAAGAATTTTCCAGACTTATCTTTATTTAGGCAACGCCGTGACCGTATGTCATGTTGCGGGTCATTATCATGCTGGACCTTTTTCTTAAAAGAACAATTTAGATTATCGGAAAGTAAAACAAATGTTATCAGCCAAAGCATTGTAGTCAAAAAGGTGTTAATGGCCGTGCCATTGAGTCATTGGCTAAGCGAATGACAAGTCTGGACCATTATTATTTTACAAAGTGTAGGGCATTTTGCAGGTCTTTTTTGATCTGGGGAATTCGAAACATAGAAAAAACTGTATTTTAGATCGCCTGGGCGAATGCATGAAAAACTCACCTATTTGTTTTGATTATGAGATTAAAGGTTACCGCATTTAGGGTGTTACATGAAATTTTTCTGCTATGTTGCAGCTAATGATTTGACAGTCATGTTATTTAAAAGATGATCGTATCTTTTGAAGCACTAGTTTTTGTACTCTGTGCAAAATTTGATGAATGGATTACATTCGAATACAGTCTATTAAATTGTTTAATCCTTGAGAGTTACATAATATGATTCCTTAATGAAATGAAATGCGGGTTAACGTCCTATTTTTCTGCAATGACCCTTATATCGGTTATATTAACATGTTCTTAAATTTTTATAAACCAGATAAAGTGACCTGTTTTTGTAGATACTTTTTGTGTTAATCTAAACAAAATATATATCTCTCCGTCACTAATTGTGTTATTGGATAACTCAATTCAAGCAAGTTATATTTCTTAATAAACGTGATTATTCCATCAAGATAGAATATAATCGAATTCATCTTTATAACCTTTATTAATAAAATGCAAATGGCGATATCGTTAAACCATAATGAAAGAAACCAAGTTTAAGCTTAATATATGTATATAATAATCTATGTAATATTGTTCCCATCACCGCGCCTTCTTCTTCGTCATCTTTATAATATAAAACCTATAATATAGTAATAATAATAAATCTACCACAGCGAAAATACTTAATGTTTCTCCTTTATTTACGTTTAATCTGTATCTAAAAGTAGTTTATGGTTATTTTATCAAAGTATTTCATGGTCGACCGGATAATATTACTATAAATTTCATAACGTTGCACAATATCAAAGCGAAGGACTAAATGGAATACCTTTGTACAGCTAACTACAGAATTAATGAACCTTAATTTCCTTATTCAACTTCGTTTTGGCAACTTTGTCCATCATTAATTTTGTATGAAAAACGCACCTATTCCAGTATATTGTGTTTATTTGCAAAAAGAACATCAGACGTATAATGCTTTCAGAATGTCCAAAAAAAATTTTTTTTTTATTTTTTGTTAGTTTTAATATTTGACGAGGGTGTAAAAAATTGGCGAAGTTAAGGTTCAACATATCGATATCCAGAAGTTCAACCAATTTAAATTTTTGTTTAATGATAATAGTCTAGGAGAGAAAGCATCTCATTGTCTAACACCCTTGCAATAATATTAAACATTTCTTCATAACTATCAATAATATTGTCTTAAGTAATTTTGATAAATCCATTAATACTTATTGACAATAAAGTAGGTAAAGACGCACCCCCATGTCTGACTGCTTTTCAAAGCTACGTATTTCATGATCGCTACCAATAATTGTACACACATATCATTTCCTAATATAATTTTCATGTATCTGGCCCTGGTGCCAGGGTCACTGTGAGTCGTGTAGTCGTGTTTCTGATGGAGAATGTCTCTGCTAGTTTGACCAAACTCTGTCTAGTTACCCGATTGGGCATATTTTGTCAAGCCTTTAAATTTAAAACAAAATGAGACATTATTTTACACTTGATGACACATATTATGACTAGATTAAATACAATAGCAAACTAACACAGTTTTGATGAACTTTCAATTTGATTACGAGAAAAATGCATATTATTTAACATGCGTACATTTTTTACAAAATATATATTATAGCTGACATTACACAAACTCTACACCTTCATTTTTATGTATCTGTATTTACTTAGCAGCTGTGAATGGTCGGGTGCCTATAATTTAGTCCGATTTCTGTTTGATATTTTGGGATGTATAACGGTCAATTTTCTATAACAGGTTTCTAAGGTTTCTCAATTGGAGTATTTTTCATCAAGTTTTTCGATGCAATTTGTGAGTTTTTACAGTAAATATATATTGCCAAGAACACGATATTTTTAGTCAGGGTTGGGTCGTTTATAGCAGGAATTGTGTGGTAATTATTTCTATTTATGAAAGGTAGGGAAGGAATGGGGGCTCGGAAATGGGCGTTGATCGTCAACATTCGTGGAAACTCTACGATTCATTCGAGGTCGTCTGCTCTCCGCCAAAACCGTCAACATTTCCGTTTTCGTCTTGTCGCGAAGAGTCACGGGGTCGATTTTCGACGTTTTTCCTCACTAATGGCCCGTAAACGACATTTTTGTGAAAATTGAGACCAGATATTGCCCGAGCGTATTAATGGTCTATTTTATACTTACCCTTATAAACAATATCGTGTTATTACAGTTTCTGACCTTTTATAATCTCTTTATTAGTCAACCAAAGTTTTTAGGTGGTAGGCGAATACCAATTACTGTTAGCCTTTAAGTTTTTTTAACATTTGGTAATAAAATTGGTACAGGGTTTAATGTAATACATTCACGGGCAAGCATTTTGTTATGTATAGGACTATAGGTGGCATTTATTCACACATTTATGAACAAATTTGAAATAAATTCAATTTATTCAAGTCGGGTGGTCTCGGAAATTGAAAGGAAAACGTGTCTCGCGGTGCCACTAGTGCGGCCATGACACATCATGAGCAAACACCAGTCGACATTTTGAAGATTGGTAGAAAGCTGGGTATTTAATAAGATTCATTAAAGGAGCTAAAGCGTTAATATTTGGGACCTAGAAATTGACACAAATGGGTCGCAACGCATAAAATAATGTAATATGGATGTATGTAAACTGATTTACATTCAGTCGTTTCTGTTTTTAATGTAAAACATTAATCAGTTATGTTAGGCGAAATACGCCAGAAGTTTCAATCGAATGTCAATCTCTAGCGTCTGGTTATTCCAGTCTACATCGATAAAATTTATTGCGCTTGCTCTCCAGATAAGAATATGCCGACACCGTTTGACATGACATTTTGAATATGTCTAGCCTTGTTCTTCGTGTACCAATGGTAAAATGGGTTTTTTTGTCCTAAATATTGGATATCAGAAGCCCATCTTTTCCCGGTACGATCACAACATCAATGTTGATTTGAATTGACAAATAATTCGTGTTTTCAATGTCGAAGACTTTGGATGATACTACGTTAGAAACTTGGCTACTTTAAAGTACATCAGGTAGTCTCATGGCCTGTATTTATTTATTACAGGGAGGGTGGGAGGCTGATAACATAGACATTTCCAATTAGAATGGATGGTCAAGTGAGCAATCATGTGCAATTTGTAGTTGTCCTTGTTCAGAAATAAAAATGTCAAAATATCTGTACTGAGACGCCTTCATCTGTTTTGTCTTTCAGGTACAAATCCCAATCGACCGATATACTTCACTCAAGTCAGTGCCAGTCCCATGCCAATTATTATTCCAGGAACATTGTACGTGTCTTTGAGTGGAAACATTACCTACGATCTTCCTAGAAGATTATCTCTGGAAATTAGCATCACAAAATATTTCTTTGGCGTTCCCTTTATGATTCCCTGTATTAACAGTTACATTGGATCTTGGTAAGTTATTCCTGTAGAGCTATGTTCTAAAACACGTTATGACACTTTCGTTTATTACTAAGTTTAAACAGCAAAATGTTTCTATATTATTTAGAGATACGCATATACAGTTTGGATTCAGTAGGCCTATAAGCATTCCTGGCTTTCCCATAAGCCCACTCCTAGCCTACGCTATCAGCCAGTACCATTGTTAAAGACGGGTCTATAATAATCTCGTATTGTGGTCGTAGCCAAATTATATCTGAAAGCACCACAAGAGAATGTCGTAGTAATACGACAATTATTATAGCTCAACATTGCCAACGGAAGCTAACGTATAGTGGTACATTCAGTAAATCTAAGATTTTCTTAATCTTATTAATTCTGATTTAACCTTATTAGAAAAATGGATAGTGAGATTGACGACGTTGTTTTTGTTATTCCGTACATAGCTTTTACATATTAGTATTTGTGCATATGATTCTATAATTTGTGAACAAAATGTTTACATGATGTACAAACCCCTTCTTGGTTCCCTCTAGCGTAGCATGTTGACTTTTATGTAAATTTGATTGAAAGTAATTGTCATCTTTAATGATATTGTAGTACATATGACAACATCTGTGCAAGATTTGAACAATATGAATCTTCGGGTTGCCCACGATCATTGTGGGGTTATGGTATACAGTGTCACTGTCCTGTAGCAGCTACAGATTTCTCCATTAAAAAGATACCAGTAAATGTGCCTAAAATACATGGATTCGCGGCACCTTTAATTAATGTAAGTATATGATACAATTCTTTGGGCGTTTTCAGAATCTGTCCACAGCTAAAATTAACCCTAAACGTTTTAAATTTCTTGTGTGGTTACGTTGACAATATCAAAAATCGCAAATCGCATTTTGGTAAATTTGGAATTTCAACTGTCTTCAAGGGATAATTAATATTAATGCACGTCCATTACCAAATTACTGATAAGTGAACGACCCCGATTTTTGGTATTAGTATCAAAAGAGTTGATGAGACTTTCTACAACATTCCATTTAAGAGAGAGAGAGAGAAATGGGGTTCAACGTCCACTCGACACAAACTAGGTCATATCGGGACTAACATGGTTTAATTTTATTTTAATAATTTGCTTGCGCGTAGGGGTCTAGCAGTGGGGGGAAACCGGAGGACCCGGAGAAACCCCACGAGGTTGGACAGGCGACCCTACTCCTTGTCACGTACAACCGGGGATTCGAAACCACACCAGTTGACTCTATGACAGGCCTTATGATACAGCACGCACGTGCTAACCATTCGGCCATCCACCCCACCCCCATTCCATTTAAATAAGCCAGGAAAATTAACCCCTTTAGTCTCAAACGTTATGTTTAATTCATTTATTTTATTTCGTATCTTATTGTATATTGTAGATACAGTAGTCTATTTTTTCTGGGGCTATGAAATGTTTTCCCAATCTCAGACTCCTGGTTTTCGTTTTTCTTCCAGGGCAATTATGCGTTGACAGTAAGTATTTTAGGAGAAAACAGGGTTGAACTTGGCTGTTTAGAAGTAAAATTTTCAATGAAGAAAAGGCATCGAGGTTGGATTTTTAAGATATGAAAAAATAACTTCATATGGTGCACTTTATTAAACCTGAAGACACGTCTAGTGAATCTAATGATAAAATGGCTGACAAGATGGCACCGTTGCCGGTACAAAGTACCTTTAAAAACATAAATATCAATACAGACAATATTCGCTTTGAAATTTTGTAATTTCAATCACATACATTGTCTCGTAAACAAAAACAAAGTTTAAATAAAATTGTTCCTAGGTCTGGCATAATATTTATGTATGTGCTGCGCGCTCCCTGATACGAAGGGCAACATAATTAAAAAAGACAAATTTGCATCTTATCGATGGAGCAATATTAAGTATTTTTTTTTCTCTTCACTATATGCAATAAAACAATACGGTCTCTTGCACAGTGTGGAAGTCAGTGTCGTGCGGGAGACAAAACAAAGTCAATAGAAAGTGATCAACGAACTTGTGTTGTGTCTTTATAAACTTCAACAGGCATAATATTTCAGCTATAAACAGCACTGTCATCGTTATTGTGACAAGTTGTGTTTCTTTAAAATTCACAACGAATCGAATAACATTGTCAATAAACGTAACCAAACCGACTCTTCACTGTTCTGAAATATACACAAAAAAAGTTGAGAAAAAACGCGATACACTTCAGTATTTTGATATGAAAAATGTATTCAGTGTGGGGGACCTTGTGCTTCCCTGCTATATAGATATAACAATGTTTATTGTGTATTTTAATGTTGAATATTTGAATGCATAAACTTGGTTCGTGAGTTGTCACCTTCACACTTGGGTAACGTGTCGGCAGTAACAATATATACCTTTGTTTATTATGATAAATAGTATATGAATGAAACACTATGACACTATATCATTTATATTATGTATATTATGTATAAAGGAACGAAGGGCATTCTCGGTCTTTCACAACCTGTACGCTAATTGTGTTTAAGAAGCTGCGTTGGCCAAGTTCGCTAACTTTTGTGCGTTCTTTTCTCCCGTAATTAGATTAATTAGACACCTGTTAGCCGTTACCACTTATTATGATACCTAACGTCAAATATACACATTTACCTACTAAAGTGATACTGTTTATTTTGGTATTGTATATGTCCATATTGACAGTATTGGATGTTTGATAAATGATCACAAAATTTTCTGACACATTTTTGTCTTATTTGATCAGGTTTACGGGGGATGTGTCAACCCTGTCTTTTACTTAATTTTACCTCAAATTTATAATTATAAGTCAACCTTACTCCACTTTCCATTTATAAACCGTATAAAAAAAAGGAAAGGGGTTTTGGGGGATCCTGGACACGTCCTTTTAATTAATTATTTAAAACTACAATATTTATTAAATTACAAGAAACATAAAATAAAATTTATATATTACTTTCGGGTTGCATGGTTCACACCATATCATAATTATAACCACTTCCTAAAGAGTAGATTTCTAATAGCCCGACACGTCTGTATTTTTATTCTCCGACAATTTTGGTGGCTTACAAGAACATAGCTAAAACGTTCGGTAGATTTGGATGTATGAAATAGCATGTGTTTGAAATTTTATTTAACCCTAAAATCTAAGCATAAATTGTGTTGGGTATAAGAATGAATAATTGTTGGAAAATAAGATTTAGTTGTTTTCTTTCAATCCATGTCAGAGTGAGTCACTGCGATAGCTTAAGCTAAGTTGAATTGGGGAACAATTGCTGTTGGGAATGGAGAGAAGAGTAGTGCCAACTTAGCAATAATGTTTCTATACTGGTTGTTCAATTTTTGTACAGTCGCATAGCTGAAAGGACAGCTACGTCCTTGGCGTTCATTTCAGGGCAAGTGCGTGGTCACCTGTCGAGTCACCTACCACTTTTTTTTTAAAAAAAAAAAATGATTAATTACATAAACAAACAGCAAAGTAATAATGGTGACGTCGACGATCTAATTGTTTGTCGTACTAATGGAACGTTCGTTTTGGGCTTTTCGGCTATCACTCATAAGAATGCAGGGAGGTTATTGAAATGGCCGAAAGGGTAGTTTGTCTTATCAGTTTAATACTATGGGCATAGAGCGATATTAGAACAAAATATTTCGACTCCATTTGTTTCCACTATCATGTGGGGTAACTTGTATGTTCATTCAACGGGACAAAACCTGCAATACGAGTAACCAGGCAGGTGGCAGAGAATTCTCGTGCACTAAAAATCTGTATCGTAATGTGCTTTGCGCTAAAATTGGAACTGCCAATGACAATTAATTTTTGGTGTACGTATTCTAAAATGCAAGACCATCTAAAATGAAAACCATGCACAACGTGATCCGAGTTAAATTTCATTTTCGGATATCGAGTTCATAATTAACCTTGTGGGATATTACTGTATTCAAGCGTTATGTAAATATTTAATAAAATTAGCTAATCATTTGTTTGTGTTTTATTTTCGACACAGACACAGTCGGGTGAAAACCAAAAGCTGAGAATGGTTCAGATTGAATTTCTTTGTTGTATTTGTATGCATTGCCATACCCCTGTCATGTTAGATTGTTCAACAACTGGTTGATGGAAACCCTTAACCCTGGAATTTCTGAAACATAGTACCCATCTCTAAGACTATCTGAAATGAACAAATAAAAATACCGGTTCAGTATTCGAGGCTCTAAACAGCACAGATTTCGGAATGGAATACTGCGGTGGCAAACCCCCATGTACAGAATACAGCTAGGGGTCTCACTTAGTCACCTAGCAGGGGAGGAGGCTATTTCTCTCATATTTTTTTTCCACGAGGGGATGGGGAGACAATTCTGGTATTCCCGTGTTTGTAAATTAATGTCTTTGAAAGCAGTACACTTTCGCGTCAAGCAAAATCGACTTTTGTGGTCTAAGGGGAGACAATATGATGTTCAGGACTTTTTGAAGAGTTATCTCCCCTAGTACACTAAACGATAAAATACTCTTTTAATTAATACTAACTAATATTAAACACAAACACTGCACCGCCCCAATATAGCCCAAAAACAACCTGATTTTCTATCTACTGTTTTGCATTATTTTTTTTTAATCCCGAAATCACAATGTTTAATTAGTAACAAATTCAACAGTACAAATACTTGTAACCGACCATTAGATGTTATTCATACCAATATTGTTCAAAATACCATATCTAACAATTAAACTTAAGAGCAATTTGCATAAAAAAATTACGAAAATTAATTATTTTCTATTTAAGGATAAATGGATAAATAAATCATTTGCTATTTTAGAATAAATTAATCATTACAAGCCTTTAACATTCTTAAAGATAAAATTTGATAATGTACATAAGAATTATATGTACGTAATTACTTTAATAATAACACATCAAATTACATGAAAATCAATCATTTTAACATAAAGATAAATATTTTTCGGTTTCGTCATTTCAACCTGTTAATAGTCTTAAAAAATTATATAATGTACAAAAAATTACTCATAATCAGTCATCAATTTACATGAAATTTAAACAAAATCCCATTAAAAATTGTAACTTTCATTTTCTTCATCTAACAAAAATTCATGTACCAATATAAATCCTGTTCAATTAATTAATTTGTTTATAAGCATAAGAACAAAGGTTTCAATGGCTTTTGGTGAGCAGGTACATTAAGATTATTTACATACTAAAAAAACTCTTTAATAAGAGCAAAATATTATTTCAAATTGGTTCTGTTTCATAAAGAACAGAAGATTTGTGTACATATAAATCAAACATTATGCTATACATCTTTATTAAACTCAAGTTTCCACCATGAAGTTTTTGAATATATGTTAGACTTTATGTAGTGTTGAATATCAGAAATTTAGATAAAATTTTACTCAGGGTCATGAATACTGAACAGACTCTTTTCTTTTATAAAAATCATTGTGATACATTTTCTTCTTGGGAGCACAAACTTGCCAGATGTATTTTAAAATAATATAACAAAAAATCAATTACGATTAATTAATCTAAAATTTAAATACTGATGTGATATTTTGCTTTAAAAAGTTTGAAAAATCCATTTTCATGAACTAATTTACAAACATAATGTTAGACACTGTTAGTGTAAATATTTAAATAAATTGGGGGTATTTCATATCTTCATATATTTATATATAAAGATTAACTTAACGAGCCAGCGCTGCTTAACCAAATCAGCTACATAAATAGTCAAATACATAATTATATAAAAATTAACAATAAGATTTTTGCAGTTTAACATAAATGACACATTTTTAATATCTGTACTTAACAACATGAATTTGGTGACTATGTGAAAATTCATCAAATATATGATGATGACTGAAGATTACTGTACTATAATATAATATATCATCTTGAATAATGCATAAGAAAGGAAAATTTTAAAATTACTTATCTGTGTTTTGAGAGCTCATTGCCAGCAGTACCTCACTTCTATTGAAGTTCATTCTTATAATCCTTACACCCTTCTCACATAATTTAGATATTATTTATTTTCAAAAGAATCAATGCAATACTGTTTTAACCTCAGTGACACATAAATTTAATCAATATGCTTATTTTACTCCAGAAATGTCACAGTGCTTATCACATATTGAAAATGAACTCTTTCATTATTTCATTAATAAATTTTCCAAATGCATTTTATTATTAAAATGTGTGCCATTTTGATTTATTAAATGTCATAATGATAAAACACTTCGCCTACAATGTTTCTTTTAAATTAATTCAAATAAAACCAATAGAAATCAAATATTACTTTTTTCCTTATTCTTCTCTCTTCTGTCCAAACCTTAAATTGTATATTTAATTAATTATAAACTCTTCCTTTGCAAATCCCCCTGAAGCTTGATTACATTGATTAATATTAATATAATATTAACTGCTGATATTGATAGATTCACTCTTCCCATTGAGTCATAAAACAATATCATATTAATTAAAAATTTACACCTTTAGCATTCAAAAATATTAAATTAACCCACTAAACATAATAAATAAATAAACTTTCATTTACATTTAATGGCCAACAAAAAACATACAAATATTATAAATTCTGATTTGCAAAAACCAATGCACAATACATGTATTTTTTTTTTAAAAACACAATCACATTCACAGGTATTTCTCTATTACTTTGCCAAAATTAAATAAAATCATCAATTATCTTATTTAATATTTGTTATTTTCCTAACATTTAAATATACATATAGATAACTTATATAATTTCATCTTATTTTACTTTGCAATTATAGTAAGCCATTAAGTCTGGACTTCGTGGAAAAGGGTTTAAGTCACATTCACATTTGAATTTAAAATTATCTGACCAAAAAGAACATTTTAGAAATTTGTATATAGTATTTAGAATAATTAGATTATTAATATATAAAAAATAGAAGCAATATATTGTGATATAAACAATATTTGTTAAGACGATTTATCATGTGCAAGTGATAAACATCTGGTCCCTTATTCATGAAAACTTAAACTAAGTTACAACCGAAATTTTAAGAAATACTTCATTGGATATATGCAAATTGATTTTACTGGTCAGCCAATCGAATTGCAGTATTTCTTAAAATTTTGATTGTATCTTAGTTTAAGTTTTCGTGAATAAGGGCCCTGGCCACTGTTCCTAATAATGGCGTGCCTTAAAGCTTGTTACATAGGCTGTATTTATTATATAGTAATAAATCATTAAAAGTGAATGTTATAAATACCGTAAAACAAGAAATTGATGTCTCACAAAATGAAGGTTTTTGGCATGCGTATAGAAATTAATGAAACATTTTGTTGTGTCTAGAAATGTATATTAAAATTAATGCAAATGTGGGCAGGTCTCATTTAAAACACAAGTCTCTTGTTTTATAGTATGTTTGTATTAACAATTCATTGAATTTAAAAATAGAACAAATGTATAGAATATATTGATGTTACTATACTGTATATTTAGCTAAATACCTTTTAAGTTAAGTTTTATGGCTTCTGGTCTCGGGTGGTCTGTATATAAAATATTTTATAATTCAAACACACCAAATTCATCACCTTCAAAATCGAATTCTTCTTCACCCATTCCTTGAAATAGTTGATTTCTGCATGGACCATCCATGTTAAAATGGCTATAGGGATTACTTCTAGATAAAGAATCTCCGCATAACCAGCAGAAATAGTTTCGACATTTCATACATGTCATCTTGTTGCATCCATCTATTTTCTACAATAGAAAGAATTATGATTAACATAAAAATATTAGGCACAATTCGGAACCCCTTGATCTGATATGATTATTTGTTGTTTGTGGTGTCTGTATATTGTGTCCTGCTCTGTCTTGTGTAATTGTTTGTGTGTGGTGCAGTCCCCCTGCACATACTATTATAGTTGGACATAAGAAACAAGAGAATATTCTCAGAGCAGCCATATTTAATATTCTAATTATCTTCCAAATTCATGCTATATTTGTATCAATTTTAAAATGAATATATGTACCTGTATAGATGTACCACAAGCAGGACATGGTTTAGTATAATTATCTAACCATTCTTTTGTTATACTTTCTTCTATAGCCTGATGTATAATTCTTTTACCATACTTCTTCTCTAAAAACTTCTTACCTTCATCACTAGCATTCTCATATTCTTCTTTTAATTTATTTAATTCAGCTAAATATATATAAAAAACATTAATTGTAACAAAGAGAGAGAGAGAGAGAAATAGGGTTTAATGTCCACTTCACATAAACTAGGTCATTTCAGGACTAAAATATGGTTCAATTTTATTTTAATAATTAATTTGAGCATAGGGGTCTTTGCCAGTGGACAAAAACTAGACGACAGGTGACCCTACTTGTCATGCATAAGCTGGGAATCAAAACCACGCTACTTGACTCAGTAACAGGTGCACATGTTAGACCCAACTCCTCAAATTAAGCATTTTTCATAATTAAAGAGAGAGAAACAGGGATTAACATCTACTGGACAAAAACTAGGTCATTTCGGAACTAACATATGGTTCATTTTTATTTTAATAATTCGCTTGCACGCAGGGTTTTTTTTAGCAGTGGAAGGAAATGTGATTGGACAGGCAACCCAACTCCTTGTCGCGTATAAGTGGGGAATCGAAACCATGCTATTCGGCCACCCACCCGCCCTTTATAATTAAAACAATTACCAACCTGCTTTAATCCTACAAGGTGATAAACCATGATAGACTAATTTACACAGATGACAGAATACAAACTGACATGATGGACATCTACCAATATTATTCTCTCTATCTAGTAATACAGGACATTGACATAATCTTCTAGGACAATACATAATATCCATCATAGTATCTAAACTAGACTTTAACAATAGATCATCATAACGTTTATATATATCATCAGGCACTAAAGCTTTAACCTATAAAATCAGAATAAAACATAGATAATCTGGTGTAAAAACAACAATTGGAAACAGGCTTGTGAAATGAAATGCGATTTAACATACTACTTTTCTCCACCAAACAGTTTAATGAATGGAGACAGGTATGAGAGTGGGAGAGAAATGGGGTTAAACGTCCACTCGACACAAACTAGGTCATTTTGGGACTAACACATGGTTCAATTTTATTTCAATAATTCGCTTGCACGTATCGTTCTTTAGCAGTGGGAGGAAACCGGAGGACCCAGAGAAAACCCACGCTGTTGGACAGATGACCCTACTCCTTGTCACGTACATCTGGGGGAAACAAGAATTGGAAACAGGCCTGTGAAATGAAATGGGGTTTAACATCCTACTTCTCTCCGCCAAACTGGTTAATGGAGACAAGTATGAGGGAAATAGTACCCACACAGTGTCATCTTTGCATATTAATTCAATTCTAAGTGTTGGCATTTTTTTACGTGCATGCCAACAGTTATATGGATGGACATAGTTTTTCGTACCATTCAAGCAGTTAGATGCCTTTGCTTCCCAGACCTTCCATCTTGCACCACAGACAAGGGAGAACCCACGTTGGAAAATCGCAAGAATTTGAACAGGACAAACTACATAGACTGCATACTCAGAAGGCCAATAAACATTTTCATTAATTTAATTCAACAAAATTAATGGTTTAAAATTATACTGAGATAGCAATTAAGACGATTAAACATCTTGAATATTGTTCCTTCAAAATTTAACAAAAGAGAAATTAGATTAACTGCCATACCTGAGAGGGGTGTGCTTCTGATTGACATTTATCATGTGGGCAAATCAAACTTTGTACATTACCATCACTTATCTGTATCACAAAATAATCTCTCATACATTCTTTACAAAATACATGATCACAGTCCATAAAACATATACAATTAGTTCCTTGTTTCTCAATAAAACACACAGAACACAAAAACATTGAACGTTCAAATATATCCGCTTTCATCTGTTTATTATAATCTAATATAGCCATTAATAACAAATCCTGGCTAACAATATCCTGAATACAGCGTGAATCAAACAAATTATTCTCCTCGTTTTTGGAACTAGTGTGTGGGGTGACAATGTTCCGTATATCTAATGGAGAAGAAAGTTGTAAAAAATCAAAGAGTTCTTCCTGAAGAAAATTAATCCACGTAAAAAGAATGACCATGCCTTTGTTTTCTTCCCATAATTCATCTAATCGTTGGCATAAACTAGACAACTGGAAAATAATAATCAAAAAAAGAGTTATGCATTGTCTTTTAAATATCTATCCTATATTCAGCTAGTCAAAAGATTTGAGATTGTAGTCACAGAGTTAACAAGTCAGCAGGGAAACAAAATCCTTCCTTATTAGTTGTTTGTGACTTTTAACAATGGACACAATATTTCAAAAGATAAATAAATGTCAATAACTGTAAGAAATTAGAATTAGAGATGCCAAAACATACAGCAAAACAAAACGTTTTATCATACATGAGACATAGATATTCCCAGTCAATACTTGTATTATGGTTGCACATAATGAACAATGGCAAAGCTCAAATTATAAATGAAATTGGGGTGGAGAGATATAGTACATTTAGAGCATACAATGTATTACATGTGACGTCATCTTCAATAGAAGGCTTGATTTCGCTTTAACTCTGTACATCTTATCAAGCATTTCACGTAATACCCTGCTTATTTCGGCACTAATTTAGATTGGATACTGACCCTCAATCAGCGCGAATACCAAGTCTCAAGCTTTCCAGCTAAAATGTCTACCTGTGATAATCAAGTTGCAAGGTTCAACTTCAAGGTTCGTTCCATGTCAAGGTTTCCGGGGAGGTCGCCATGTCTGATTTGAGTGTGTTTGTGTCACAACCTCTGATTGGACACTATCGTTCACGTGCCTGTGTTAAAGGGAGATAATGTAGCTATAAGTTCAGGAATTGCAGACCAGTGTAGCAACATTTAGATGTTGTAAAACTTGCGGTCATTGCTTCAGGAATATGATGTGATGTCTGCTTACATGCTTGTCAACATCTATTTATAGTCTGAACAAAAATTATAATATCCTATATCAAAATGACATAAGATGATCTTAAAACTTACTTGATTATGTGTGAGCCATTTACAGGTCAAGGTGAAATGTGGGGGAGCAATGGAAGGATAATTTGTAGGCAGTTGGAAGTGTATAACTATGGGTGGTAAATGCTGTATTTTATGAAGACCAGATTCTACATTTCCTGAAATACATTATATACATTTAAAACTCAAAGAACATAGCGCTTGTGCCATTCAATATTTGAAAGTTTTGGGTAGTTCAGCAAAACCATTTTTAATCTCAGACAGGAAAGGACATAATGCAATACTATGATCATTCTTTGGACTAATATACTGAAATTTTATTCTTTATAGTTGTGGCAGTATGGTAATGCTACAACCAAATTTTGTCTACCCTGCTGTCAATTCCAACAGTTAAAACAAAATGATGTTTTTCATGCCCTTCCAAGAGAAAATATCCCATTGATATATATCTGTACCTGCTGTAGAATATGCTCCTTGAAACCCCCAGTTTATTACAATAATTGTCTAATTGCCATAACTCTGTAGTTTGATTCATGAAGATCCCATAAGATTATTTTGACCTATTGATAGGTATTTAATAATTGAACATATTTACACAAGATACAATTTTATAAATACAAAATTACTGAATTGCAAATGACAATCCAAGAAGTTATGTCATCAATATGAAGATGTGGCTACCTAAGTTGTAAAGTTTTAATTGTATTTGATCGTTACTGTTTTTGTATATATTTATTTACTAGTCACTTATTTGTATCACTTGTTTTATATAGACGAGAGTATTATCATTACATAGTAATAAATGCAGTAACTGTGTTTCCATAAAATTTGTACCATGTGTTAATGACAATAATGGGCGATAGTGCAATGTGGGAAGACCCCACATGATGCTACTACAGTACACAACTGTTTGTAATCTTCACTTCTATTAAAACTAGTTGTGTCTAGCTTGTTTTGAGATTAGTGTATATTTACCTTTATTAAGAGGTTCAGATTGAATATAAAACTTTTCTGGTAGATGAGGACATGCTGTGAATTGTCCCCCCTTATCATCTGTATCTTTTATAGTAGAGAGAACTGTCTCATCATAAATACTCTCTAATGCTAATAATTCATCATCTTGTTCTTCTAGATCATCCATCACGACCAGTTACTCATTTATACAATTAACAACATTCACACACGTCACCCACCTGAAAACAACATAAAACTTCCTCTTATTAAGTATGGAAACCACTGAATGGTTTTGGGCTTTTATATATCAAAATATCAAAACTTTCTGTTGAAGATACAAGTTCAGAATCTATATAATTTCTCTTTCATATATTTACCGGTAAATTTAAAACCCACTTGATTTGAATCTTTGACTATGCCAGCAGCATTATTTAATTCTTGGAATGCGAATCCACCAGTCTGCTTATGATCTTTATTTTGATTTTCAGCAAGATATTTGGGGTAGTAGCCTACACATAGGTTACCTGGTTGGTACTTGCCTTATGTGGAAATGAAAATGAAAATGGGTTTAATGCCCTACTTTCCTACACCAATCGGATTATTGAAGACAAATATTTTTCAGTTTGCTACGAGGAAAGTTTTGCCTGGACAGATTCGCCAAGGTCTATTTTGAGTTCCAACTGTCAAGGGTTTTTTTCTACATGAACGGATACAAAGAAGTTATTTTCTTTGTCCCACATTGACATTGTTCGTTGTCAGGACCACCGTCCTCCTCCATTGACAAAGGGGAAACCACTCTGGAAAATCCATGGGAACTTTCTCTGCCTACACTGCGATAGAACCCCAGATCTCCTAGTTTGGGAACCTGTGCCATACTCACTGAGCCACCATGGCTGCCAATTGTCCTGTTAGTCCGGCATCAGGTCTGCAAATATGGGAATATAGTCCACCTAATGTTTTTTGATGGATTATATATTTTCAATATGTGTAGATTCAGAATCCAGATGATGCCACCCTGGCATCCTTGGGGAAACTTAAATATTCAAGATATCTGCCATGGGTATGAGCTTGGCCTTGGGTATCACTCCAAAAAGTGACTGATAATTACACTAGGGAGCCAAATTCAAAATGGGGGCTCATTTTGGTCGGAATATCATTATGTCCCCTATATAGTTGTGTAATATATCACTTAATTCAGATACCGTATATAAACATAAATATATGTTCCAACCAAAAGGTATTCCAATATGACATTACAAACATCGAAATTTCCCTTCAGTGCTCTTCAGAGCAAAGTAAATGTAAAATATGTATATTTCTTCTGTTCCAAATTCCTATATCTTTACTTACAGTTGTAGTGGTTGTGAAAAGTGTTTTGGTCATTATGTGTCATTTTGGTCACATGATTGTTGACAAGGATTGTGGGTTAGGGTAAAACATAGGGCTAAGTCTTGAGTTAGGTTTTGCCCTATTTACATCTCATAATTATGCATTTGGCCTTGTCAAATAGATCTAACTGTCTTATGTTAATTTGAATACTGGAAGCCGTGCCCATTTTGTCCAAAATCACCAAAACTGAATGGGCTGATCTCTGGAACTGTTAGTCTGATCAAGCAAAAAAATCAGAATATCTGTTTTTATCCAAAATAAGCATACAAACCAATTTCAGCAAAGTTTTGATCCCATAATAGCCTGGTTCAAATGTATATACATGCACAAATTAAGAATCTATAGGGATTGGCATACATTATTACTCATGAAAGAATTTATATTCTAAAATTATACCGTTTATAGCTTCTCTGAGTCTAGATATTTCTTTTAAAATATAATATTCAATATGAAATCACCATCAGAATCAGAACACTTGTCACATAAAAACATACATGTATAAATTTATTTCAATAAAACACAGCTAACAAATAATCATTGAGGCAGACATGTATATCACATATGTAATCTGTTGTTCTTATTGATTAGATGAAAAAACTACACTACAATTAGTACAATGTCTACTACTGGGTTCATATTATTACAAATGTATGTTTAATATTAACAAATAATCTATTGGTGATTATTAAACTTTGGCTTCTGCACATGACCATTTTAAGGGGCATTATGGGAGATTAGATAAAGACCTGCCAGTTCTCACTATAATAGTTAAAAACTAAATAATGTAAAGGAATTTGCTGAAAATTTCACTCTGAACTGAGGTATTAGCTTTTGAATGTTAGTCCTAGCCTCGATCATCATTACTAAAGTCGGTACAATAAAACACATGGTCTCGATTATTCATTTTTGAATTAAATCATCAATGAGCATCGAGCAGCAAATAGGATTCATATCCAGTAAATATCGCAGGCTAGAGTTGATTATGGTCTGGTTAAGTTAATTAATATTTAATTAATATTGAGATAACATTTCAGGCCTTAAGAAAGACCTGCAATAGGCAGATTTAGCTCTTGCATAAGGTACATGTATGTTTAATATCTTTAAAGTTCATTTAGTGAAAGAAATATATAATAAATATTTAAATTTAAATCGAAACACTATGATACATGTAATGCTATCAAATTTACTCATTATTGTCTACTTTCAATTGTTAGCTTAAAAGGGATTAAAGAATTTAACCTCAGACTATAATGTTCTCATTACTTCCTGCTTGTTCAATCAACAGCAGAATGAGCTTTCACAAAGTCCCTGTTCCCAAGTGAGAAAAAGCCTTATGTTTCACATTCGGTGATTAGGATCCCACTCGAGTTCAACAGTTATCTTTCCAAAACTATGTTCGCTCGTAAGTTACGAGTCGTAATCATTGGAAAATATTACGATATGTAATGTCTTTAATTCGACAATTGTTTATTTTGTGTTTTAATTTGATCACCATTCCTCTTTGGGCATCTTCATCTTTCCCATATCAGACAGGGGCCAAACCTTAAAGAATACTCTACTTCTTAATAATGCATAGGGTACAGGTCCATATATTCTAGAGTCTGTTGAATTATGTTTATTGTCACCCTCTAACCAAACATGACCTCGTGGAACAAATTTGATATTCTGTGCATTGCTGTTGAATATATGATCACCTTCCATGGCAACAACTCTTTTACAGATAAATTCCAGTGGTTTGGTTGGTGATCTGGCTATAACAATGTCGCCTTTCTGCACCCGTTTATAATTAACACTGATGTGCTCAGTCAAAACAATGTCACTGGAATATATAGTAGGCTGCATCGAAGGCCCAGAACACACACAAAAATCTGCCAGATATTCAAAAGTACAGTGGGCAAGGCATCCATACTGAACCATATAGAATAAAACTCCACTTGATCTGGCAATAATTTTCTTAATCATATTTAATTTGTTTGGGCTGTTGGCCAAATGTTTTTTAGTTATTCAGTCGCCAAGAAAGTTTATGAATTAAGAATAAGATAATGAAAAGTTATCCTTATCAAATTGATAGGACTTGATTCTATTCAGTTTATACTGCCACAGGTAAGTGTGGTTTAAAAAAAAATCTTTTTTACAAACAGCTACACTCAAACAATGAAAGAGGATGAATCCACAACTTGAATGACTAAGTTGAAGTACCGGTAGTAAATAAAAAAGGCCTGATTTGCTTGTGCTACCTGTACATCAAATATTGGAATAGAAAAAATTGCCCAGAGAACAGACAATGTCCGTCAACGACAATGATCAGTGTCGTTGACGTTAAAAACGCGTTGTTTCGATGTTGCAATCGAGCTTTTGACTTTGAGAGTCTGAATTCTCTCCCCTCTATCGTTGGCTGTCATTTGATTTTAATAAATTCCTAATGTTAGGCAATAGTTCTAAGTTCAAAGTGATCCGTAACAGAAAATGGCGTGTTGCTCTTTACATTATATGATGGCAAAGTTTGTTGTTCTATCTCATCCCTTTCATGCATAAAAGTATTTAAAAAATCATTGACAAATCATCTCATTTCCTCGGCAAAAATTTCCCAAACTTACCTAACACTGTCCCGGTTACCCAGTCTGAAAACAACAGAGTTGTTTCCCTTTAATTGTGGGGCAGAATAATTAACCAGACACGCAGATACGTGTGCTCGCAACTGTCACGTATTCTTCGCCGTGATTGGGGCCCAATAAAACAAGTTGGTCCGTCAGCTCAGAGATACCCAGCCCCCCCTGTCTGTTTTAATGCGGGGCTAAATGCGGAATTGTGACCATAAATGGTTATAAACTTTGAACGTTTTAAAATTGAAACCGAAATTAGAGAAATACCAGCCACAATCAGTCGTTAATTTGACTGGTGAAAATTATCTGATCTGAATTAAATTGTCTTGTATTTGTAATGCCCCTCAATCTCATTGCCTACAAAAGAATATACAACTTGTCCCTTGTTGACCGTGCTTCCGTGGACGTATTTTTCGTTGCCTGGCAACATATCTTTATTAGTGTCGCTGGATCTGGGGCGGTAGGAAAAGATGACACAATATTGTCAAAGGCCATAGGGCAATGGAAATATAATGACATTGACTTTCCCATGCGTATTTGAGATTTAACTCTTTCGAAATTCGAGGGCACTTTTTCAAAAGGGAAGCTAGGCAGTTTTGAGGAAGGTATGCCATTTTTTTGGAAGGGAGGGCAAAATACTATATGAACCTCTGATAACTCAAGGTGTTCCCCAAGGCTCAATCCTTGGTCCTTTGTTATTTATTTTTTTTTATTAATGATCTACCTTTACATTTACATGTTAATAGTGATTTATTTGCTGATGATACTACTGTCTATTCCTCATCTTCTGATGTTACTTCATTAATTACCACAGAGCAAAATGAAACTTCTATTATTCAAAATTGGTGTTCCACAAATGACATGGTAATTAATGAAACCAAAACTAAAACAATGAGTATTACACCTTCTTCAAGGCGTAAATTACTTTCAACAAATTTCAAATTCACATAAATAATTCACCTTTAGAAAATGTCTCTACATTTAAACTTTTAGGCATCATTTTTGATGAAAATTTCACTTGGTCTCCTCATGTTGATCATTTATCTAAGCTTCTTTGACAGAAAAACTTTCAATTATGCAAATTAAAACTGTTGCTTTCTACTAAAGTTTAATTTGTTCTATTTTGCTCATATTCAATTCCATATTAATTATTGCTCCACTATTTGGGACTCTTGTTCAATTACATCTATATCTAAACTTGAGAGACTTCAAAAATTATCCTTTAAATTAATTTACAATAGACCTATCTCTGATCATTCCTTTTCATCTAATTATCAATTTTTATCTTCATCCTTAAATCTTCAAACTATTTATCAAAGACTTTTAATTAACAAATATATTTTTGTTTATAAAATTATCCATAAACTTTGTCCATCATATTTATATAATATTTTTCATTATAACACCACTCCATATTCATCTCTCAATAATAGACTTTCTATCTGTAGACCTAACAATGAAATATTTAATGAAGACGGGCATACGCCATACAGTGTGCTATGAGGGAAATTTTGCCCGGGCAGCGGCACTATCGCCTACTTTTATATCGAATTCCAACTGCCAAGGGATCTTTTACGTGCATTCCAATGTATACACGGGACCTCGGTTTTTTGTATCATCCGTAGGACTAGACAGCTGTCCTTGTCAGGCCTGTACTGAATGGACTATGAATTAAAACAAGAGTGGGTCTAGCAGATGGGCGCCACCCACAAACCCACCCCACAATAAATGTCAATTAAATACTGGCTACATCACTGAGCGTCCCGGTGGAACATAGATCGTATTGCCTATAATTCTTTGAGCAAGTAAAATTAGGCTCCATTGCAAAATTTTCAACACAAATCATTACAGTTTGCATGGAAATAAATATGTTACAAATAGTGAAGAGTGGAACACTGAAATCTTAATCTTATCTTACCGAACAGTTTTTTTTTTATTTGTATTTTCGAGTGAGGTTTCACCTTTATTTCACCTCTATTTCAATTGGTTTATTATATGTTAAGCTATGTAAAGTACAGTTTGGGTCAGTGTCATTGGAAATTTAACGAAGTTATAGGCCAGTAACTTTTCTGTAGTCAAATGACTACTGTGGCTGGAGCAAGACGGAAAATACTGGTCCGAGTGGTCTTACAATATAATTAATTGGTTCGAGTGGTCTTTTGGTTTGGTTCAAGTAGTCTTTTGGGTTGGTCCGACTAGTCTTTTTTTTTGGTCCGAGTGGTCTTTGGTCCGTATGGTCTGGATACCGCCTACATATGGTTTTTCGCCGATCGTTATCTCGCCGGAAAGCAGCTTCATTAGAGTTGATATAAAGGCACGCTACTGGATATTGACGGATCTGGAAAATATCTGTTCATGTTTATACCCACAATTCTAACCCTAACCCTTCAGAATAGTTTTAGCCATAATCCACCGTTGTTACAGCTTGAATTTGTACGTTTGACATGTTATTTATAAACCGAACCCTAACCCTAGAGAAAGATATTTTCCAGATCTACAAAGCTCTAGTATTATTCGACATAAAGTTCATGTCATGTATCTGATGATTGTTATTGATATTTTTTTATTAAATTTATGTGAAGGCAGAGGCTATAACACTGAGGAACCTAAGAAAATTTTGAAAAACTGAGTCAATATCCTGGCTTGAGGTCATTGCTGGGAGCAAATTCTTGTGAACCATAAAATGGGAGTCAATGGGACAAAATCTCGAGATGTGCCTTGAACATAATGTAGTCTGTCGCCCCACGACCCACACACTACTGGTACTATTAACTGAGCAGTTCACTATAACAGTGGTTATGATCGGACTGAGACAGTATAAGACTACAGAGTAGGCCCTACATAATGTATCTTTAATTGTCAATGGCATTTATTTCAATATGTGGTATTCCCATTCCTGATCCATAAAGTCGCTCCGTAATTAACTAAGTATTTTCACAAAGATGTGAAGACTATGGCATTACACCACTAGATCACTATTATCCCAGTCAACTGCCTAAATATCTAATTCAAAAGAAGTGGGTAGTAAGAACACTTGCATTTTAATTCACACAAATCACACATACGTCACCACTACTTTGCTACTTGACTTGATTTTTAAACCTCATTTTAAAAGAAAGGGGACTTAGATCAGCTTAATATTAGCAAAAATTACCAATAAACCAGAATACTCTACCTAAAATGACACCAATTTGCCGCTTTTCTCAAAAAGCCATCGTAGTTGAGGTCATTATTTTCCAGGACAAAGAGGAAACTGTATTGAGTTATACTAGTAAAGCAGTCTTTATTCTCCTATACATGTAATCAGTGAAATGTGAAAAATACAGAAATAAAAAATATGACAATTTGAAATAATTTATGGACGGTTATTCTTGTATCACAATTTTGTTCTAAATTATTATCATCTTTAAATAAGTGACCTTTCCATCAAACTTATACATTCATCAATTACTGTTCTAAAATACAAAATGGCAAAATTTACTAGTAATCACTACTAAGTAGTCAGTAGCAAATTTTTTCTAGTAATTATTCCCAAATAGTCAGTTACCAAGATTTATTACCAAATGGTCAGTAACAAAGATTTTCTAGTAATCATTCCCAAATAGTTACTAAGATTTAATAGTAATCACTTCCCAATAGTCAGCAACCAAGTTCATTCTCTGGAGTTTTCAATCAAATTTGTTCTAAACAAAAATTAGTGAAAAATTTTTCTTTCTTTTTGCTACAATTCATTTTCTCATGGACCATAATATATTAATGGAGTCCATGATTTGCTGAAATCGCCCCCCCCCCCCCCAGTTTGTTTTAAGAATGGGGACAGCAATTAACACCAAAGAATTGGTTACATTTAGTCTCATATTTCAATAAGGTTGCGTTTTCAACAATTGTAATATGACTCTTGTTGCAGTGAATAAAATATATCTTTCATACATTAGGAATATGTTTAATAATAGTATTATTAATATTAAGTGATAGTTATTGTTGAGAACCCTTATAATCCTTATACCTATAAACACACACAACAAATATACATCTGTGATAGATAGAGAAAATGCAAATAATATGTTTACATAGACAAGAACACTTAAACAATTAACAATCAAAGTTTAAAAAAATCACAAAAGTTCTTTTTAATCATTTTTTAGTTAAGACATGGTCAGAAACAAAGATTTACTAGTAATCATTTTATTACCACATAGTCAGTAACCAAGATTTACTAGTGATCATTACTAATCAGTAAGTAACCAAGCTTTACTAGTAATTATTACTAAAACAGCAAGAAAACAAGATTTACTAGTAATTATTACTAAACAGCCAGTCATCAAGAATTACTAGTAATCATTACTAAACAGTAAGTAATCAAGATTAACTAGTAATTATTTTTGAAAGTAACCAAGATTTAGTAGTGATAAATACCTAATTGTGGAATGACAAAATGTACAAAATAAATGTCTGTATCACATATATGTATCTGATAAATAATGCAAAATCAACAATAATAACAAAGAAGCACAATATAATGTATCGTTATGCACAATATACAATAAGTAAATAAAAAATACAGCTTGTGATTTCATTAAATCTACACACATTTAACCTGCACCATATAATATGTAACAACTGCGAATGAAAATTTGAAAATGTAATTAATTTCACTTTTTATCAACCCCTCTCTTCCTAGATCCACACTAATACAATATCACTATAAAATTCAGACTCTATATTTTTAATGCTGACTTTGACATTTCAATAGAAATAACCTGTATTCATATAAATTATAATTAAACACATTCAGACATTACCTAACCTGTGCACAAACAAAAATTGCACCAACAGGAAGCATAAGTGTCTGAATCAAAATGTTTGAAAATTGAATTTGGTCGTCTTTAATTTTATACATAAACAAATTTAAAATTCCTTTTGTAAAATCTTAGAACAAGCATTCTTTCAATTTATTAAAGTTGAATTTGTTTGATGGAATGGAATGGGGTTGAAAAATCATAGAATAATATGTGCCAATATACACACAGGTGACTGGGCACTGGCTGGTGAGAATCTGGCTTGAAAAGTCATAGAGGTTTTTCTTGGCTAGGATTTGAACCAGGGACATTCTAATCCACCGAAATTCAATACCCATTCCTTATGACTTAAGACAGTAAAATATGTTTTGGAGTAATTTATTTGTAAAATTATGCACTTTTATATTAATTGCTAGCTTTAATAACACAGGGAGCTTGGAATTTATTGTTTCAATATATAAACTGTTTTCTCTTTATGCATTATCTGAAAGTAGAAATTGAAAAAAAACCCATTAATTAAGCAGACGTGACTGTCTAGTTGTCTGTTTAAATTATACATGGTATTTACCATATTCTAATTATATATGGTGGTTACCATATACCATTTCAGTTGTATATGGTATTTACCATATTCCAGTTACATATGGCAAAATTCCATTACTGGTAGTTACCATGTTCTAATTATTCCAGTTGTATATAGTAATTGTAGTTAAGTTACCATATTCCAATTATATATGGTAGTTACTCATCCATTGTGTCAAGAAATTTCTTATATCTGCTTATCTCGAACTCACCTAATGAACATCTACATTGTGCAATATTCTGTAAATGCGGTAGTATTTTATAGTTACATGGCAAAGGCAGATCGTCACCATGTTTGAATATGGGATTTTGAGAAATATGCCACTTTACAAGATGTAAATTGACCGATGGGTCCCAAGACATTTTGGTCAATTTTTAACATAAGTGGTGACGACCGGCATATAAGGCCGAGTAGGAACCTATGATCTACACCAAGGTTGAACATTCCATCTAAATTAGAAGCACAGTTACTGTGTTCAAAAGTCTCAACCAATCAAACTGGTTAATTTTGCTATATTTGCTATATGGTTACTGTACAAATATTTACCAGTCAGGTGCCGTAACTCAATTTCCATTGTAACAAGGCAAATTATCCTGATTATCGTTATCTGGAAGAAAACTGTAGATCATTACCTTCTGTAAATGCTGTATCAGACATGACCAGTTGGAATATCTTTGGATAATGTTTTTCATTTTCTTTTCCTAAAATTTCTAAAGCTATTTTAGTTCCTTCTTCAACATTTTCATCTTCATCTTCTTGTAAAGCCTGCAACATTTCAAAGAAATTACCGACATAGGTCAAAGGTAAAGTATTACAGTTTGGTGGTAAGTAGGTTGATCTAATTTGTAATTTTGATTAATGATGGGACAGGAGGATCTGCATGATTAAATCTTTGTCTCAAAAGAATAGTCTCTCATCATTATTTTGAATCACTTGCAAACTACAATATTGTGAAATGAAATAGGGGACTAACATCATACTCTTCTACAGCAACTGCATTGATGAAGACACTAGCATGTTCCACATAGAAATTTGTTTGAACCATGCAGAAGATGCTGTTACTCATTCAGTTAAAATATCCTAATATTCTATGGAATGGTTACCGAGCAATCTAGTGTTAAAATTCACTCCAAAATAGACAAATCAATCACTATATTTTACCTGAATGGCTTTATAAACTTTAATAAAGAGATCAAATCCTAAAACTTCTTCTAATTCAGCTCGTGCTTCTTCTAATCTTCCATAAACATCATATTCATCATCCTCATTATCATCATCACCAAATGTTGTTTCTCCATCACTATCACCTGTTAACAGGAATAGAAAATACAACTTGTACTTCAAAATCTTAAAACATCAACAATTTAGCTGGGAAATTTATACAAAATGACTGACTAAACATTTTTTTATCCACTCAATATGTTTTACATACATAAAACTGAAAGAAGAGGTTTGACCTTCCAAATTCAATAAAGGACAAGATCTATGGTCTGTAGAAATAAAATGTAGCTCATGACTATAGCTCATACAGTGAGGGGATGTTAAAAGATAGATATCAAAAGAGGCGTCAGAGTATTTTCAAGATATAAATCAGGTTTCGAATGGACTACATAGTTAAATAGATATTAAAATTAGATTGTATACAAGATTTGAGAAATGAAATGGGGTTTAATAAAGATGGTGATTGATAATGCCTCTTTTAAATTTACAGTATGTTTACAAACATGTACATGTATATATTAATCTATTCTCATTCTCATAAAATATTTTTTAAAATCATACCGGCAAACAAATCAGAAAATGTGTCAGATTTGAGACTAGAGTGACGACTTAAAACTGAATCAGATTGAGAGTGTTTAATATGTCCTTTATTATCATCTTCATCACTTTTCTCATCTTCTTTCTCATCTTTATCATCATCATCATCATCATTCTCTCCAATCTCATTATTACCATCATCATTATTTTCACTCTCATCATTTTCAATGTTTATATCACTGCCATCACTGTCATCACCAGCTTTACATTTTTTCTGACTTGTATCTGACAGTTTAAAATCTACTTTTACACCATGTTCATTTTCTATAAAGATGACAAGATGGAAATTTATTTTACAAGCTACACCAAATTCTATTACCAAGATCTTTTACTAAAAATTTGATCTAAATAACTCTACGTGATTCTCAGACACTGCTACATTCTCATAAATAGCTGTTGAAGTTATCAATAGGCTTCTTTGTCTATAAATTGATCACTGTCTATAAATTTCAAATCAACTGCTTAATTCCTCAAATTGATTGATGTGGGTTTATAAAACTCAAACTTGTAAAATCCTGGAGTTTAAAAGATTAATACTGAATCTTATACATCTTAACTCATAAAGTTACATCTAATACCTTCATCATCATCATCATCATCAATTAACAAACTCTGCATAGTAGCTCTAACATTGATTATATCATCATCATCATCATCATCTTCATCATCGCCATCTTCATCATCACCATTATCATCATTTTCTCTGTAAAAAATAGCAAATTGAAATTATGACTATAAATTTGATTTTATTAGCTTTTCCAGTATATACCATTAACTTTGCAAAATGATTTTTTTAATGCAGGCTCAAAAGTTGTGATTTTTTAGGCTTTTTGAATTTCATTACCCATCCAAAAATCTAGATGTGCAATCATAACTGATCAAAATTGTCAATAATACAATATTTATCACAAACAATATAACTTACACTTGCTGATCATCTGTGTTGTTATCATTATCTGATTTTGGTTGTGATGTATCGGATCTAGGGGAATATATATCTACCTCTGATAAACTCTGTTTTACAGATTCTAAATCATCATCAACCTATGAAATAAACCACATACGCAATCATAAAAACAGATTCTAAATCATCATCAACGTATCAAATAAACCACATAGGCTATAATAAAAACAGATTCCAAATCATCATCAACGTATCAAATAAACCACATAGGCTATAATAAAAACAGATTCGAAATCATCATCAACGTATCAAATAAACCACATAGGCTATAATAAAAACAGATTCTAAATCATCATGAACCTATTAAATAAACCACATAGGCTATAATAAAAAAAGAAACAATCCAAAACACAGAATATTGCTTGGATATTTTGGATTTACACATGAGCTCACATTGTAATTCTACTTTCCAGTATTTCAATTGCAGGTAGTCTCATAAATAGTGGATGATTTCATTATACAGACAACATATGAGGTTGAACATAAAACCTTATTTTTTTTATAGATAGTATTTTATTCACAGAAAATGATTGTGGAACAGACCAGCTAGGCCTATATTACCTAGCTAATATGTTACAAAGAAAGTGCAAAAAAGATCTATAAACAAAGTATGAACAGATAGCTAGGAATAATTTTTAAAAAAAAACAAAACAAGATTGCTATGTTACCATATTCCATGTGTTGGAATAATGTAATAAAATATTATTATCGTCTGTGCCATTTAATAATATCTGTTTTGGAATTAAGTTTGTAGGTAAACTAAAAATTGAATTTTTATGTGGGCTAGATAGAACAGATAAATATAAGCAGAGTTTTCTATTATTTACAATGCAATGTATGACAAAAAAAACAAACAACCTTAGTAAAATAGAAATACATTTACTTTGGGATGGCATTGGCAAGCTGCTGGAAACTGTGTGATTATTTAATAGTTGGAACACAGCATCAAATATTATTAATACCTACCTCCTCTTGTACAGTATTAAGCCGATCAAGACTTAAATGTCTGGTCAATGGTGGTGTAGGATTCTTTTCACCAGTTTCAAATAATTTACTTAGGTCAGGTTCTGAACATGTTCTTAACATCTATAAATATACATTCAATATTTCTATAAGTTAAAAACCTGGATTTCAATATAAAATAATTCAAGAAGTATTTACTGCATGAAAAATTATTAGATTGCTGATTGTCTTTTTGGTTGTTAAAATATAAGGAGTTCACCTCACAAGAGATCAAGCACGCTATAATACTGAATACTGGAGGCAACTCATCAACAACACTGAACACTGGTAACAACCCAAGATCATCAGAACAACTCATTAGGCTACTACAAACACCCATCACTAATTATAGCATTCAATAAATGCAAGCAATAATATTACAATTGTTTTTGTTTTTTTTGTTTTTGTTTTTTTTTGGCTCTGTCTGAAACGCTATAAAGCTTTCCTCGCCTGTAACATATTTTCATGCACACACACCCATTAACACATTACAGTAATAGAAGGCCAAGAGGACCATGCCACACATAATAATTATAACTATAACTAGAAACTAAAAATATAAACACAAGACTGCAATGCAGACATTGTAAGCCATATGCGGACCATCAAATCCTGGGCACATTACCTTAACATTTCCAATGTCAAAATTTCCAGTTGTAAGTCCCTTAGCAACCATTTTCCCATTCTGTTCTTGAATGACTTCTGGTTTGGCATCTGCTTGGGGTGATTTATTGTCCCCGAAGTCTTCATCGTCGTCTAGTTGTACCCTAGAGAACAGATTCCCCTCTCCTTTACTATTTATTACAACTGGTGCTATCACAGGTTTAGCTACAAAAAAAAAATCAATCCATTAAATTTGTCGAAAAACATAATACGCTCTTGTTAGTGGCTTTTTCCCAATTCCAAAGGACTCATAAAATTTCAGACTTCAAAGATTTCATCACTTAAATGAATATATTATACCACACATAAAAAGCAGAAATGAAGTTGAGAAAACATATATAAGAAGTGCGTAACAAAAGGGGATAAAATTACAAAAGAAAAGCCTCTAACCAAATTCTGCAGAAGAAGTGCGAAATAGAAGTGGAAAAAAATAAAATGAAAGACTCTAACCAAATTCAGCAGCAGATAAATCAGGTTTGGGTAGAAGTACGGGTTTCTTAAATTCAAACTGAGGTTTTTTAGGAATTGCTGGTTTTCCAATTGTTTCTGTAGAACCGTCTTTGGAAAAATTGTTGCTCAATCGCTCTGCAACAGACTGTCTGGTACCTTGCTTTTCAACACTAGAATCTTGTAAATCATTAGATGTCGGTACAGATTTATTAACAGCAGATGTACTCTCTGATTGGTCATCTAACTTTGCACCACTTTGTGTAAAAGTATTTGGTTGGTTATTAGATTCACCATCAGCAGATGTAATCTCTGATTGTTTGATTGAAATTGCATCAATTTGAGAAGATGTTTCTGATTGGTTATCGTTACAGGTTGTGTGTATTTCTGTATTTGATTGCACAATGTTTGATTTAATCTCATCACTAGGTTCACCAGTTTTTGCAGTTTTGTTATCTGTTTCTTTATTGGGTGAAAATTCCTCTAATTCACCAATAACAGAAAGTGCTGTTTTGATATCTTCGATGTTTTGGTCAGATAAGGAAGGTGCCACAGGAAGTGAATCTAAAGCAGAAAGAAAGCAGCACACGTCACACAGATAAAAAAATGAAATGAAATGAAATGGGGTTTAACGTCCTACTGTTCTGCTCTGACTGGGCTAATGAAGATGCTAAAGATAATAACATCAAGCACAACAAAAAATGGTGAGCTACAGACTGAAAATGTGTTATCGAGATTCTCCCAAAACAAATGATAACTTATCTAAACTACTGTTATAATAAAGAATCACAACACATGAGATCATAGTACTACAATACACAACATTTATAATAAAACAGTTAAAAAACATATTAAATTCAAAATTATATAAAAATACATATACTGGTAGTGAACTTACGTCAATTACAAATGCAAGGAATGACAAAAAAAAATTGGTGAACAGTGCAACATTGCCAAAAGAATTTGAATTATCAATCCATCGTTTTAGGGAAGTATTAAAGGGAGTGCTGTTTGGGCTACAGCCAGAAGGGGGGAGAGAGAGGGAGAGAAAAGGGGATTAACGTCCACTCGACACAAACTAGGTCATTTCGTGACTAACACATGGTTCAATTTTATTTCAATAATACGCTTGTACATAGGAGTCCTTATCAAGGGGATGGAAACCGGAGGACTCAAAGAAAACCCACGAGGTTGGACAGGCGATCCTACTACTTGTCACATACAACCGGGGGAATCGAAACCACACCAGTTGACTCAATGACAGACATTATGATACAACAGGCAGAAATGGGCCCCCAGCTTAATACTAAAAAAATGTTTGTACCATAGATAAATATGACATTTATTATGTTGTATATTATGTTTGTGCCAAATAAATCTACCATACTGACATACAAATTGAATTTGTATAGTGTGACCAGAATATGCATCCTTTTCACTGTTGATGCAACAACACGGGTGACATTTTCAGCCAGGGACCCCCATACAAACTTAATCCGCCCTGCATCTTTTTACTCATCATACTAAACTAGTGCTAAATAAATTAAGCAAAATTTGAATGAATAAAGTACATTTATATAATTTAATCAGAAATGGTAACTGACCTTTGTTATTAGCAGATTCTTCAGCAGATTTAATTGTTATAGTTCCTTCTCTAATGAGTGGTTTATTTACAGTTATAGTAGCTCCTATACCACTGACTATATTAATTGGTGGGTGTGGGGAGGTTGGTTCAGATGGCCGACTGTCATCACTACCACCTAAACACAAAATTATACATACAACCACACAATACACATTATCAGCCAGAAGTCCTGAAACTCATTACTAGTTTAATGATACACGACTGAATGTTCTGGAATTAAATTCTCTTAATCCAACAAATAGTGACAATCGAGTGAAAAACAGAATTTCAGGCTACAAGAGCATGTGTTGACCGATTGGAAAATACCTCAACAAACTGCCACAGTTGAAACATGTTTGTTGTGTTTAATTAGGTTATGACTTAACTCACACTTCTTCAGTTGTTGGCACTGGTAGAACTGTGACAAGACTGAATTATGTGTCACTCTGTTCCGATTCTGTCAATTCAGAGTTTTGCATTTCTTGACTGAACTGGTAATTGAAGAGGCTTACTGTACCAATATTTTCAAACAATCAAGAAGTTATATGTCCCTTAGTTCCAATAATAAATGTGTACAGAATTTGGATAATTGTAAAACAACTGACCTGATACAGTACTGGCCATAGTACCATCTATTGGTAAACCTTGTAAAGCATTCAGTATTGTAGAACCAGGTCTTCCCCATTCCTGACGTCCTCCAGCAGCAGACACTCTAATAATTTTACCATCTGGACTTCTGATCACCTGATCTCCAGCATTTGTGGCTATATTTAAAGAAAAACAACAGCTATATTTCAGCTAATTGGTGTAAAAGGATAAAAACAAAACAATCTTACTCTGTATAAAAATGACTGAGAATAGAATCTTACATTTTAGAGATTATGTCTTGTACATGTGATGTGCAAAAAGGAGAAAATATTGGAAGAAACAAATAAATATAAAAAAAAACCATGTTAACATACCTTCCATTTGAGATGATGTCTGCTCGAGTGGGAGGTCAGATAATTTAACCTGTTGACCTTCCTCCCACTGCGATCTTGCAGAACTAGCAACTTCTTCATCATCACCACCACCAAATGCTGGTATGAATGTACCATCAGGATTAACCCATTTTGAGCGACCAGGATTTTGCTTTAAAAATTATCATGAAAAAAATCAACTTAAATTTGTGTTTTGTACAAAATGTTTAAAGATTCATGGTTCACATCGCTTCAATCAATAATTATTCAAAAGTATAATAAATATTTTTTAAGAAAATTTAATCATTTAAATAAAACTTCTGCAGATTTAGCTAATATAGTATTATTCAATAGATATCAATATTATATTATATATAAGAATTTTTATTGTTAGGGTTTTTAAAATGTTTGTAATATGCATGTATGTACACTCACTTTTTCATTCAATCTTTTTAAAATATTTTCTTTTTGTTGTTGACGTGTAGCTTCTCTGTAAAAACATTTTTCAAAACATTATATTATGGTAAAAATATTGGAATGATTTTAATATCTACCCACCAAATGTGATAACCCTACAAATAATGTAAGTGGAGGACAGATTCTGATATTCAGCCAACATGTACATAGATATCTTTCAAGGTTTAAAATTGTTAAATATGAGTTAATAATCTTACTTATTATCAGGTGTAGGATTAGAACTGTTGTCGTCTGTCGCCCCTATAGCTTGTAAAACACCAGTAATAGGTACAGCCGCAGCAGGTTTCATAACAACAACAGGCTTCTTATTAGCAGAGCCCGGTCTGGGAAAAAATAAATCATATTTTAGATGGTGATAATAATGAAATACAAATTTTTTAACTAAATGAAGGAAAATGTTCAAAATGAAAAATAAAGCAAGTCATAACTGCACACAGTTTTAAAACAAATAACACATAAGTACCTGCTTTGAACATTTCTGCTTGGTGGTCGACTTTTGGCCTGAAACATAAAACACGGAGGTTAATATAACAAGAATATTCATTTCCAATTATACATTATGTTGAAAATGACAAAGGGAAGAACTTTGTGTGAAGATGGTTTTTGTAAAATTATCTTTCCTTAGACCACATGCTAGCTCCAAGTGTATCTTACATTCTACATAATCTTTGTCATTTTTTATATTTCCAGATGAAGAATATAGACTTGACTATCAAGAATGAAAATTTAATCCAACCAAAAAAAAAGGTCAAATACAACCGATTGGCTGAATAAAATATTCTTGTAATTCAACCAATCAGGTGAAGCTAATAATAGTCTTGTTTAATTAAATAATTCTTTCAACTGAAAACTTGTGAATCAAAAGATAGTATGGTAAACTACCTGTGCTTGTCGAGGTATCCATCAGGCCACAACATTCGTGTTTTAGTGACAAAAAAACTAAAAGTTGTGAAGTAAAAACGTGATACTAATATTACAGCATTAATGCAGAAATTCAAGATAATTATTTTAAATCAATCTTGTCTATGTTTGTTATCCAAAAAGACATTCTGATATTCTACCGACATCCAAAAGAATATATATACTAAAACTTTAAGAGAAGCTGTATAAGAACCAAAGCATGATTTAAAAAGATATACATAAAATGCAAACTGGAACAAGCTGTAGGTCTTCTAATCATGTTGTATTTTAGTGACCAATTAAACTACCATTTCAGTTCTCTTATAATCATAAAAAGATTTGAATAATTTTTTCTTGGTATAAATGGACATGTACCTGATCCTCTAAATTACGTCGAAGAGCAATTAAATCTTTTTTAGCCTTTTCTGATTCCTCTTTATTTCGGTTAGCCCAGTCATCTGCCTGTTTCTATAAATGTGAATTTGAACCAAATGCAGTTAAATTAAAAGCAATGAATAGACTAATTCTACAGAAGTTAAATGAACGTGACATCTACTGCAGCAGTGAGATCGGCATTGGAACAAGGATTAAGGGATTGATAATACATAATGATTAAGGTTCTGAGTTAAGACAGAACCTAACATTCGTAACGTCTAGCTGAGTGACAAGCTAAGGGTAGTCATTGATCAGTGAGTGTCAATTGTGAACAAAGAGGAATGTATGGTACGTGTTATCAAAATAATTATTGCTTCATGCATATTTGTTTTATAACTTAACTTTCCAGATTAAGACGACCCACGTTATGGTTTCTCAAAGATTTGTATGAAACAATGTGGAGTGCAAAAGTCCCAATGCCCCAAATATGGGAAATTGAACTGAACAGAGTAAATGTAGATGTGGAGTCCTCAGAGATTTGTATAATGTTACAAGGGGGTGGGGCAACACTGTATCATTGTGTTAATAATAGGAATACTATCAATCATGTAATCATGAAATCTGCTCTATAAACATTAGCCTTGATCTAGGGAGGGAGATTTTTAATTTCTCAAAATAGTGTTTATTTATTTTACAAATTCAGATATTATATGAGCATATTAATCTTCAACTAGCAAGCAACAAAGTTTTAATTAAATACTAAAATCTTGATATGCAAAACCTGTATGCAGTGACATAATAAAATCCTAAATTTCCAGGCTTATACATGTACATGCGTATCTATGGCAACCATAAACATCTCACCTTTAAGGCTTCTATTTTCTTTCTTCTATCTTCATCTAATGGTGGCTGAGATAAAAACAGAAAATTTCTTCATTACTGATATTAATTCTTTTTCTACAAATAATATTACATTGATATTCCAATATTGGTAATTGTGACTCATCAGTAGGCCTAATGTAGGAAATGTAAATATTATGATGTAAACATAAACTTTGATTTCTCTCTAAACTATGTTCCCTTGAGCATTAGTAGGTTATGTGTTTTACTCTCTAAAGTGAAAGTATGAATTTTCTAATGGCCATGAAACATAAAATAATAATAATTTTCTAATAAGCCCACAAGAAATTGAATGAGTAATTATTACAGTGGGTCCACCTCGGAATCTGCTGTTGTTATGTTAACATGTGCATTAGTCTCTTGCAAATATAATGAATAATGACGGCTATGTTAAATTTATTGATTGTCAATATAGCTTCTCTTGAAATGTCTGGAATAATATGTTTTTGGTGACAAATATTTTCCAATGATAAATAACATACCTTATATTTTCCTAAATCAGCATTATCAGGATCTTTTTTACCTTGTAACATTTTTCGTTCACGCATATTCTGTTCTCGTATTTTACGTAGTTGACTTAGATAATCCTGGGAGGGTAAACAAAGAAATTATTTAATTATGATTCTCAATTGAAGACCATCCAATCATCAGATAATGTTTGAACAGTCAAACGCAAAACATGTGGCCGTACTGTAGTATCCCCATTAAGTTTTATTGTTGGCAACTAATCAGAAATAGATGACATAATTAAAAGTATTACTTTATAAATTCAATAATCTTACTTGTTCTTCTCTATTTCTAGCAGAAACAGCAGCACCAGGTTTAACTTGTAGTTCTAAAATCAATAAATATTTCACTTAAAGTTTAATGGGGCATTATGGGAGATTAGATTAGATTTTAGGCTAGCCTCGATCAACATTACTCAAGTCGGTACAATAAAAAAACAAAGTTTCGATTATCCATTTTTACTTTTAATTATTATTCAAGAAATGTATTCCAATCCACTAAATATCTCTGGCTAGCGATGGCATCGAGAGTTGATTGTGGTCTGGATAAGTTAATAAATGTCAAATTAATAATTTAGATAAGATTTCAGGCCTAAAGAAAGACCTGCAATAGGCAGATTTAGCTCTTGCATAATGTATGTTTAATCAAAGTGAGAATAATTTTACATTAATAAATATCAATTCATAAATTAAATAAACTGTTCCATCGTCACTACCAGTAAAGTAATGGGACATTTGGCATTCTCAAAATATTTAAACATAACACAATAAATGTCTCCGTACAGAAAGTTGGTCTCGACACAGCGAATGTACGCGCTTTAGTGGCATATCTCTAAGTGATTTCTCGCTTACTACGCACTAAATTAAATAAACTGTTCCATCGTCACTACCAGTAAAGTAATGGGACATTTGGCATTCTCAAAATATTTAAACATAACACAATAATAATAAGCAAAATTTCGTCAATAAATGTCTCCGTACAGAAAGTTGGTCTCGACACGGCGAATGTACGCGCTTTAGTGGCATATCTCTAAGTGATTTCTCGCTTACTACGCACTATGATAATACTCAGCGGTAGAGTCTATGATACTATAAATAGCCATTGCACGTGAAATTCTCTACACATCTATCAACTATTACAGCCGTAAAAAATCTATTGTTGACGATTCTGAATAGCAGTAATATTTAGCTTATTGGTTATTACAGCAGCTTTAGAAATTACGTTCGTTTTATTTTTTAAATTGCTTTATCATTAACTGTACCATTAGGAGCGACATCTATTGGTTTAGTACAAATAATATCTCTGAAATACTTGCGTTGGGCAAAAACATGATACCAGCAGTAGTTTCATTTTACTTTTACAAGGTTCTTAAAACAATTGTTGAGTTGCCCAACGTGCGTGTTTCTAAATTCAATTTATTGTTCCAGCTTTCTGTTATTTTTCGTAAAAAAAGTAATCTTGATTATCCCGGCCTGTTAATCAAACGTAGAATGGTCGGTAGACTGGTTAAGCGAGACTACTTTCAAAACCTATTTTTTACTCACATGTGCTTGGATGTTATGGCCGACACTTGGAACCATCTTTCAGTGTATTATTTATGGATGATTAAATGGTCATAGCTTATTACATACAACATGACCGTTTATTTAGTGACTATAAATGTTTGAAACTGATTTAAGGCTTGGTGTATATATAGATATTGTGGTGTAATTGTCGAGATATTTATTTATTGTGGGGCACCCTACCTTATAAATCTTAGTCAAAGTAATAATATATATAAATATACTTACTTGGAGTTGCTGCTCTTTGTACACCAGCTGATGATGGACGATTCTTTAAAAAAATAAGAATCAAAATTAAATACCGGTACTAACAAATACACCAGAGAAACAATTGGAAAGAGTCAATCAGCGCAAATTTTTGATAGAAGTCTTCATTATAACCTTTTCAACCATCCCACAAATTTTAAAAGTATATAACCAAATATATCAATAAGGTTATGTTCCCTCTAAATTCATTATCAATATTTTCTAATTAGAGGCTGGCATTACGTTCTCAACTCCCAATAATTAAAATACATCAAAAAATCCTATTCTATCAACCCAAGATTTGACAATATGGTGGACATCATGATGCAGGATGTCAAGGGTTACAGCTGGAAGGGTGTGGCTCTCCCATTCACACTTGTGTACTTGACAAACTAGCAATAAGGGCTGTACTTTGAGATTTTCAATAGAAAGGACATCATTAAAAAAATATATGTGAAGTTTGTGTTGGTGGCAGAACAGTAGGATGTTAAACCCTATTTCATTTTATTTCATGTCATGTCATTTGTTTTGGGGAACAAATATATTTTCCAGGTAATTTACATATCATCTCTAAGGTTTTTTTAATAAGGAATTTGAATCTTGATAGAATATATTTCTAATAGTTAAATTAAGTCTAAATGTTTGGTATCACCTTCACAAGCTTTTAATATCAAAATTATTCAAACCTGGTGAAGGATTCATCAACACATAGTCAATCTTGATTCTCAATAATATTTACACTAGAACTATTGAGTGCCCCAACAATATTTACACCAGAACTACTGAGTGCCCCAAATATATTTACACCAGAAATAATGAAGGCCTCAATAATATTTACACCAGAAAAATAAATTGACAATGGTTCTGAGAAATCTTTGTGCAATGAAGAATGAGTTTGTTTTTATAATAAGAGATGAAATAATACTTACACCATATATCTCAGCTTGACCTCGAGCTTTATTTAATGCTGCTTCCTTTTTTCTGTTTAAGAATTCCTCTGCTAACCTATTTCTTTCAGCAGCCTCAGCTATTGCCCGTCTGTCTTCAGCACCCTGACCAGCTCCTCTATTAAACTGAAACTGTTCTCTACCTAATCTCTTTGGCGGGGCTGCTTCAGAAGGAGCTTGCATATATGGTATAGCTAAAAAAAAAGGTTAGAAATTCGTTTTCAATTATTCTTGCAGAGTGTTAGTAAGATTTTTTTAATATACAGAGAGATGAGCTCAACTACATAACAAGTCTTTTGAAATCCCTGTGAACTATCCAGCTTGTGATATTTAACTCAATTTATTTTTGAATTGATGTTTATATATTATTACCTGCCGGTCTAGGTAAAGGTACAGGTCCACCTTCACGTATTCTATTAATACGATCTTGTTGCATTTTGTCAAGGTAAGCATTATAGTGTTCATAATTTCCTTTATCACCTCCTATTCTAAATTCTGGTTTCTGTAAGTAAGTAGAGTTGAAAACATAACAATACATTTTAATACATATCTGTTATTATAATAGAAAGAAAGGAATTGACTGATAAATGTCTAGTCAAACCAATACTCTGGTCATTTTGAGACTAAACTATCATTTTGTGTGCAAGGAGACAGGAAGAATTTTGCCCAATACTCTGGTCATTATGAGACTAAAATATATTTTTTACTTTTCTGGTCATTTTGAGACTAAAATGTTTTTTTATTTTTACTTTTTTGTGGACAATGAGAAGAATTTTGCCCAACAATACTCTGGTCATTTTGAGACTAAAATATGATCATTTTTAATTTCTTTGTGTACTGTCAGTGAAGAAGAATTTTGCCCAGGCAGCTGCAGTTCTGCCTGGTATTCTTCAAGGATATTTTTAACTGCACTATTAGTACAGAAGACAGCAATACAAAATTTTAGATTTCCTTTCAATATATAAAACAGTCCGAAATAGTGAAAAGTACAATAGACTGGCAATGTATTATCACCTACCCTAGGTACAACTAAAGGTGCTCTCTGTGGTGGTGGTTGACGGACTTCAACTTCTGGTTGTTTGGGTGTCTATATTAAATAAAATAAGCTCATTTTGTATGTAGAAACTAAGAACAGATTCACATGTAGATGGATTTAAAATGGGCGTATTTTATGTACCCTGAACAGATGGCACAAAATTTAGGACTTTTTATATATGCAAACCATCCAATACACCCTTGTCAAGCTCCCATTCTCCCACCCCACACGAAGATATCTGCCTTTGGTAGAAACAGAAGTGGTGTAAAACGTCAAAATATCCCCCTTTAAGGTATAGACTAGTTCATAAAGTTTAACATCCTACATTTCTGCACCACCCGGGGTAATGGTATACTAGTTCAGCAGTTGATACACTTCCTTCCATTCATGACTTGAGCTGTTTGCCCTTACCATGAAGAGAATCAAAAACAATTAAATATCTATGCAATTAATATTGGAAAGCATTTTGAAATTTTACTTACCGGGGGAGGATCAAGTAAATTATTCCAGCCAGCTTCTCTAGATCTATTTATCTGAGCTATCTGAAACAGAAAATGCCAAATACAGTCCCTGAGAGAGAACCGGTACAAGCTTCGTCCAAGAGTTAACATAATTATTATGGGACCTACGATACAACAAAGGCCATAAGTTGTGAAATTGTGAATGGGATTGCAAAAGTATCTGCATCAAAATTTAAAATTCCACGAGACTAATAATATTGCAATGTAAACAATACAGCAGGATATACAAGCATTGATTCTCAAAATCCACTCAACAACGAAAAACAAAGGGCTTGAAACCACCTATTCTTTAACTCTATCTTGCTTTATATTACTGGGTATGTTCTTTTATTTTCTTTGAGTTTATATTCAGCTTTAGATATCACAATACTGATATCAATTGATTTTTATACCATGAACTTTATAACTATTCATCGCCAATTCATTGCTGTTCCAGATAATATATACCACACGTCAAGCATTGTGGGTTGTGACGTTATCTTCTTCATGTCCATGTGATAGAACAGTGTTAAAATATATATAACAAAAAAGCATTTCTCTTTAAATAAAACATGAATATTTCTTAATGCATGTGTTCAAAACACATGCAATTTACAAAAGAAAAACTGATGAAATGATGATAAAGGCAGAAAAATATCCAGAAAGCTACAAGATTGAACAAAAGTAAAAGCAAGCACCTAAATGTTTTTTAGGAACAAAAAGTGAAGGATTACCTTTTGTTTCTGTACAAATTCTTTATGTTGTTTAGCAAAATATTCTTGTTCCTGTGCCAAAAAAAGGAAACCTACTGAAATGTTTATCAGTGCAAGCTAGAGACAGTTTGTGCATTGGGTTTCTAGTGACATTTTCAGGGCTTTCTTTATGACAAACAAGTGTTCACTTTCTAAGGTGTGGATGCCAAATTGGAGATTTTAGATTATGTATTATCTATTATATATACATGCATATCTCAGTTCTATATCTAACAAATTCATTTCATCCAGCAAGGACAAAATTTCCATTCCTTATTATAGCTTTGTATTTGAATGATATAGATAGATGTACCATGAGTAAGTCATCACACCGACATTAATATCAAATAAAGCAGTCTCTGTATATTAAAGGACACTAATAACACACACGCAAATACAAAATCAATATCAAAACAAAATTATAAGAGGGTTTGTTACAATGAAAACAAAAAGCAGAAAAAAGAATGCTGGACTACATGTATATGAAAAAGATATAAAAATATCATATGTTTAATTAATGTAAATCTGTTGTGAAGAGTATTGGATTTCAGAGTCTACGGTAAGTTTACTAAGGGAGGTAATTTGATAGATATAAGCTTAAATATTTGTCTTTCGTTTTAGAGATGAACAAGAATTTGTTTTAATCTTTTATTAAAGTTATCGATGTTGATTTGCTCAACGTTAGTGAACTAATGTTGTGAATTTGTTGAAACAATTATAACCTAATGTCCACGGTTAAATTAAGACTAATCCTTGCAAAAAGAAGGTTAAAAAAGCAACTCACATGCACATTAAAAATAAGATTATACCTTTTGTTTTTCCTCGTCTCTTCTCTGTTTTTCTCTCTCTCGTAATTCTATTCTCTTTTTTTCCCAATCCTGTGAAAACATAAGCCCACTTATTTCAGACAAGGATCCTGTCAATCCAATCATATCCACTGGTTATTTGGTAACATTTGGATATTCTCTGATGAGTGCAGAATCTTTCCATGGTGGTGTGATATTTTAACCCTGTGGTGGGATGTTTAACCTGAGAGTGTTTTAATCATGTGGTAAGATATTTTAACCAAGTGGTAAGATATTTTAACCATGTGGTGGGATATTATAACCATGTGCCTGTGGTGGGATATTGTGGGATATTTTGACCATGTGGTGCAATAGTTTACTCATGTGGTGGGATATTTTAACCATGCACTAGTATATTTTAACCATGTGGTGGGATATTGAGGGATATTTTAACCATGTGGTGCAATAGTTTAACCATGTGGTGCAATAATCTAACCATGTGGTGCAATAGTCTAACCATGTGGTGCGATAGTTTAACCATGTGTAGGATATTCTAACCAAGCACTAGAATATTTTAACCATGTGGTGGGATGGTTTAACACTAAGAGTATTTTAATCATGTGGTGGGATATTTTAACCATATGGTGGGATAGTTTATCACCAGAGTAATTTAACCATGTGGTGCGATATTTCAACCATGTGGTGGAATGGTTTAACACTAGAGTATTTTAATCATGTGATGGGATATTTTGACCATGTGGTACGATATTTTAACCATGTGGTGGGATAGTTTATCGTCAGAGTGATTTCATCATGTGGTGGGATATTTTAACCATACACTAGGATATTTTTCCATGTTCCATGTAGTGGGACATTTTTCTCATGAATTTAAAACACACTATATAAATTTAAAGTCAATCAATTCATAACTTTAGATAGGCGGACGGACAGAGGTGATGACAATATACAATCAAAATCTATGTGGGTGTATAAAGACTTACAGCTTGACCAGGTACAATTCTTCCGGCACCACTCTTTTTCTTTACATCAACGCCGGATCTATATAAATAAATATATATCTTTTAATATAAACCTATTTCAGCAATTCCCTTTGATCTTTAAGAGATATTCTCTCAGAATAACTTCATATTAGATGTAACCTGGTATGGATGTTTCTATTCCTTATATTTTAGTAATCTACAGCTGAAAAAATGCATCCAATTTTGTGATGGTTCATAAACAAGATAAAACACTCCAATCTCTTTATACTGGAAAAAGTAAACACTTGTGAAGAAATCCTCTGTAAAACCAAGACCTTGGTCTTTCTTAGTCTTACTACCATAATGTCAAGAATCATGCTTTATTTCTAAAATACAAATCTCCAGACTAGTATATTCAGTCACAGTGTAGTGAAATTGTTTCCTAGTTTAGAAATGAAACAGTTTATGATTTGCACAATATAAGGAATCTGCATTTATTTTGACTGAGCTCTATAAAATACAAAAGTACCATGCAAATTCTTAGTAATGAACTTTCCAAAAGCCAAAAATATGCATACATTTATACAAACCTTTTTTCGTTAGATTTTTTAACCAGTGGTTGTCCATAAATATTTGCTGGGTTATATTTAGAATTAGATTGAGCTGGTTTGCTTACACTTCTCTTAGCAGCTGAAAACAAATTTAATTTAAATCTTCAAGCACTGGTAAATTGATTAACGGCTTATTCTATAGTGTGTGCAGGGCACAGCACAACACACAAACAATTACACAAGACAAACCCACAGGCAGGACACAATATACACAGACACCTCAAACAAACGCACCTATAAGATCAACTGAATGGATCCAGAAAGGTGTATATTCTAATCTTACTTTTCTTCAGTCAATGATCATAAGACAGTTATACTATAGATGATGGTGAGATTGGTTACATTTCTCTTTAGAGTTGAAAACAAAAGCTTATATTTCTAGACGACCATCAGAAAAAAACAATAGATAAGAAATCTACAGACATTAAATCTGTGTGCCATAGATCATTTGTGCCACATGATGCACATAAGGAAATGAAATGAAATGGGGTTTAATGTCCTACTGTTCTGCTCCTATACTGTGCACATAAGCAAATAAAAAAATAGTAATATTATCTCTATTGTACAGTCTGAATCTGAAATCAACAGTGGAATGTTTTACGGTCATAAAACTTAATATTTTAAGAGCGTATATGTTATTCAATCACTGATTATTTAAAGATAGGATCTAAGTTAATTAAATTTTCCATAAAATAGATATTCGAATTGGAAGCTGTTTAGTGTTAAAATGTTACTTTCATTTACCTGAACCTGGTCGTGAATTGGCTGATGCTGGTCTAGCAGATCCAGGACGAGGAGGTGGTGGAAGAGCTCTGGCTATCTTCTTACCATGCATTATAGTATGACTAAATTCTTCCGCTAATTTCTAATCAAAAATTAAACAACACAAAATCTTAAAATCATTGAATTACAAGAAACTAATTCCTGTAATGGAAAAATCACAGGGTTAAAAGGAACCATTTCGTTGACAACCTTTCCCAATATAATGATTGAGCCAACAAAAACAAAAACAGAATTTTCATAGATATACTCACATCATCAGATAAAAGATTTCTCACTTTCTGCATCATTATATTTTTACGCAGCAAAGAGTTTATAGATGGTCGATCTCTACAAGAACACAACATTAAAACATTAAATAAATTTCTCTTTTAACAATGAATGTATTTTATTTGATCAACACAAAGTCATATATTAGTCAGTGTTCTCATAGAAATCTCACATGTGAAACTATAATTGATTTCTTGTATCGCTGTAAGTGGTTTGTGATGATTTTAATAAAAGAGTCATTCTAAGTAAGTGCCATAGCATTAAATTTCAATCGGTCAAAAATGGATATTTTAAGAATATATGATCAAAATTTAACTCAAACTAATTGATGTTGGTGAGAATCAGACATCAGTCTGTGATCTAGCTTCCATCAAAATTTCTATTATTTCCAAAAGGTTTTTAAAATACCCAGTTAGTTGTACATTATGGAGATACTTGATTGAATTTTCCGGAATTGAATTCTGTCAATCCCCAAATAGGTGACAATCGAGTGAAAAGAATAATTCCGGACTAACATGCATATGCAGACTGCATAAGAATATATCCCACCAACCATGACAGCTGAAACATATTCAGTGTGTTTAATTACATCACCACTCTACTCACACCACATCTGTTGTGTGGACCGACAGAACAGAATTCTGAAATTCCAGACTGACAAACGAGCATCCCCTATGAATTTGATGACCATTTTCTGCAGTATGAATTACCTTGGAGATCTTTTAAATAACTGCGCTATAATTCCACGTAGTTCATAACTATATTTAGGAGGGATCGGTGGATAAACACCTCTGAAAAAAATATTTGTAATATTTGTTGATATATCATTAATTAATACAGAAAGTAATATTTATAATAATGAGGTATATGTATATAATATCTGTATATATTTTTCATGTATTATTTTATATTATCTAAGATACATGTATAAATCTTTAATATCAATGTATGGTTATTGGTTCCCCATAAACTAAGTCACAGTTAGTTATATTTTTGAGAAAATAAATGCATGTATGGTGCACTAAAATTGTTACCTGATAATCTTCAAAACTAAATTTTTCATATTGCCTGCCTCAAACTAGAAACAATACCAAAAAAAAGAATTAAGTTGAGATCTTAGCAAGAGAGAAAGAAATGAGGTTTAATGTCCACTTGACACAAACTAGGTCATTTCGAGAATAACACATGGTTTAGCAGTGGGAGAAAACCCACAAGGTTGGACAGACGACCCTACTCCTTGTCGCATACAACCGGGGGATCGAAACCACACCAGTTGACTCAATGACAGACCTTATGACACAACGTGCACATGCTAACCATTTGGCCATCCAGCCCCACCATCTTAGCAAGATGAAAATATGGCCATGTTCTTAATATAATTTGTACTTTCTTCTTTAAGAGCAATTTCTATTGACTAGTTACATTATTTTCAAATTGCCTTTTATTCAATATACCAGTATATGAAGAAATCTATAGATATACTTACAGCATGTTTTAAAGTTGTCATTTCATACAGAACACAACCTAATGACCACACATCACTACAATAATAATTATAAAATTTTCTCATAATTTTTAATTTAACTTGAACACAACAAGATAAAAAAACATTACAGCTATAACAATTATAACCTTTCTCATACTTTTTCCATATAATTCACAACTGAATGAACCTATGTCACTATAATAACAATTACAAACTTTCAATACCATATAAAACACTATCTAATAACACATTACTCTAGATATATCAATTAAAACACTAACATTTGATATTTGTTTATTTTTTGCAATGGCTATATTTTGTCTTGTCGCAGGTTTATCTTGTAGATTTTTGTTTTGCATGTAGTGTGGTCCATCTTGCACTTACTATTGGAGTGTTTTTTATATTAAGTAAAATCTAAGAAGAATTCTAAAGTAGAAATTATCAGAAATGTAAGTGCAATGTTTTCAGGTCTAATAATTTGTTTAACAATTATTGTCAGGGAAGTTGGTGAACACACACCTGACTCAACTAAGTTTTATATTTTCTATGTTTTATATGTACTAACCTCTTATTATTATAAGGTAGATTTTCAACTAATTCAGGTGATAGATAATATGGTGTACCTATACATGTTCTAGCTAATTCCATGGTACTAAAAAAAACCAAAAAACAAATAAAATATCAACACAGCAAACAAATAAAATAAATTTTGAATAATACAAATAGCATGATGCCACTAACTCATTTCTTTCTCTTTTTTTTTCAAACAGATAACAGTACCGAATTAAGGTTGCATATGGCTGCTGGCTGAAAATGTCACTGGTGCTCTTGTATCAATAGGTTGTAGTTGTGAAAATTCTATGACGCATATGACATATTTATTTATGATGCCAAAAAAGTTCCAAAACTAATATTGGTGCCCGTTTAATATTGGGGACTGCAGCCTAGTAAGCACCCCCTTTAATTAGGATAACATTGAAAAAATTATGAGAAAAAATATCTTTAGAGTTTTATGCCTTATAATTAAATAGACCCAAACAAGGGGTTGTCAGTCACAATCATGTAGCGGAACTGGATTCAAACAATTCTTATTTTTTCTACTGAGTTAACTGTAAAAAGTCACCTACCTATTTAGAACTTTAGCTATACCAAAATCACCAATCTTCACTCTACCTTCACCAGTAAGAAATATATTCTGTAACAACATGTTCAAAATATACAGAATATAATCATGATTGTATATCTCTAATTATTCAGAACATCAATTTATATTCATAAGATTCCCAATTAAATACAATACAAAGTAGTCTTAACAAAAAGCATATTATTGTAATAATTTAAATTTAAGTCAGTATCGGTACAATATTACATCGAATAGGAAAAAAACAAACTGAAATCTAACATTTTTGGAAACGGAAAATCATCAGCACTAAACCCGCAATCACTTATTACGTTGTTGGCCTGAATTCTTTATACGCTTAAATTAACAGGACAATGGACAGTGTCCAAGACAAGGACAGAAGTGGTCATAATACCAGTATGTCATTTTGATATGTCATTAAAATATGGAAGAGTGAACTTGGGCTATTATCTATTGTAAATATTTGTATTGATGAGTATACTAGATGACTAAATAAAATTTCAACCTGAAATCAAACTAATCTATAACAAGTACGATTGTGCTATGAACCAGGAACTGACCAAGTTGTTGGATGAAATTCAAAAATCTAATTCACCAAATCGATTCAGAATTGTTCATAAGCATGCCAATTTTTATGTCAATTGGACTTGATGGAGCCTTAGGCATTTTCGAAGAGCGTCACCCCAAGAAGAAGTAGAAAGTAGAACAAGAAGAAGTAGAGTAGCGGTTAGCGACCAGTTCTTGGTCCAAAAATCATATTATATACAGTATGAACAATACCTGTGATTTGATATCTCTGTGTAATATTTTCCTGTCATGTATATGTTTTATAGCTAAACATATCTGGGCAAAGTATGACCATATCTGAAATAAATCAAAGATATAAAAATCAATTGTTAAACGATCAAGAGGTAATAGGGTAACCTTTCCCCTCAAGGCATTAAATTCACAAATAATCAAATAATGAATATGATTTTCCTACCATTGTGTTCAGATATTGAAAAGCTGCATTCCACTTTAGGTAATCTAATGACTAGTGTTAATTGTAAGGCCATCATTTTGAAGATTCCATTTGTGTATACTTTGTCTAAGGAAGGAGACATATTGGGGGTATTTTCGTCAGGTTTTTCTTTATATTTGTAGTAATTCACTACACTGTGCGGAGGAGGAATCAGAATCATTTGATGTTTACATTTTTACACCCATAATCTCACTTCGACAACTAATTAATTTGAACAGCTGAAATCTTTATTGATTGTCAATTGGCAGGTAGGTATTGAATTGAATACAACAGATTATGGCTAAAGTAATCTAATATCATTTTGCTTTATACACATCAATAGGATCTCCCTGATAATGTTCATCGAACAAATAAAGGTTGGCTGAACAAACTATTTCCTTGGATAAAGTTTAGAATTCTTCTTACCTGTTCTTCAGTCATCAATGCCCCTCTCTGTTGATTTATTTTAGAATACAAATCTCCTGTTAATAAATGAATAAAATATATAATATAAATAAAAACATCTTTTACGTGTACAGGTTCTTTAAAGATGACAAGCAAAACTAATGCTCTGGAGGCATTAGACCAACGGTAAAGATATTAATTTTCAATTTAACATGATTTTACTATATAAAGGTGATAATCAGATTTACATTTATTTTCTTGTTTAACTGGGATAATTCCTCTTCAATCCAAGATGATGATTAAACAAGTGTTAGGAGGTAATTAATTCCAATCATATGACAAAGAATTCGGCATTGTCACACCCAGTATGGTGGTAGTGTAGAATCGTGAAATCAAAAAGTTACATGGTGGTTGAGATATTTTCTTATTCAATTCATTGATACTTGTTTTATTCATCGGATTGAGAGGATTCAATTCCAGATTGTTTAATCATTCAACATTTATACCTGTTTAAATTGTAACTTTTAAATCATATTTAAGATCATGTTCCTGAAGCAACGACTGCGAGTTTGACAACATCCGGACGTTGCTAGATTACTTCACAATTCCGGAACTTATATCTACATTATCTACAGACACGTGACCAGTAGCATCCAATCACTGGCAATCAGAGGTTGTGACAAAGCGACCTCCACAGAAACCTTGACACTGAACGAACCTTGAACTTTGCAACTCGATTATCACAGGTATCACTTTAGCTTGAAAGCATGAGACTTTGTATTCGCGACGATCGAGGAATCTGAGCTTGTACCCAATCGAAATTAGTGCCGAAATATGCAGGGTATTACGTGAAGGCCTTGATAAGATATACATAGTGAAAGCGAGATCAAGCCTTCTATTGAAGATGATTTAAGATATACAAACCTCCAGCGCAGTAGTCCATACATATATAAAGTGTTCCTTTCTCTGTAAATAACAAATAGATTTATTATTTCATATTCATTTCAATCAACTATTGCTTCAGATTTCTAGCCAGATTTATAAATTATAAAAATGTACTTCGAAGGAAAAGGGGACAGGTGCAGAGAGATTAATTATTTTTACATTCCAAATCTATGAAACAATATAAAATTATTTATAATTTCCAAACAATTATTTAGCATACCTTCAAATGACTCCAGATAGGTAACAATATTAGGATGATTTAACTGGGCTAAAACTGCTACCTGAATAAATAAAACATTCAATCATTTTATTCTGTAAATATAATTAAAATGTTCATGTAATGTACAAGCATATAGTACCCATGTTCTGTGCACTATTATTTGATCACCTGAACACAGACCGGTGTTAAATAAACTTCTGCTGATCATTGTAACATTATAGGAAAACTTGTTTGATTTTTGCTTTTGTCTTACATGTACGTGACTGATACTTTTTTCAAAAATCAACCGAGGATCCAATGATCATTTGCATTACTGGGAACAGGTAGAATGTGTTTGTTTATTTGTACTGTTCTTGAATAACAATATGCATAAGTTTAACAAATGTTGCAATACATGTATAATGTATATATATATCACCCTCAAAATACAAATAATGTACTATGTACTATTCACTTACTGACGATGCTGCAAATATAGCCTTATAATATATGCATAAAAATACAATAATTTGTCCAGTTACAAAAATCAATCACTTTTACTGTTCTTATTGATCACTTAAAATTAAGTTACCTCTTTTCTGGAATCTTCTCTTTCTTTGGGTCCCATCTGAAAAATCAAAATTGTTCTTTTGGGAATTCAGAAAAATCATATTTTTTCAGTAGCATTAGTAGTAGAATTAAATGTATAATTAGAACCTAATATGGATCTATTCAATTTTTATTGTCATAAAATAATTTGCTTCTTACAAAATAATGGGATAATCAATAAAATGTTAATATACTATTCAAAAAAAGTAGGGGATATTTGATTTTGGGGGCATAATACTAAAATATGCAAATGACTACGAAAAAAGTCACTATAGAACCTAACAGAAGAAACATTTCCAGTTACATGTGACGCCCAAACGCACCAATAGCTACCGCATGGAATGCAGGTGATGCTTGGGATCATCATGGGGGTCCAACCCAAGATTTGCACGACTCTGACTTTGAATGTTACAGTCATTGTGGCATTGAATTCCAGGGTGGAAACATCAGTTTAATTGTTTTAGTGACCAGAAAACAAATTTTGATATGCGTCGGCTTACCCAAAATGAAAGGTTACGTGCCCTTGGCATGCTACAGATCGGCACAACACAGGCGGTTGTGGCGCGGACGATGAATGTTTCTCAGTCTGTCATAAGCAGGCTATAGTCCAGATACCGTGATACACAATCTGTACAGGACAGACCACGCTCAGGTCGACCAAGGGCAACAACTCAAGCCCAGGATCGATTTATCCGTACCTTGGCCTTGAGAAATCGTGTCATCACAGCAAATCAGATCAGCACTCGTCTTCAAACAGACACTGGTGTGAGAGTGAGTGGCCAGACGATTCGGAATCGACTGCATAGGGGTCACCTTCGCGCCCGACGTCCTCGCGTGATCCCTTGTTTGAGAGATCATCACATTCAGGCAAGACGTCGTTGGTGTAGGGATCGTCAACACTGGGATAATCGACGCTGGAGCAATGTGATGTTTTCAGATGAGTCAAGGTTCACTGTTGATTTTTTGGACAGACGTAGAAGGGTGTGGCGTCGTCGAAACGAGCGCTTCCAAGACGTTAATGTCATCAGACATGATCGATTTGGGGGTGGTTCTGTTATGGTGTGGGGAGGCATCACTGTTGCTGGAAGAACGGCTTTACATGTTGTTGCAGGGCGTGTTACAGGCCAATACTACCGGGACAACATCTTGGCAGTCCATGTTGTGCCGTTCGCACGACGTCATGGCCGCCGTTTCATCTTCCAGGATGACAACGCAAGATGTCACAGGGCCAGGATCGTTACAGGTTACCTCCAACAACAGAACATCACCACATTACCTTGGCCAGCACTGAGTCCCGACCTCTCCCCCATCGATAATGTCTGGGACATGCTTGGACAGAGGTTACGTCAACGTCAACAACGTCCTGCCAATGTCCAAGAACTTGCTGCTGCGTTGCAACAGGAATGGGACAATCTGGACCAAAATGACCTTAGACGTCTCATTAGGAGTATGCCACGTCGGATCAATGCTTGTTTGGCAAACAGAGGAGGATTTACCCGTTACTGACTTGGTTGTGATGCTGTGGTAACTTTGCTGTTTGACCCCGGGTATCATTTTACCCTTATAATGGTCAGTCTGTGCCTTACTTAGTCTAACGATCATTTGGAATAAATCGATGAATGTGAACTTCATTTCATTTTGTCATTTGTTTCTTCGTCAGTTTCATTAGATGACTTTAATAACACTTAAAAATCAAATATCCCCTACTTTTTTTGAATAGTATATTATATTTAAATGTTTTGTAATCTCAATAAGTTTACATTTATTTCAATTCATTGAAACTCTAATATACCGTAACTTGTCTACTACTCTTTAAGTTGTGAAATACAACAAAAATGTACAGCTCTCTGTATCCATGTAAGTATTAATTATTGACATCAAATACATGTAAGTAGATATGAAAAATCAATGGATTAACGAGAATAATAAATTATTAATGAATAAATATCAACTAACTCGTCCCAGGCTGATTTCTTTAATAACACACTGCTTCCCATTTTCTTTACTCTTTACCAAAATAGCTTTGCCAAAAGCTCCCTCTCCAATTTTCTTTACTCGCATATATCTATCCATGATTAATTATTAGTGTATAGCTGGAGTGTGTCAGTCTTTTGTCTGGTCTTCAAATACCTACAGGTTGACTTAACAAACTGATCACCTTGTCTAACCTAATTTAAATGTTTTGACAAAAATGACATGGAAAATCACATCCTTTATATGTTATGTTTCAGACTCTTTTCTGGCCAACAAGTATCAACAATCTTCTAACTATATATATATAATTTATGCCTATACTATGGTCCTTCACCTTAAAGTTTACCCTTTAGAAAGCATTAAAAAAATATATATATTCTTCTTCCAACGTCAGAACAGCCTTAGTAAACAATCAAATGGCTTCAAACTGTCACTGTTGGTTCGACTGGAAAGTTTCAACTAAAACAAACAATAAGTTTCTTTTAAATTTCATCGAGTTATAATATTTGCATTTGCCATATTACGACACGTAGTGTACAGTAACAGTTGTCACCATTTCAAATCAGACTATTTTCACATCATGTAGGCAAGAAGAACAGGTATTAAATTTCCCTCTAGATTATTGTCATTAACAGAAATGGATTCAACAATTTTCCCTTTCATCGTGCAGTAAATATGTACACTTTCTAAAAATAGTAATTTTGATGAGGACAGAAATGTAGAAACCAATGTAAACTATTTATGTTACTTCCGGTTATTTTTGACAGTGGCTAAAATTTTTAAGACAATGTATTTCCGAAACGAATATTATAGAATGTCTTCTTTTCCATAAATTTAATAACATATATACAATCCACTATTAAAACCACCAAAGACTGATACATCTGACAAGAACATCATTTATGTTTCATGGTTGTTATTTATGTTTAATTACATGATTTAGTCCTGTAATTTGTTCCTTGTTGTGAAACTTCGAATTTTGTATAATCCAATGAAAACCCCTTTTTACGGATCAGTTTTGGAATGTACATGAGCCAAAGTAAAATGACACCTTAAGATTCATCAAAGCTAAAGAATTTAATTTTTATTTTAGAACTACTTATGTATATGTATTTAAGAATATATTTTATTATTCTCTTTGTAAATTTTAAATAATACTCAAATAGAATCTACTTCGTATTTAAACACTGTCCTTTGTTGTTTTGGCAACGATCCGCACTAATTTCAAGGTTAACCAACATGGCAGCCGCCGTACGATTCGGACAACATTTAAAAGAATTAAGAATCCATTTATGCCAGAAATCAAGCACAAGCAAGGGTGTGAGGTAAACATTCGTGCACATTTGAAACAAACCAATCAATACTGCAATAGACACTGCACTAATCATTCTGTCTTATCTAGTTCTAGACTCGAGTCACAATGACAGACGAGACGAATGTTGTTTGGACACTCACACAATAGTTTATATTTATATCACCAAATTGTTTAAAAGAGAATTGAAACTGGATTGGTATTCACTACATTAACGGGAGTCACGGTGGTGAAGAGAAAGTTCATCGGGATTTTCCGGGTAGTTCTCCGGGTACTATTTCAGTAACGTACCTCTACCAGTTCCTGTGATCGTAGAGACTTGAAATTTTCAGGGGGTGTTCACGGGGACTAGCCATGACCTCACACCAAATTTCAGCCGAATCAGTCAATATTTTTTATTTTACCGTAGTTTAGCTTCTATAAGAGATAAGTTTATCCGATTTTGACAAAGACACCATTTTGTTTGTTGACTATTTAGGCTCGAATGACGTCATATGTGGATTGTGGGTTAGGGTAAGGGCTAGCCCTAACCCTAAACCGGTCTTGTTATGAGAGTCAAAATAGTCAACAAACAAAATGGCGTCAAAATCGGATAAACTTTCTCTCGTTATAAGCTAAACTACGTAAAATATAAAGTTATTGACAGATTCGGCTGAAATTTGGTGTGAGGTCATGGCTAGGCCCCATGAATACCTCCCGAAAATTTCAAGTCTCTACGATCATGGAAACTGGTAGAGGTACGTTACTGAAATAGTACCGTTCTCCGGGCCCTTGTGTCGGTGGTTCAGGTCTTTTGTAGTGTAGGCTACACGTTGACATTCACATAAATGAACCCTCGGCAGATGAAATTCGGTATAAGAGTAGGCTGTCGTGCTGCTGTCCAGGCAAAATTTCATAGTGCACTGTATGACATATGCCTGTCTTAATTGGCCCAGTCAGTGTAGAACATTAAACCCCATTTCATTTTATTTCAGAACTCAATATTTGTTTAACACAGGACTGGCACGCTAACCAGGAAGTCTCGATTTCGCTCCCAGAGTTAACCAAGTATAAGTTGTCATGGTTTCCTCTTGTCAGTGTTGCAAGACAGAAGGCATGACAAGGAACTGTGTGACTGTGCCAAGTTGATCAAATGGGACAAAAATGATTTGCACATAATTGAGCCCTTGGCTGTTAGAATTGAAAATAACAGTAGGTCGTAGTGCTGTTGTCCCATTGTCCTAGTTCGTGCAGTAAAGTGACCTTAAGTTAATCCCCACTTCATTCCAAGTTCTAAATATACAATCCTGACAATAGAAAATTATATTCCTTAAAATATAAATTAATTATGAATCATAGCTCTTTTATTTATTGGTATTATTGCAGAGATTTTATTGAGAAATATTATGTAGATATAAAGAAAAGTAATCAACAACTACCCATTCTGATTCGGGAATGTAGTGGTGTAAAACCTAAAGTATATGCCAGATTTGGTAAGTAGCCTATATATAACAATATTCCTCTAGTTTTATCTGCCTACAGTGAACCCTAAGATTTTTAAATTATTTGTTTGAAAGTTTTCAATTGCGTTTGTTGATGAGCAAAAATAAAAACCTTGTACTACTGATAAATGATTAGATTTCTAGGCCATAAATCTGATCCTAATTTCTTTCATTTGTATTTTGTAGAAATGGGTAAAGAATCTAGTGTACCATTATCTGATATGAACAGTGAAAGAGTATTAGAGTCCATAAACAACTTGGCAAAGTGATTTCTTAAATAAATTGAACTTAAGTTTATCAATAATATTATGTGTACATAGATGGAAAGTTTATATTGATAGTTCATACAAGACAGAACCTAGTAGTGTAACTAATGATTATATAATAAATTAAATATCTTCAATTTTGTTTGTCATTTATTTATTTGCTAAAAGTATGAAACATTTAAAATTGGTTAGAAACTATTTTGTGAAGTATGATCATATATCTTCATATTCTTTGTTGAATGAAGTTAAAATAATAAAAATGTTTGATTTAATATAATGACCATTTGGAATAGAACTCAGATGGTGAACAGTTTATTAAAATCAAATAATAATTAACTCTTTTACGAACAAAACAAAAGGAAAAGATTTTCATTAGAATTTGGCTATTTCTCGGCAATGACACAGGTTTAAACTATTTTTTTATGTGAATATGTTTGCATGGATTTAAAAATTAAACAAATAATATAATTGTAGCATACAGGACAGCCAGGTCTATACTATGGTTGATTATAGCGGCGAAAGGATTAACAACAGCAAGAAACAAATATTGTCACTGACTGAAGTCAAGAGTGGTAGCATCTACACAGACAGAGCGGATGTTACAACATCAGTTTGAAATAGACTTTTCATGGGGCTACCGGATAAACTACAACTATGGTTTAAAAGATAAAAAATAAATTAGAGATTAACTGCTGCTTGTTCTATTTATTTCTCCTTTTCAGATCACGTGTCATTCATTTCGTATGGATAGTTGGTTTGGAACTGATAACCTCTCACAGTGTCAAATAACAACTCTCCGTTTTCAGATAAGATTCTAAATTTTAGAATAACCTAACCCCAAATCATAAAGTTCAGAATAACTGTCTCACGACACAGAATAAACTTCAGAATAACCTTCTAACCACACATTATAAACTTTAAAATAACTGTAAAACCACATATTATAAAGTTTAGAATAACCGTCTTACCACACAGAATAAACTTCAGAATAACTTTCTAACCACACACTATAAAGTTTAGAATACATGTAACCATCTTACCAAACTTCAGAATAACTTTCTAACCACATATAACCTTTAGAATAACTCTCTAACCACACATTATAAACTTCAGAATAAACTAACCACACATTATAACCTTTATAACAACCTTCAATCCTCACAGTATAAAGTTCAGAATAACCCAAGAACACATTATAACCTCCAGAATAACCTTCTAACCACACATTATAACCTCCAGAATAACCACCTAACCACACAGTATAAACTTCAGAATAACCGAACCACACAGTATAAACTTCAGAATAACCGAACCACACAGTATAAACTTCAGAATAACCGAACCACACAGTATAAACTTCAGAATAACAGAACCACACAGTATAACCTTAAGAATAACCTTCTAACCACACAGTATAAACTTTAGAATAACCTTCTAACCCAACAGTATAATCTTTAGAATAACCTTATAACCACACAGTATAAACTTCAGAGTAACCTCCCAACAACACAGTATAAACTTTAGAATAACTTTGTAACCACACAGTATACATGTATACTTTAGAATAACCTCCCAACCACTCTTGTAAACTTCAGTATGCCTTCAAACAACACATAAACTCTGGAATAACCCCCTAACCACACATTATAAACTCCAGAATACATCCTAACAATACAGTATATATTTCTTATAAACCTATAACGGTAAATCTCTTTGATCTTTGGGGTATATTCTGTGCCCGGAATAACTTGCGGTCTGAAGTCGGGGGCAGCTTTAAATATATACAGTGATTATTCTTCTGAAAGTTTTTCTTTAAATATGTAGCAGGTTATTCATCCAGGGTAGGGCTTTTCTTACTGGTATTCTGGGATATTCTCATTTTACGTACATGTAAACGTAGCCGGTTTATAAGCAAGATAATGTTCTCGGCTACGGTTATGCAGGGGAAGAAAAAGTACGGAAAAAATCCTTGAAAGAGGAAAAACCTCGGCCTGTCCGCATCGGTTTTTCCTTTTCTCAGGTTATTCTCTTCAGTCTCCCTTTTCCCATCATAACCTCGGTCTCGTGCTTTATCCTACACAGAATAACCTTCCAACAACACATTATAACCTTTAGAATAACCTTCTAACAACACAGTATAAACTTCAGAATAACCTACTAACCACGCTTTAGAATAACTTTATAACCACACAGTATGAACTTCAGAATAACTTTCCAAAAACACAGTATAAACTGCAGAATTACCTTCGAACAACTCAGTATAAACTTCAGAATAACCTACTAACCAGGCATTATAAACTTCAGAATAACCTCCAACAAACCACACATTATAAACTCCAGACTAACCTCCTAACCAGGCATTATAAACTTCAGAAAAACCTCCCAAGCACACATTTTAAACTTCAGAATAACCTACTAACTACGCTAATTTAGAATAACTTTATAACCACACAGAATAAACTTTAGAATTACATAGTCAGACAAGAATCGAAACCACAACTGTTATGATAATGTGTCAAGTTTAGACATTGGGCCAAAGTAGAAATAGTTTACCCTAGAAATACTATTTTTCCTTGTATTTACATACTTTTACTGCCCTTTAGGGCCATGAAAGTATATTTTATTGAAACTTCTAATAAAAAGGCCTACTTCACGAAACTTTAAATCTCTTAAAGATGCGCTATCACTCTTACCCAAGAAATAATTTAAAGCCCCTAAATGAAATAAAATGGGGTTTAACGCCCTACTGTTTTGCTCCGACCGAGATGATTAAGACGGGCATACGTCATGCAGTGTGCTAAGCGGGGAATTTTGCCCGGACAGCGGCAGTATGGCCTACTCTTATATCGAATTCCAACTGGCAAGGGATCTTTTACGTGCACGCCAATATATACACTATACGTTGTCTCTTGCCAGGCCCTCTGTCCTTCACCACTGACAAGGGGGAACCACGTTGGAAAATCCCGATGTACTTTCTCAACAAACGTAGGGATCGAACACGCGACCCCCCGGTTAGCGAGCCCATTTCTTACAGCTGAACCACCAGGGCTCCCAAACCCCTTAAAAATATGATTATTAAAACAGTCTCTAGTTTCAAGACATACAATCAGTTTTGCGGACAACCATGCAGCGGTACGTGACAGGTCTCAATTTGGAGCAGTCGAGTTGCGTTACTAATCGTCGTGTTGCCTTGTACAGTAGGGTACGTAATAACGATGTCACTAAGTAGATATAAAGGTATGAAGTTATCAATAATAATAATAAAAAAAAGATCCATTATGTATGATTTAGATAAAGAGCTGATCGTTCGTGCTATAATAGTTCAAAAATAGATAATGAAAAATGGGTTTATTGAATTTTCATTCACCTAATTTTATTCTGGGTGATGTTATAAATATTTGAAGATGTAGCGTAGATCGTTTATTATCGTAACAATGGTACTTGACAACTGAGACTAATTAGTCTCGATTATCCATTTTATCGTTCAATTGTTTAATCACCCGGCTGTTAATTCTCGGTCATTCCATGGTCTAATGAGTTAATTGTAGGCTTGACATGTGAATAAATGTCTAATAGTTTAGGTAGCATTAATAATTGACGCCCAAAGAAAGACCTGCAATAGACAGATTACATAAGGCATCTTCAACCTGCTACAATCAGCCTGTTATTTTTAATATACCCAGACCACGGTTGACTGCTGGAAAATGGGCTACCTATAGTTGAATATTAGAATTATCCAATAACGAATGGCGTTTAACATTTCGTCAAAACAATTGTCAACCTCTGTCATTTTGTGGACGTTCATACATATGTTATTATATCCTTACCTCCTAATCTTCATCCAAATCAATTTTCAACTTTCAATTTGAACAGGGGCGAATCTTTTTTTTTTGTTCCGTCCGAAGCACTAGTCAACACTTTCATGACAAGTGGGGACCGAATTTGAAAAAATCCCAATGTTCTTCTCACACTTTCCCCGGGACATCCTAATCGAGAGTCCAGTGACTACCACGGCATAGATTTATACTATTCAAAAAAAGTAGGGGATATTTGATTTTGGGGGCATAATACTAAAATATGCAAATGACTACGAAAAAAGTCACTATAGAACCTAACAGAAGAAACATTTCCAGTTACATGTGACGCCTAAACGCACCAATAGCTACCGCATGGAATGCAGGTGATGCTTGGGATCATCATGGGGGTCCAACCCAAGATTTGTACGACTCTGACTTTGAATGTTACAGTCATTGTGGCATTGAATTCCAGGGTGGAAACATCAGTTTAATTGTTTTAGTGACCAGAAAACAAATTTTGATATGCGTCGGCTTACCCAAAATGAAAGGTTACGTGCCCTTGGCATGCTACAGATCGGCACAACACAGGCGGTTGTGGCGTGGACGATGAATGTTTCTCAGTCTGTCATAAGCAGGCTATGGTCCAGATACCGTGATACACAATCTGTACAGGACAGACCACGCTCAGGTCGACTAAGGGCGACAACTCAAGCCCAGGATCGATTTATCCGTACCTTGGCCTTGAGAAATCGTGTCATCACAGCAAATCAGATCAGCGCTCGTCTTCAAACAGACACTGGTGTGAGAGTGAGTGGCCAGACGATTCGGAATCGACTGCATAGGGGTCACCTTCGCGCCCGACGTCCTCGCGTGATCCCTTGTTTGAGAGATCATCACATTCAGGCAAGACGTCGTTGGTGTAGGGATCGTCAACACTGGGATAATCGACGCTGGAGCAATGTGATGTTTTCAGATGAGTCAAGGTTCACTGTTGATTTTTTGGACAGACGTAGGAGGGTGTGGCGTCGTCGAAACGAGCGCTTCCAAGATCGATTTGGGGGTGGTTCTGTTATGGTGTGGGGAGGCATCACTGTTGCTGGAAGAACGGCTTTACATGTTGTTGCAGGGCGTGTTACAGGCCAATACTACCGGGACAACATCTTGGCAGTCCATGTTGTGCCGTTCGCACGACGTCATGGCCGCCGTTTCATCTTCCAGGATGACAACGCAAGATGTCACAGGGCCAGGATCGTTACAGGTTACCTCCAACAACAGAACATCACCACATTACCTTGGCCAGCACTGAGTCCCGACCTCTCCCCCATCGAGCATGTCTGGGACATGCTTGGACAGAGGTTACGTCAACGTCAACAACGTCCTGCCAATGTCCAAGAACTTGCTGCTGCGTTGCAACAGGAATGGGACAATCTGGACCAAAATGACCTTAGACGTCTCATTAGGAGTATGCCACGTCGGATCAATGCTTGTTTGGCAAACAGAGGAGGATTTACCCGTTACTGACTTGGTTGTGATGCTGTGGTAACTTTGCTGTTTGACCCCGGGTATCATTTTACCCTTATAATGGTCAGTCTGTGCCTTACTTAGTCTAACGATCATTTGGAATAAATCGATGAATGTGAACTTCATTTCATTTTGTCATTTGTTTCTTCGTCAGTTTCATTAGGTGACATTAATAACACTTAAAAATCAAATATCCGCTACTTTTTTTGAATAGTATATTCAATACAGAAATCGAGATAAGATTACACTCTTCCCATTGTAATATTTGCTACTTTTTAATCTCACCCTTTGGGGGTGGAGTGAATCGAAAGGGCTTACGCCATACCTACACCCGTCTGTTATCCGCCAGCTGTCTTATAACGTTTTCCATTGGGGCATCATCGACTAAACCGGTTGATAAACTCCATGATGTGGTGATTATTCCGGTTTTTTTTTAAAAAAATACGTTGAACGACCACGTGTTAGTTGGTTGGAGTGTGGTGCGAGCAAATTATAGGGTTTTTTTTTATTAAAGTTTCAGTTGTGGTTACATATAAAACGTTCGAAATATCTTATAATTTTCACCTAGGGTCACACCACACACATGATAAACTCACTGCCAAAACACGCTATACAGATACCACAAACAACAAACGCACATCAGATGAAAACATTTCATCATTCAAATCGAGTGTGATATTGATATCTGTATCTACGATAAATATGTATGAGAGAGAGAGAAATGGGGTTTAACGTCCACTCGACACAAACTAGGTCATTTCGGGACTAACATATGGTTTAATTTTATTTACATAATTCGCTTGTGCGTAGGGGTCTTTAGCAGTGGGAGGAAACCGGAGGCCCCGGAGAAAGCCCTACTCCTTTCCACGTACAACCGGGGATTCGAAACCACGCCAGTCGACTCAATGACAGATTTTATGATACAGCGCGCGCACGCTAACCATTCAGCCATCCAACCCCCCGATAAATATGTATGCGATGGTGTTTAAAACTAAAGTCATAGCCACTGGATAGTGAAATGTGCAGTGCATTTTTTTTTAAATCTGGGACCCCTTTATGACACACGCTGTCGGTCTTACACCATAGCTTAATACGTCCCTGATTCTATGATTACATATTGTGTTGTCTGTGAAGATCTAAGTGACTAGGTCACATGTCGTACTCGTGATATAACAAGAGCTGATAATGACCAGATATCATTATTTCTCGATACTGATATCAAGGTAATGATAAATAAATTAGCACGTATTTATAAATACATATTTTGTTGTCTCACAGTTGCGACAAGACAAAAAAGTAAATGGAATACTCTAATTGACAAGGTATGGTTACTGAGTTTCCTATTATAATTAGTATTTTATAGTTGAGAAAAGAAAGGATAAATTGAACACCTGATGGGGCCTTTCAAATCAATAAGTTATGTAAACATTACTAAATGTATATCATGATGTCGATGTAATCGATGCCGTGGGTTATTTCTTGCGATTTAATATTACACTGTATTTATTTTATGGATGCTCGTTATTATTCATCCTAATAAGGTATGTGCACTTGACATGTGCAAGATATACTTAGTAAAGAAATGTTAGATTAGAATTATTATGATTAATGGACATCTTAATGGATCTTTAAAGGAGCTAAACCTCTTTGATTAGTCAAAATAAAATATCGAATTGGGTCGATCCGGTGTATTTTTTCGATGAGAAAGATTTTATATCATTATATTTCTATGTCGATAAGAAAGACTGTATACCGTTGTATTTCTGTTTAAGCTTATTAAGCGGAAATGTTATTCTTAGCTAACTGTCTTAGCAGTGGAACACAAAATTAGTTTAAAGCTCAACACTGGCTTTATCAACAAGACAGGTTGCCGTCACCCTAAAAAACAAAAACATATATAAGATCCAGCGAAGTCGGTATGCGTTATTTATTTATTTTTGAACGCCGATCATAGAGTTCAGTGATTTTAAGCTTAGTATTTAAATTCAACAGTTATTTTTTATATATTATTCTTCCTTTAATCTTTAATAGAAGGCAATGCAATGGTCACATAAATCATCAGTGAGAAGAACACGACGTCATGCCTTCTAAAAGAAAATCCTCCGGTTCCTTAACACTACATGTTAATCCTAATCACGATAGAAGACCAAGTGTTCGTAGATTGTTGAGTTCAAAAGACAGTGATTATGGTTCCACAAGTCGAGCTGACGGAGATGGGCTATCTGTTGGAAGAAGTTATTCCTATTGTCCAGAAACGAAGAAAAACATTATTCTTAGAAACTCGGATGTTGATCCCCCAACCCCTAGCCCTTCCACTCCGTTAGATGATGTGTTTCTCCCAGTAGATCCCGAGAAACAGTTACTTGAAAACAGCGCCGAACAATCGTGAGTTCAACTTGTTTCATATAATCCTTGAATATATCCATTTATTACCTCTCTGCCTTCATTATTTGTTTTTTCGGTGTGTGTTTGTATTAGTTGTTTTTTTTTTCTTTCAAAAAATAAAAAGGCTTTCAAGTAAATTATTATTTACTTTGCAGTTACATGCATTTACAATACAGTTACAAACTTTAACAGTGCAATTACATGTTTTACATCAGTTAAATGTATACAATACGGTTATACATACTCTTAAAAAAAGTAGGGAATATTCAGAAACAATATAAAACTGCGGAAATGCACTGCTGTTTTTATTAGAGGTAACCAGTGTATTTTAATAACAGGCCAATTGCCTACACATGAACATAAACAGTTGATATGGGCGACTTATCTGATGGCCCCATTTCACTCGCAAAGAGAAATACTGTCAATAGTGAAAATGGAGTTTTTGATTTTTGTCTTAATAATAAATAATTGCTCCACCAATCCTGAGACATTCAGCAGTTCGTCGTGGCATGCTCCTAATCAACGTCCAATCTCGATTTGGGGCAATCTGACCCACTCCTCTTGCAGTGCCACGGCCAATTCTTGCAGTGTTGTCGGTTGACGTTGACGTCAACGAACACGTCTCCCGATCAAATTAAACGTAAAACACTAAAGCAAAGATAAGCTAAACAGTAAATCTTATGCAAGAACCGATAAGAAAGCAAACATGGATAGGATAAACCAGCAAGCGGCAGTTTTCATCAACCCTTCCTTTAAGTGTCAAATTTGACAATGAACCCCTCCCACGTGTATGGCGCTATTGCGTGTCGCATGTGCAGCTCAGTGGTTCTGTTGAGGCGATAAGTTCTTCATCTGTGAACATACTCTCAAAGCATGTCAAGTGTCCATGACTATTTATCATATCACAACCTGCATAGGTATTTGCATTTCAATATCCCCTACTTTTTTTGAAGAGTATACATTGAACGTTTTTAAATACCATTCTGGTATATATTTAGAGGTCGTCAATTTTCTTCGCTGATAAAACTTAGGAGATAACCGGGACACTTCCGCCCTCCCCTGCATAAAATGAAAGATTGAAATAATAGTATACTAGGTAAATGTGATAAAAGGTTGAACTTTCATATGTAAAACGTGGTTATAATAAAATAAAAGATTGGTCTTGTATAGATAAACGTGTATAATAAAATAAAAGATTGAGCTAATAGCATAACTTGTATAGGTAAAACGTGGTATAATAAAATAAAAGATTGAAATAATAGTACAACTTGTGATAAGTAAAACGTGGTATAATAAAACAAAAGATTTAAATAAACAAAAAATTGAAATAATAGCTAAACTTGCATAAAAGAATGTATTAAGCTGATTTAGCACTTCAAGTTTTTGTGGTAAAAATGAGTTGGTAAAGAAATAAAAGTTTGGGGTGTTTGGAGGATTTTACTCATTTTTGGACCTGTATACTCCTTTTTTTATGACCTGAAAACCGGTTATCCTAAAATATTGGGGTTTTTTTTATATTGTTTTTATATACTTAAAATATATTTATAGTATAATAATACACTTTTAACGTTGAGCACGTAACTAAAGGAATGGATGTCTGAAATCGTATGAAACCAAAATTGTATTAAAGAACTATTGATTTTTGAGATATTTATGTAGCATTGTAAATATAGAGCTTTTGGTTATTGACGTATGTAGATATAAGCATTTTACATAGAGCTGTTGATATTGCATATATTGATGTAGCATTATAGATAGCGCTGTTGGGTTTCGACCATAGTTATGTATAAAAATTATAAATAGAGCAGTTGGTTATTCAAATATTTATGTAGCATTATAAATAGAACTGTTAGTTTTTGACACATTAATATAGCATTATAAATAGAGCTGTTAGTTTTTGAAACATTTATGTAGCATTATAAATAGAACTATTGGTTTTTGACACATTTATGTATACGCTTTATAAATAGAACTGTTGATTTATGTAACAACATATTTATATAACATTATAAATAAATATTTTGTTATTTTACATTTTTGTAGAAGCAACGTGAAGTACAGGTAGGCGGTACTTTATCAAATAACACTATAACACAGGCACCGGATACTAAAACTCTAGTAAGGGGCTGACAAGGAAAGCTGTCTAGTCGTTCGGATGGGACGAAAAACCGAGGTCCCGTGTACACATTGGCGTGCACGTAAAAGATCCCTTGGCAGTTGGAATTCGATATAAGAGTAGGCCGTAGTGCCGCTGTCCGGGCAAAATTTCCCTCATAGCACACTGTATGGCGTATGCCCGTCTTCATTAGCCCAGGTTAGGGCTATATTTGATTGCCCCCCCCCCCCCCGCCTTTCTGAGAAAGCAGGAGCTGTTAAAATGGGTTCGTCCGTCCAACTGTCTGTCTTTTATTAAATTAACTTCTATTGAGGTGGATTGTCAAATTTGGTGTCGATGTTTATTAGGCGAATGTCGTGACTGGGCTAATTATGTGCTCAACAGAAGCTAAGCAGAGATAAGCAATTTGATTTGCCCATGCCCTAAAATACGATAACTCTTATTCTGAGTGAGAGTGATGAAACTTGGCGTAGAGTTTCCATGCAGCGATAATGAGCATCTCTGCTCGAGTGATACGTGATTTGACTTCCCAATGTTGTATATTATAAAGATAAATGCGTAGATAATTAATGAATGTCGTCTATTTATTTTGGCTCTGATACTGGGGACACTAGCCTCAATGATAGTGTGATGATTTTATAGATGTAGCGAGATGCCATGTTATAATGTTTATTCTCAGGATTTTCAAGTGCGTGCGTTTATACTATCACAATCACAGACACCACCATCAGCATTCAGCATCTAATAGCTTCACTGCTCCCCCATATTACTAACTTCATCTCTTCACTCTTATTTACAGTTATAATAATATACATGTGTAATTGTATATATATATATATATATATATATATATATATATATATATATATATATATATATTATATGATCCAGTATTGATCCAATGTTCCACGTTACGTTTGCACACATTTTAGAAGAATTGTTACGTTATTTAGTTAAAATATAATTAAGTTTAAAAATCATATGCATTTGCTTACTATTGTAAGCAGCAGAGGTCCTAATATCGACCCTTGTGGAATTACATGTACAGTGTATCTCTTAATACCTATAACAATCCCCGTATGACAAAAGTTATCCAATTATAAAATAGTTATTATAAAGTCTTTCAATTTCAGGACTGAAACAACATTCAGCATAACATCTATTGATAAACATCTCAGAAATTGGGCAAATTTTAGAGATGTCAACAAATGGGACATGAAGCAAATCCTCGTGCACGTTAAAACTGGAATACTTTTTATTTTCCTTATTATATGTACTGTAAGTTTGGGATTTGTATCATATGAATTATAATACTGAGTTTTAAGTCTATTAATCCCTATTAAAAACAAAACCTTTTCTTTAAAGATAATAAAGTTATCATAATTTAGTCTGTGGACTACATGAAGTATGGTTTATAATTGTGCTTTTGGTAATGTACCACTTTTCATTAATTTGGATATCGCAACGAGTACTTCCGTAACTGTAGTCGATTCAATGTTAATGTTTATTTCAGAGATATTTAATGTAGATCTGACTAAAACCTCCATAACATGCACAGATGCCCTTTATAATGGAATAGTTTTAACGAACATAAATTATGTTCAAAATCTTTGAAATAAATTTTGCTTGGACAATGGCGCTTATAATGCCTACCTTTATTTTGACCTCTGATGAGCGCTAATGTCTCTTTAAAGACCAATGTTGATTAAAATCTCAATTGTATACAGGGATTTATTGCATCAAATCCAGAAGCTACAGAAGAAAGAACACACGTCACTGTTGCTAAAAACAGACCTTACGGTAAATAACCTCTTTAGTTTACATTTTCTTTTATACGTGCTGCAGTCCATCCAATCAACAACAATGACCGACAAGGGCATTTTTCAAAGTATTGCAAAACTTATACCGAAGGTGTAAATAATTTCATAGACAATTGACAAAATTGTGGATGATTGAAATTTTGACAAAAAGACTTGTTGATCACCGACAAGAACCAACAAGGACTTTTTTTTGTCAGCTTCACTTATCCATAATTTTGTCCACATTTTATAAAACATATTTAAATTTTGGATATGATCCGTAGAATATGTATCTATAACACATTTTCCTTGTCGGTCATTTTTTTCAATACATTGGGCGAATATTGGCAAATAAACCCACCCCTGTCAGTCCTTGTCGCTGGTTATAGTAGGAGGTACTGGTGGACAGCGCAGGAACACTTTTCAATAAAACAAAGACACGGCAAACTGTGCAAAACACGACGATAATAGTTATAAGTTATAAATTTGTATTTTACGATCAATATACAAGAGTTGGGTGTTTTTGATATATCTACGTTTAAAAATATTTTTCAAAGATAAAATGGCCCTTTTCCGTAATTGTTTGGTGATGGAGGAAAAAAGAAATCGCCATAATCGTTTACATTGAAATGTTTTTAAATTTATCGTGATATGTATGAAGCTATGTGATGACCAAGACTAAAAATGTCTATATTAGATAGTGTGTGAATGCCAAGGCATTGTAACCTCTCTTTTTTTTCAGATTCTGGTCTGGAGACAATGAACTCTAATAGTTATCCATTGATCAAATTAAAAATTGATGGCCCTTTTGATGAAGAGGCTGTAAACCATACTTTCGGCAATTCGTCAATGATATACGTAACCATCGGAGGAAATGAAACCCGTACCACCCCGGTATGATATATTAATGTTTTACCATTTAATTTGTTCCTGTCCAGAGGGGGAGGAGGGAGGGGAGGTGTCCACTCCCCTACTGTCACAGAGCATATTATTTCTCTCCTGCATTTATAGAAACAACGTAGAAAGAAACTATCGTGCGCAGTATTGCCGCCGCGCCTAAATAAGCAGAACTATTGTCTCAAAGCCTCTGATCTGATCAAATTCGCGGATAGTGCCCCCGACCTAACGCCAAGCTTGACGCTGTCTCCACCTTGGAACCCCTACTGCTGGAATTCCTGGACACGCAACCGGAATTATTTTCTTTTAAATATCAAATTCAATTGATTATTTTATTTTTTGTTTTATTGCTTCCATCCATTTTGTCATTTGTTATTATTTTGTCATTCATTATTATCTTTTAAGAAATTTATGCGCTAATACAGCTGTTTTATTCTTTTATAACAACTTAATCTGAAGTAATAGAACAAAAATGCAAAAAAAAAAAAGGAATTATTTTTTCAAAAATATTCTGAACAGTTCACACTTATCATGTTAACAAAACTGATAAAGTTCCAGAAATAACTCTTCTAATGTTTGACAAACATTATGTATTTAAAGATACATTATGGGAGATCAGTAAAGAGCTGGCAGTTCTCACTATAATAGTTAAAAACTAGATAATATAAAGGGAATTTGCTAAAAATTACAGTCAAATTGATCCACTCTGAACCGAGAACTTAGCTATTGAATTTTCGGCTTAGCCTCGATCATCATTACTAAAGTCGGTATGATAAAAAAAACATAGTCTCGAGTATCCATTTCATGATTAAATCATGAATGAAAGATGAGCAGCAAATCGCACCCTAATCCAGTAAATATCGCAGGCTAGCGATGACATCGAGAGTTGATTATGGTCTGGATAAGTTAATTAATTCCTAATTAATAATTTAGATAACATTTCAGGCCCACAGAAAGACCTGACATAGGCAGAATTAGCTCTTGCATAATGTATGTTTAAATGTCACCATAATTAATTTAACTTCTTGTAATAAAAGCCTTCATATATAAGACTAAGAGGATGGCCTTCCCCTTAATTGATTGTTTTATTAGTTACAAACTCTTGGATGTGCATTATGGTTCATTAAGATTTAATTTGGTTCTTGTTGTTTTCAGTGGAAACTAAATGTGAATATTCAAAATTTGAGGGAAGGACGTATCATTCAAAAAGAAAAACAGTTAGAGTGTAAGATGTAAGTAAAACTTTTTATATAACATGCTTTGTGAAAATCTTAGTGTGACGTAAATCAAACCATAATTTATCATATGTCAAGGAGCGTATAAGTTTAAATAGCTAATATAGAACATATTGTGGAAGATTTTATTTGACAGTAAATTAAGAACGATGAAGATCAATGACAAGAATACCATTTTGGAATTCAGTGACAAAGAATGATTTTGGAATTCGATTTGCTTTTTCATTTTATTGTTCTTCAATTAATAATGTATAACCCATTCCTATAATAAGCCAAATAGTTTTCAAATACATGTTTTGTTCTGTTGTAGTAAAAACTGTAGTTTATCAATAACAACTGATAATGAACGACCTGTTCCTCTCGAGTATTCATATCTGTTAATAACAGCTCAAGCTAATTATGGAGTTTATTATGCCACAGTCATCTTGATATTGGTGTATATTTTAATAATATTTGAGGTAATTTATTTTTTATCTTTTTTTAGCATACATGGGTGAGAAAAGCCGATGGCAAGCGGCCCTTCTCCCCACCTGTTGTGCCCTTTTTATCACGTTGGTTGGTGCGGAGTTTGTACAGCAGCGTGTTCTGTATCAGATATTTTTAAATAGGTATTGCGAGAATATCATCTTGTTATTCTTTCAAACCTCATAGTGGTAACTAAAGTCAACTTTGAGCATTTCTAGCACTCTTCCGAACACTGACAAGTTTAAGAGGACTACGGGTAAACATATTTTTGAGATGTCCACTCAAAGAAGCAACTCTTTGGAAATTCAGGGTTGTGGATGTGGGGGGAGTGGAGTGCTCTAATCATGGAGACCTTGTGTATTATATTACTCCATTTTTTTTCAGCTGGTCCACCGTACAGTAGCAGCTATATTAGGATCATATGCAGCAATAGCAGTTTTATCAGCCATTCATGAAGTAAGTGCCTTCTTAGCGGCACCAGGATTTCCAAGCAAAGCACGCGATTAGGAATAAGTCCCGGATTCGGAACACAATCAACAGAAGTAATTGAAATCTGAGCATTTTTGTTGATATTCAGTTAAACATATTAATATGAACTTCTATCACATTTAAATCTTGTGTTTCATTTTGCTCTTCTGTTCTTTAAATAAAAAACCAGTGTAGCCATATATACATTTTCTTTAATTAATTCTAAAGCCTGAGCCAAAATGAAATATGTGAATTTTTCAGAGACCAACACTAGATACCATAATAGGATGGATAGATATGGAGACGATCATGTTGTTATTTGGAATGATGATGTTGGTTTCAATATTTGCAGAAACTGGATTCTTTGATTATTCTGCTGTGAAGGTAATCAAAATATAGTCATTTATAGTTAGAAACTATAATCTTCCAGTTGAAAAACAGGTTCAGTATCACTACAGTCCAATAAGAATTTATCCATACAGTTTTATTGTTTCATAAGGACAATATATCTTTCCATATTACTGATATATCAGCAATTTGATTTGAATAGTTTGAATGTTTATTTACAGGTGTATCAAATAGCTAAGGGTGAAGTATGGCCCCTTGTCACACTGTTATGTCTATTTAGTGCTGTTGTATCAGCTTTTCTGGATAATGTTACGACAATTTTACTTTTAACACCAGTTACAATAAGGTAAGATAATAAAATAATATTGATTTATTTGCATTTAAACAACTAAATTTTATCAATAAGCAATTTTAACGGGCTACAGCGTGAGTGGCGACTTAATCAATGAATTAGGTAATAATTTGATAATCCTTGTATATTTTTATTAGTTATACAGAAGAATAATGGTACCTCTTTCAAAAGTTTTATTTTTGTAGTTCATGGGAATGTATCTGTGTTATTTAGAATCAACAGTAAAATTTTAGTTTTCTTTGATTATCAGTTTCTGGTTATCTTAATAATATCATTTCGCCTATTTTCGTTTTGAAGGTTATGCCAGGTGTTAAATTTGGACCCTAAACAGATTCTAATGGCAGAAGTAGTATTTTCTAATATTGGAGGCACAGCAACTGCTATTGGTGACCCCCCAAACGTAATCATAGTTGGGGCTACTTCGAAAATGGTAAGTCTCAGCCTACTTATATTTATTTACTTTCGTCAATGCTACCATTATCATTATACAACACATTTAATATACAGATGTCCTTTCATGTTACTTGTGAGCATTTGAATATTTGAACATTCGTCAAAGCATAATTTATTTTATAGACTCATATTTTTATGGGAGTCTTTTGTGAGTACTCCTTTCAATTTTATGCCTATTAGGTATTGGACTTAAAAGCTGAAAGTTCCCCCTGAAAAAAGATGCTGGTGAGTGTATATACTATATATACTTTGCTGGTGAAACGATATACATGTATATAGGCTTATTGTCATTATCTATTCTTCTAATATATATTAACAGCTCAGAGTTTCATAATTTCAGATTTGAAGGGTAGATTGGCCCATTACATAGAATTGTAGTCAAATGGAACTTTCTGTTGATTCTTTATATTATTTGTTGTTACAGGGAATATCATTTACAATATTCACTATACACATGCTTATTGGAATAATACCTGCTATCCTTGGATCTTATGGATTACTGAGATTCTATTATAGAAAAACTGAAACCTTAAAGAATAAGGATTCGCCGGAAGTCATAGGTACCTATCTTTGCTTTTACACATTTTAAATGGACAATAATGATAAAAACTTTATTTAATGAGGCAACGTATTTAGTTTGCAAAAAAACAAAAAAACTAATCTTCCATAGGTCCCTCCTAAGCTACAAAGACATATATACATGTAATATCAGGATAAATTTAAAATCATTAGAAATGCAATAATGCAGAATTTATTGACTGGGATATTTCACTACTGATTTCATTATTTACAGTACTAAGATAATCTACTAAGTAAATCTCATCACCCTGTAAATTTGATTTTAAAAATATTACCACTTGAGGGCACTTGTTTCCTTCTTTGTAAAATGCAACATAGTTACTAAATTTACCCAGATTGTCCTTGGGCTTGGTATAGGCTTACACTCAAATACATTTTGGTCAGAATAATGAAAATGCAAAACATCCAAATGCAGTATTTCGAAAGCTTTCAGCATAACTGGCAAACCAAGGGCGGATCTCGTGGCGGGCGCACGCCCCCCCCCCATCTGGATTTCTGACTGAAAAAGTCCCATTATAATTCATCATTTTAGAACTGGATTCTTGTGCTTCTAGGTTTCGAAATTTTCCAGGGGACGGCACCTGGACCTCCCGTCGTTCACTTCGCGCCTTCAGTAGGCCTACTCGCCCCCCCTCACCCTATTCATGGTCTCTGGATCCGCCCATACAAATAACTGGAATATACCCAGCAACAGTATCTGACAATATTTCTTTTATTCAAAATAAATAATCGGATGGCTTCCCTTTGTCTGGTCTTGCTGAATTGTATTGAAATTGTAAATTAAGTTATAACCTTCCGACACTTTAATTTCAGAATTAAAACATGAAATTGGTCTATGGAAAAGGGCAGCAGCAAGAATTTCTGTGGCAACCCGAGAAGAAAGTGTAATGAAGGTTTTATTTCTACAGAAATCGGTAGAATTAGAAAATATCTTGAGCAGGAAACTACACAAACAAAGGTAAAGAGTTTTACCAATGTCAAAACAATTGGGAAATACATGTGCATTGAACACACATTGGTTCATAATAACAAGAGTGGAACCCAGCTGGATGAACTTCAGTACTTGACTTCCATAGAAGTGCTGTTGTGAACATAGTCTTTGTAATAATTGTTAAAATCGTATATTGGTATTCTTCATTGACGATTGCATTATGAAATTAACTGGCAAATTCTTGCTTATCAACGTGTTACTGAATATCATTGTTTATATCAACAAAATACATTCAGTTTAAGCCATTAGTTATTTACATTTCAGTAAAGACAAAATAAAAGATTTTAAAGATACTTTACAAGAGTTGAAGAAAAGAGTAAGTTTATAATATTCTATTATACCAGGTGTAGTTTTGTATTTATATTTTAAATCTGCAAAGAAGTGGTGGAAGTACAGAATTGTCTGTTGTGTCTGGTTAATTTTGTATGAAATATTGAAACAAAAGTCATTTTTCTTTCATTTTACAAAGAGAGATATCTTCGCCACTGGGTATTTTAAGCGACCAACGTGTCTGTGCAAAAAGAAATTTAAGACACATTCCCAAGTTCCTTTCAAATAATTTTAGTCATTTAAGTGTAATTTTTAAGTGTGTTTTGATTATTTCAGTATTATATAACAGATCCAGTATTACTAGTAGAAAGTGGTTTTGTTCTGTTGGTCGTAATACTAGTTTTATTTCTACATTCGTTTGTACCATCACTATACGTCGTCATTGGTCAGTTGATAAATTTTGAAATGTTTATTTTACTAAATTGACAACAGCCATTTGGGCTAAATAATCTTTTGACGACGGTGGCTAAGTGGGTAAGACGCTGGCTCGCTAGCCCGGAGGTCGGTTGTTCGACGATGCATTGGCCGAAAATGTTCATCTAGATTTTCCGGCGTGGTTCCCCTTTGTCAGTGATGAGGGACGTTAAAGATCCCTTGACAGTTGGAATTCGATATAAGAGTAGGCCGTAGTGCTGCTGCCCGGGCAAAATTTCCCTCATAGCACACTGTATAGCGTATACCCGCCTTCATTAGCCCAGTTCAGAGCAGAACAGTAGGACGTTAAACCAAATTTCATTTTATTTCATTTCTTTTGACGACGATGTAAGCCTTTAAGTTTAGATGTAATATTGTCTTTCTTTCTGTCTGTTTTAATATTGTTATCTTCGTTTTCATCACAACCCCCGCTGTCTTCAGAAACATTGTTCTGTTGAATTAATTATTATTATTTAGGCTGGGTTGCTGTAACTGGGGCTGTTTGGTTATTGGTGCTAGCTAATGTATCAGATATAGAAAGTATTCTACATAAGATAGAGTGGTCTACCCTGCTTTTCTTTGCTGCTCTATTTATCTTAATGGAAGTAAGTTCTTACCTTTTTTAAAAAGAAATACATGAATGGTTTAACGTCCTATTTTTATGCACCGGCAGCTAGACTAATGAAGACGGGAGAAAACAAGTATGCCATACAATTTCATTTATTTTGGTATATGGAGATCTACAATGTTCCAGAGTACCATTGGTTATACAAATCTTGTTTTGATGTAATGAATATTGTTATAAGTTTGTTTTGTCTGATATATATCAGTAGTTCATCAGACCCTGTATACTAGCCCCTAGTTAGATTACGGGAACCGAAAATTATGAGATTCGTTTTGTATCTATATATTCAAAATAATCACAATGGGCCCAACATGGGCAGTTGATTTTTTTCGAGTGTTTCGATATATTAAATTCATATATGAAATCAATTGTTGTTTTGAATAAAATGCTGTGCTTCAGATTAAATGGTCCGTCATTGAGTCTAGTGGCGTGGTCTTGATCCTAGGTTTGTTCGACAATGTGATTGGTGGTCGCCGTCTAAGTGGGTTTTATCCTGCCCCTCCCCCCTTCCACCGTTAAAGGTCTTGCGAGCAAGATATCTATTCAGACAGTGATATACAGTAATTTTTTTTAAACCGATATAGCCCAGTTTGTAATAATATAGACATTACACACCGTCTACGTCTATCATAGTCTGTGTTTTGCCGATGGAGAACAACATTTATAAATGAGTTTATTCATGATTTTATTTTAATATAGGCATTGACCGAGTTAGGTCTAATTGATGTTATAGGAACAATGATAAGTGATATTATTAAAAGTGTTGAACCAGAATCTAGGATGATAGCATCAATATCTATAGTATTGTGGATATCTGCATTAGCTTCCAGTTTCATCGATAATATACCTTACACCACAGCCTTGGTAAGTCTTGGGTATTTTAATTAATTTAGTCCTGTTGTTCAGACCATTGACCGCGGCTTCTTTACCTGAATTCAGAACTCTTTATACCATAACGGATATCATCGTTATGGGCAGCATAATGAGGTTTCACGTCCTACTACTCAGACTTGGTTAATGGAGGGGGCATACGCTATATAGTGTTGTAAGAGAATTTTTGCCTGGACAGCGGAACTACAGCATACCCGTATTTATAATTCCAACTGTCAAGGGTTCTGTTACGTACATGCAATGTGTACGCAGGACGTCGTTATCTTTGGTCCCATCCGAAGGACTATACATTGTACCTTGCCAGTCCCTCTATCCGGTACCATGGCACTGACAAGGAGGAAACATGCCGGGAAATCCGAGTGAACCTTCTCGGCCAACACTGGAATCGAACACGGGACCTCCAGACAACGACCCATCTTACTAAGACACCGTAACTCCTAACGGCAACAAATATTCTTATCAAATACGATGGTATGAAATATAAAGACAATTGTAGCCCCCCCCCCCCTTCATAATAAAAGCAAAAATAATAACAGGGTCAACAACAGGGTCAATTTAGAATCACAACAGCTCTTGTGGTTAAATACCATACAGTGGCCATTTAGAATCACAACAGCTCTTGTGGTTAAATACCATACAGTGGCCATTTAACAGACGTGTTAACTCCATGGTATCTGGTGATGTTTAAATACATTATAGGCAATTGGTAGTTTATTTGGATAAATCAATAATATAGATGTCATTAATTTTATAGGTACCAGTTCTAATTAACATCAGTCAGGATACGGAATTGGATCTACCACTACTTCCTCTTATCATTGCTCTAGCATTTGGTGCTTGCTTGGGTGGTAAGTCTCTTTGGATCCTGTCCAATATATATATACAGTTTTATATGGGGATTTTATTTTAATATTTTGTTTGTGTCCACTGTCCAGGTGTTGCTTAGAAGTCTGAATGTCTGACTTTTATGGCTATTTTTAGAGTGGTAAACTAATAGAAAGAGCCAGACACTTATCGTTGTTTTCTGTGGGGACTAACACTTCATCATATTCTCTTCCTGTTTCACCAACATGCACACAATTGATGGAAGATGAATTAAAAAAACATGGTTCACACAAAACAAGGTTGACCAATATTACCATAGCATCACCGGAACTATCCCTTCAATTATTTTTACCTGGAATTTGTTTAAACTCGTCCAACAAAAATTTGGTATCAAATAAAGTTAAAGGCTCACTGCCGGTTCTTGCTTATGACACTTTTAGGTCTTCAAACCAAAGCACATCCTTTAAGTTACAATTTCATATTTTCTAAGAAAGTCAAAAAATAATTATTTCTATGTCTTTTGCTCAATAGGTTGTCAACTCACTATTATACGATCATAGGTTATCTTTCTCACACTTAAAAATCTTCACACCGGAAATAATAACACAATTACCTCCCTTGTTTTCCTATTCCCCCACCATGGAATAGCTATCTTCAAACGTTTGAATTTAAAGTTGAAAATGATATTTTTGCCAATTTCTCAACTGGCAATAGTGAATTATAGGATTAATAGAATTATTCTTTAACAAGGTAGGACTGTTTATAGATACCATCTATTTTAGGGCTTTATTTTAATACATTTTAAAAATATAACTTAAAAATATGAAATTGTAACTTTAACAAATTCCTGGCGACACCACTTCACCATAAACTTTACCACGATACTTGAAAGTCACATCAAATGGATCATTCCCATGGTATGAACTCTTTAGACATACATGATGCATGGATTTAATTATTATTTGGGAGGATGATGTCATTGATGCAAATGTCCAGTGCCAGTACAAGACAAGGAGAAGGATCGAATGCCTGTCCTTTTGTGTTTCATCAAATCACTAAAACAAACCTGCGTACTGAAATGGCCCAGTTGGAGTTGCATGGTGCCATCTCTGTCTCTCTTCTATTTGACTTTTCTTATTGTATATAAGGTAACGGAACTTTAATTGGTGCATCGGCTAATGTGGTATGTGCTGGTATAGCTGAACAACATGGTTATGGCATAAATTTTTGTGAATTTTTCAAGTTAGTATATCACAACCATTTGTTTTATTTTACCATTATTCTATGACTGTGCAGAAGAAGTTGATGCATGTAACAATATTTTTATCGTCTAAAAAGAAATGAAATGAGACCCCCTGGTTAGCGAACTTTACTCTTCGAGCCACCGTGGCTCCCGGCTAAACAGAAGGAATTGATTTATCCGCAGTATGGTATTAGACATGGAAGTATATGCTACTCTGATTATATGCATTTTTGTTTTACAACTGTTTGGTGTAAATTTTGTGTAAATTCCCAACAAGATATAAATGAAATGAAATGAAACAGGGTATAACATCCTACTTTTCTGCACAAAACAACAATTTACATTTAGTCATTTCTGAGAGTGAATAACTATCGGTTTTATTTTCGAAGTACAGACTATTCTAACCTTTATGATGTGTAGTTCTGAGGTTTATTTTGGTTGATAATGTTATTAGGCGTATATCAACGGTTTACAGAACCTCTCAGATCCATCACTGGAATGTTTAATCTGGGTTTCTATTATATTTTAGGGTTGGTTTCCCAATGATGCTATTAACAACAGCTATTTCTCACGTTTATCTGATAATTTGTCATGTTTGGATTGGATGGAATAGCTAATCAACAAAGATGTGGCTTAAGGCTTAGGGTCTATGGTGTGATTTACTGTCAATTTACGGACAGGATAAAACGAATATACCCTGTAGTTACTACATGTATACTCTTTATAGAGGATAATCTAAATATAGCCCAACAGGATTATTATTCCAAATTATTTTTGAATTGAGATTACCAAAAACAATGATATTGTGTAATTTTGGATGTGGGATTACTTCCCAAAAAGTTATTTAAATACATTATTATGATGCATTTCCTTTACATTACCCCTCCATAGATAAGTGCTAATAAATGTGACTAAAATTTACCAGAAGATTTGTGATCAGTATCGTATTCTATACCTTCTGTGATAAATAATTATTATACCATTCCTGATATATTACCCTGTGATAAATGCATGTAAAAATTATTAAATTATCTCAAATATATCATTGTATGATAAACCTTATATTCTTATATATCACCATGTGATAAACTTTGTATGTTATCCCCAATATATCCTATTATAATAAATGGTGTAATAATTATCCTTGACATATCAGTGCCTCCTTTTGATAAGGATATTTATAATAATTTTTATATCATCCCTTACATATCATTTTGTGATAAACATTATAATAATTCTTATACTATATTTAATATATCATCTTGTAAAAAAGATTAATAACTATTATATCATACCTGATATATCACTTTATGATAAATATTATAATAACTACTGTATTATCTGTATAATATCATCTTATAAAAAAGGTTATTAATTATTAAAACATCCCTAAATCATCTTGAGAAAATGTAATAATTTTTAAATCATTCCTATTATGATCTTATTGTGATAAACATTGTAATACTCCCCATAACATCATATAATAATTTTTATATCATTCCTTGTATATCATATTGTGATAAACGTTGTAATACTCCCTATTACATCATTGTAATAATTTTTATATCATTTCTTGTTTATCATATTGTGATATATGTTGTAATACTCCCTAATACATCATATTGTTATAAATATTGTAATAATTTTTATATCATTCCTAATATATTATACTGTTATGAACATTGTAATACTCATCCGTAATATACTATATTGTAAATACATAAGAATAATTATTATTTTATCCCTAATATGTGATCTTAAAATACATTTGTAATAATTGACTTTTTCATGATTCCCAAATCGTCAAATGCGGGAAGGTGGACCCTTCAGTGAAATGGTCTACAAATAGTCATCATCATGTCACCATCTTTGGACAACTGTAAAATTATCAATTATTAGATTTCTAAAGTTGCATATATTGTGATATCCCAAGTAACAATTATATGATACCTAATATATCATTTTGTGTTGTAATAATTATTTTGACATCTCTTAAACATTAAATTTACCTTGTACTAAACCTTTGATATTCTAATTACTACTCTCCATCAGCAGGTGTTTACCTCAGGTTTCAGTGTTAAACTTTCCATGCTACAGGCACCTGTGGTAAACACTCTTAAACTAAATGTTCTCTGCAACTATAAATCAAATACTAATCTAGCAAAAATCTATATTTCCATTTCTGATACATTCTATCAAATAGTTATAAATCATGATTTTTTTTTGATAAATACAGTTTGTCATCACTTCCCTAATTAAAATGACAATCCTTCTTTGATGTGGGTCAAAAAAGATATTTTCCATTTCATTGGGTTTTATATGTTGATTTGTTTTGAGGGTTGACATCTGTCTGGACTTTGTTAAAAATTTGACACATAGATATAAAGCCAATGTTGAGAAATAACCTATTGTGTGTTAACCTTTCAACAGAAGCATTTCATAGTATACAGCTTGAGAGAGAAATGATGTTTAACGTCCACTCGACACAAACTCATAGGGGTCTTTAGCAGTGAGAGGAAACCAGAGGACCCGGAGAAAACCCACGAGGTTGGACAGACAATCCTTCTCCTTGTCATAAATAAGTAGGGAATCGAAACCATGCCACTTGACTCAATGCCTGACCTAATAATCTAAACAGGTGCACATTAAACCATTTAGCCACCCAACTCCCGCTAATCAAAGATCAAGATCAACCCAATTTTGATCTAAATCAAGGTGGTTTTGCGTTTTAAGGTTAACATATACATTATATAATGCTTCATTAACAATGATGTTGTATTCCAAATCGGATTGTTCAGGTTATGATAATGCATGAATAATAACTGAACTTTTTCTTTTTGTAAAAAATATTCCCATATTTATTATTTAAATAGTCATTTAAATATTATAAATTGTTATGACTACCAAGTTCTTTCTTTGTACATAAAAATATATTATGATTAAAAGTATAAATGTACAGCATATTACATGACACAATGAAATAAATTTATTGTTATGAAAAAATCTTTATGTGCTTATAAGATACCAAATTACACACTAGGTTTTTTTGTTCAGAAATTTCACAATTTTTCTCAAGCCAACATTATACATTGATCAAAAGCTTGATTATTCCAACAATGTTTCCCAGAGTTTTTGTACTAACTGAGGGAGGAATAGTTTCACCAAATATTATTCAATTAGATCAGCATCTAATGACTCTATTTGACATCATTTAGGAAGTGAAGAATATGATACAATGTTTGGCCCAGTATGCAGGTAGATGTTTTAATGACCTATTTGTAAAATATTACAAGTAGATGAAATGTTTATCAATGTAAAAGATATGTTTGGTACAACATTCTGCTAGATGTTTAAATTTCCTTGATCTGTCTTGATTCAAGACAAAAAAAAAGAAAAACAAAACATAATTTGTATACCTTTGTATGTGGAGTTTTGTTGCAGGTTTTACCCATTCTTTTTTTTTATTACTTATTTTTAAAACCTAAAAACAAATCAATCAAATGAAAGACTTGAATACCATGTATTAATGTATTATATACACTTGGGGCATCCATATGTATAAAAGTTTCTATTTTATAATACAAGCTGAGTAACCAAATGGTCACATACTGTTTATAAATTTCTCTTCCTCTTTACACTTATGTAAAAAAATTGTTGACTCAACGAATAAACCGAACAAATTATCAATCATCATCATCCCTTCGTCTTGTGTTTCTTGCTCCAGAAGCAATTTTACGTTTTTTAAAGCCTACAACCTCGCCTGGCTTTGAGCTAAGGGAGGTAACTGTCTTTTCACGAAACTTTTGTTTTTTGGGTTTATCTTCAGTGGGTGGTTCAGGCAGAGGAATATCTTCGACTAGTAATTCTTCTGGTGGAACAGGACTGTAACAAAACAACATTTTAAAAACCCATTAAATTTGTATTGATCTTGTGTTTGGCGTTTCATATAACACATAATTATGGTGACTTATTATTGGAAAGTTACAAGCATGTCATTTTTACTAAGCTAAGCCAAATAAAAACTATATTCTGATTCTAAGATACTTCCGCGTCACTTAAAGTGCACATAAGATGGTCCCGGAAACTTCGAGATACGTGTAGCCAATGGTTACTATATCCACTTTACGGCAAGTTCACGCCAATCTGGTTGAAATTAATTCAGTTATCTTCACTCAAAGTCGTAAAAATAGACCTTCCGTGAAAACGGCTTTGCCAATTATCGAAAACACTCTTAATCCCCTCAGACGCCAGTGACGTCACAGTGACCGAATGCATATTCGGAATGTTTATTCCTTAATTACCTATATACAGCCGGCGTGTGTATTCTTTAACGCCTGAAGGATTCCTTAATCCCCCTAATTAAATAAAACAATTGACTACGGAATAATTTGTTTTGTAATTCATTTTAATTTAAGGTCCAATTTGGAGTGCCTACAACTTTTAAACTTTGAAGTCCTGAACTCTTAATTAATTTTTTACAATATGGAACTTATTGGACGAACACGTTTAATATGTAAGTAATATACGGGTCCAGCGATGTTGTTTTTTACTGAGAGCACTTCGCTTTTCCATATAAAGTGTAGTGTAGTTAATATCTGTCATTAATTAATCAATCCGACTATAAAAGTTATACAGGCATGGGTCATAAATTATTTTCAAGTTGGTGTTAACAGTGAGTGTTAGTGGGATTATTAATGTTGATTAGGTAATTATCTTTTTTTACGCCGGCCAGATCAAAGACATCACTCTAAGTGGAACGTGTGCATAATACCTCACGAACGAACTAATGGTAGAATCATACACACACACATTAATTGTATAAAATAATTAGGTTTTACTAATAAGTTGTTTAAAATTACTATATACCCAATAATTATTGCTCAACGGTGTTTTTGTAATCAAGTAGCCTCGTATTATTTGTTGATTGGCGTTTAAACAACATTTAAGTGATGGATGGATTAACGTTTTTGATACGACTAGGTTATAATGTCTAACATCGGTTATCTTCTTTATAATAAAAGTATTTTACAATTGCATCTCCTATTTTAACTTTCATTATGACAAAGTGAGAAGATGACCCACCCTCTCTTCCCACGACAACGATTTTAAAACCATTTTTAAAACTGTGTTTTAAAGTGATTTTTAGATATACAATAACTTTTAATTATTTTAAATCTGTTTTAAAGTGACATTTAGATATACAAGAACTTTTTATTATTTAGTGTTTTTACCTAACTTCTATTTTTTATTTAAGTAAATAACTTAATTAAATCAATCTGTCCATAATATCATGCATTTTGTATTGGACGTTAAATTTGTAATAAAAAACAACAATAACAGCATTGACAGTTTAATCACTCACCAAACGGCACCAGGAACTCCACAAATGATCCCATGCAATTTTCGCGGCAAAGTTTAACCTCATTTACTACACCCGTAGTACATGGAACGGTACATGATAATAAGATACCAAGTGTTGATTGGCAGAGAAATGAGTGCGATCTATTGTACATGTTATGCATAGTCATCGGAAAATTCCATATTCACTGTAGTTGTTCTTTATGTATAGAAATGGTTATTATTATTATATATAGCTAATAATGAATATATCGACAAATGACTGACACCATTTGTATTTCTGTACTTAAGTTTGGGATATCAATTTATTACGGGGTTATCCAAATTACCGGTAAATGCGCTAATTTCTTGAGTCATCTTCATTTGACACGTGGCCTATTTAAACAAAGGCAGCTTAAATTGATCTACGGCATGATACGGCATTTTAAATTCACTCTAAAATATTCCAATCACAAATGTCTAATCTATACCAATGAAAGACGATAATTCGGTGATTATGATTAGGCCAGTCACGTGGTAATTGGACCGTCAATAGACGCTTGTCCAGTTGCTGTGTGTATTGATAGTGCTATATTGTACATACAGTGAGATATTGTATAGATAATGTATATCCTATGTGTAGTGCCTGTGACGTCACCAGCCAATCAACCGGATTAAGGTCGTAATTGAAAAATTGAAAAGCGTTTTGGCGTGTCGGATACTTAAACGTTAACAGCGGACTTAATTTTAATCAGATTGGTGTGAACTTGCCGTAAAGTTGATATAGTAACCATGGGCTATACATACATGTAATTTAGATTTTTGATCTTACGTGGTCTTTAAAAATAAGAGCTGCATGACTTGTTTTGATTTCAAATAATAAATTACTGTACGTAAATATTTTCCCCAGGTTATAGGAAGTAAGTCTATAAATTTTTTTAATGAATCAGGAAACATGCCGTGGGTTCAATATCAATGTGCAACCCAGGTAAAAGGTTATACATAATTATAAACAAGACTGGATAATCATACATTCAACATTACAACGTCATGAGATAAAAGTAGTGCCTTGAATCGTGATATTTATGAGACATGATTTAGCCCAGAAGTGATACAGTAACAAAACCTCACTCTCGCATCAGACTTTTTAGGGAGGGTTGTCGGAGAACCAGAATATTTATTTTTGTATGGCTCTATTGCTTGGGGAGTAAGTTACAATCAAAGTGCAATCATTTCTTAAAGGTAATCAAGATAAATAACTCACTACTGGAAATCCTTTTCAAAAATTAAGATAACTGTTTTCTCTTACGAATGGGTGAAACCTATAATAAGGCCACTGACAAAAAAAGAAGAGATATAGACCCACTCATCGATCAACTTACACTTCTGCTACTGTAACAGTCTGCCAACCACCATAAAAAGATCTAGCACTGTGTGGATCTTCATGTAATTGTACTGGTATATCCACTATCTCTTCACTTTCAGGAACATCATCTTCAGTACCTGGTGGCAGGGGTTCTTCTTCCTGAAATAAAAAATATTTCTTGATTTCATTTTTAAACACAAAGTCGCTACAGAAAGCAATGGTAGAAGAATTATTTTCTAAAGAAAAATATGAAATTTTGCAAGGGAGGTAACTACTTCATTACCTATTGTCTCCCCTTAGACCACAACTCAAAATGCAAACAGTCCTGACTAAATGAAATTGTCATCGCAATAGGTCAATAATTTTGAGACAGATTTTACATTTTTATGGTTATGTGTGCATTCTGATAGGGAGAGTTTGACCAGAACTGAATCAGTGTGTCCCATCCAAACAACAAGGCACACTTTTGATTTCAGTCAAGTAATGAAGTTAATATGTTTTACACTGTATCTTATTTAAATTTTTCTAAACATCTCATATCACTTATCCATGAATTCGTAAATTCATCAAACTATCAATTTTCATTGTTCTCTACATAAATTGACGGCCATTTGACGAATATGTGAAATCTTTTGTAACTGGAAATCAAGTCTAGCTATTTGAATCAGTGACACCTGTTTAACGTTTAAACTAAAAGAACTAAACTATAATGCTAAAGCTTACTGGCAAAGGAATATCACCAGTATTTAAAGGTGTATCTTCTTTCTCTGGTGTTACTCTCTCCTCCACCTGTTCTTTCTCCTGTTCAGAAATAGAAACATATTTTTCCGGAGCTTCCCACACTGGCTCTTAAATAGTAAAAAAATAAATAAAACTATTAACAAGGGCATAACAAATCACTATTTTTAAATTAATTGTATTTTAAAAACATCACTTGATTCATATTACTAGCACATCGAAGTTTTCAAATTTATATCAAACCCAATATAGGCTCACATCAGGTTTAATTTCAACAAACATAATATACATCTGCGAACAATATCTAATCCGTGGGGTGGTCTAGTGGTTTAACGTGTGTGTGAAATCACAAAGTCTGTCATTGAGTCTAGTTGCGTGGTTTTGACTCCTCCTTGTATGCGACAAGAAGCTGAGTCACCTGTTCAAGTTTACTCCTGGTCCTCTGGTTTCTTCCCAGAGCTAAAAAGATCAGGTATCCTTGTTAATTAAGACGCATGTAGTCTAACAGTGTCAAAATCACCTCTAGAAAGAATGCAATAATGTCATGTTAGCTTTAGTTAACTATACCTACCAAAATATATATTATTCTTATAAAACAGCGCAATATTTAGTTGGGTTTATCATACCTTAATTTTTTTGACAAGTTCCATTTCACAAACTCTCAGAGCAAACAATATATTTAGGATAACAGTTGTTTAAGGTTGAATAATCAAGAGAGTTGAAAATTATGAGATTACTTCTACATTCAGTTTCAAAATAATGTTGATGGGGTTTTTTTTCGAAAAATTAGATATCCAACTAACTTTATTCAGTGTGCACTTATGAGTGTTTGAAGTTTTGACAAAATGTAGCCTAGAATGTTATTCTCGTAGCAACTATACTTGACAATTGACGTCATTAAAGTTGAAGCAGAATTACCGATTACATTTTAGTACCTTATTTTTAAACTGACTTACGATTAGTTATTGAATTCCAATAATAAGGATATCCTTCATCTGAAACAGCTTCATACCAAACACCCTCTGTATCAATATCTTGTTGACTAATTAATTCTACTGATTTCTCTTTCTTTAGAGGTTTAGAATTCTTTTTCTCTTCTGCTGCTTGGGCTAAAATAATATATCTTAAATAAATTTCACTAATAAATAAAGTCTGATAGTTTTGACTAATATGTTAATTTTTTCTATTTGAGACCACAGCACAATCACCACTTTGAAACCGTGGTCTCTACATGTGATTAATCCAACATAATGTGCAACATATACATCAAGTTTATAAAATGCATGAATTTCAATGATAATTGTGACGTTTCGACCATCCACAAGTGGTTATGGTCTTGCGGAGGAATGACAATAGTGGTTTTCCCAACTCTCACAAATATCCAGAAATTACTATACATGTAAATGTTTCAAGACTTTTGGGTGTATATTATTAGAGAGATTTCCTCGTAATACATTCACTTTACCGAGATGTACAACAAAAAATTAAAGATCCAATATTCAATAATAAACAGCAAAAAGAAATTTACAGATTATATACACATTACACAGTACTTAAAAAAAAATCCTAATGGTCCAAAAATGATCAAAACTAATCAAACCTAACAGAAGTTCACATTACTTTGTACTTTGTGGGGGGGTTGGATGGCCGAATGGTTAACTCATGCGCGTTGTATCATTGAGTCAACTGGCATGGTTTCGATGAAATAACCATTGAACCATATGTTAGTCCCGAAATGACCTAGTTTGTGTAGAGTGGACGTTAATCCCCATTTCTCTCTCCCGTATGTATTTTGTACTCATTTCATACTATCATCTTTAATTGTTTGCATCTTTAAGTAAGTAGAGGTTTGTGTACTATATTAAATTCAATAATATCATACCTTCTCTTGCTGCTTGTGCTTTAGCTCTATACTGGTCTGCTAAGGCTGGATTATTCTGTAAATCTTGCTTGAAAGCCTCAAGTGCTGCCTAGATAACATAATACAATTCAATATGTACAAAAGATCTATAAGTGAAAGATTGGTTAGGAACTTAACTCTTAAGTGAGTACAAAGGTGTGGATGGATGGCTGGCTGGATGGATGAACGGACAGGTGTCATGACATAAAAACAAACAATCCCCATAATACATAGACTACGGCTTCGTAAAATCGCATGACCTTTCTCACTTGTCAAATATAATGTCTGCAGTATTTATACAAATAGGAAGCAGACATTAAAATTATTCTCATATATTTTTGGTTTTCTTTAAATCAACATACATCATGGAAGTGAAATAATGTCATGACCAATCTGATTAAAACTTTAAAACACAGATCCTATTTCATTTTGTTGTATTTTTGTATACCCACTTGAAACGTAATAGGGTCAAAAGCCACTCATATGGGTCCTGATGTGACCTCTCACTACAACTAGTATTTACTCTGAAGAAGCAAAATGAACAGTCGAAATATATTTAGACAGTTACTAGTGAGGACTTGAACATCTCCAGGGAATTCTCAATATGCTAACCGTCTTCATAAGCCCAGTCGGTGCAGGAAAGTAGGATATATACCCCATTTCATTTCATTTTCATTTCTATACGCCATATTTATCTTGGGAGTTGTTGTTTTTTAATTGATTAATATTAATATTATTAGAAACATCATTTCAGAAAAATTTTATTTGACAATTTTATCTCTTTGTTTTTGATTTAGACTGATCCTAGCATTTTACCTTTTCCATTTGCTGTAAATCATTTTCAAGTTCAGATTTTTCTTTTGCTTTCTTTTCACTGCTTTTCCTAACCTACAATAAAATGGCAAATAATCATAAATCTGGGTCAGTGAACATCCCCAAACCTACCCCCACCAACTATACAAGACATTTCATATAAAAATAAATCTGAACAAAAAGCAGTCAACAACAAATTTCTAATTAAAGATATGTTCAATATTGGTAGAACTTTCAATTAATAAAATAATGACTGTTCAACCTGGTCAAGTGTCATAACCAGTCTTTAGTATATTCTATAATATAGTATAGTTATGCCACACTAATCTGTTGCTAAGTTGTGTTTTTAATTTGATATAAAGTACAGAATAAGATTCTTCAAATGTAACTTTTTAGATATATTCTTTTCAAAGAGTAGCCTGGATATAGTACTTAATTTGGTTAAAAAAGTATGATGTTGAACATCAACAAAGTAATATATATTTTTGAGAATCCTTCAGCAATTATTTCAGTATCCCTAGTCCTTCTTTATGAATAAATAATACGAGTAACCACCATTCAATACATCTCTCATCTTTATTCATGATCAAACTAAAATTTTGTAAATTGTTCAAGAACACTTAATTTATAAATCACTTAGATATTAGTGCTGGGTATTGCCACTGCAGTCATGATATGATACATATTGCTATTCAAGGGGATATGATACAATTCGTATCATGATTCATAACCAGGTTAATATTTATCAAGAAAACTTTATATATATCTAATTTCTTTAAGTATTCCTGCTTTTAAGCTGGAGGACACAAATATGAATTTATATAATCTATTCTATCTACATTCAGAATTTGGCTGATATCATTTTGGCTATTTAAAGGTGCAAAGACAATGAAATGGTATATAATGCCAGACAGAAATGACAAGTATTAACATTATTAAGCAGTTGCATCTTACCGCTGTTATTTTGTTTTGTACATTCTCCTTGTGTCTTTTGCCTCTTTCATGAAACTCGATACTCTGTAAAAATGAAAAGCTTGATATTAATAAAAAAACATAGATAAAATCTAAAGTGACATTTCTTAGTGACTAGGACTAAAGTCCAGGTAAACTTGAAAAAACAAATCCCAAAACACACCGGATTTTGTATAATTATTAAATCAAGCATGTGTAAAATATCTAATCCATCAGAAACAAACATATGATAGACTAATCACAACAACAATCATGATGTTACAAGGGTGTGAAGCTTATATCAAAAATTTATATTTTTTCTTAGAAAAACCTCTTGAAACCAACTGTGCCCCATCTAATAATAAAATCTAAAATAATCCACTGTCAAATGATTCATGCCAATATGGTACTTACTGGTTTATTATCAGAAATCCAACATTTACAAAAATCACAGAATTTCCTAGGGTTTGATTTCCAATATTCTGACCTGCAATATACATGTTTATCTTAAAATATAAGCTTACAATTACATTATACATATAACTGGTTGTACATGGTTTTGCTGTCATTTAATAATATACACCCACCAGCAGCTAAGTCGCCCGAGCCGTAATAAACTAAAATTAAATGACTCAAACAAACTTCAAGAAGATCACATCCTTATTAAAGCCTCTAAGGTGGTAACATGATTTCATAACAAAGGGGAATAACTTTGGATGTCATTATCGACAACCATTAAAAAATCAATATACATCTTCCTTTCAATATGGACGACAACCAAGAACTTTCAGAAAGATATATAGGTTATCAGTGCTAACATTATTTGGTAACAAATAGGCTTTTTCGTTTCACTGAGATAAAAATTTCAGAAAGATAGAATCTATAACGAGCTAAAAAAATTTTATAACAAAGGGGAATGATTCTCATCTTTTAAAGCTATCATTTAAAACTGTAGAAAACCAACAAGAAATGAGAATGAGAGACCCACAGATGGAGAGACAGAATGGCAGGGATGACTGAAGAATATGACATTAAAATATGGGATAAAAAGTTGTATAATATTCACTTCAAATTCCAAAATAATAAAATGTATATTTAAATGGAATGGAGTTTAATGTATCTTTACTAAAGAAAGTAAATACAAATGCCTAAAAAGTGGTAAAATATTAATCAGAATTTGTTAAATTACTTCTTCTTAGCACTAACATAACAACTATGCCTATATAAAAATTTTGGATAACGAACAGACAGGCAGTTGTGACAACAATTAATACATGCTCATATTAAAATTATAAACTGCCCAAATCACTTTTACTCTATAAGTATGCAAAATCAGTCATTCTCTAGACTCTCTCTAAAACATGGGCTGAGGCTTGTCTAATTTAGCTCTGAAAGTAAGTCTCCTTACACTCGGCTATTTGTCGAAACATTCAAACTTCCCTGTAAATTTTACTGTGCAAGTGTGTCAGTCCCTGTGTACACCTGTACAATGTAAAGGGACAAACAGCTTGATCTTTGCCATTACAGTTTAAAAATAGAGCAACATACAAATTAAAGAACAACAGCGACACAAAGACGAAACAAAATTTAGTTAACCAATGGAAAAAATTATAATCTTTGAAAAAATTATAATCTTTGAAAAAATTATAATCTTTGAAAAAATTATTCTGTTTTTGTTTTAAATGGTAGGCAAAGCAATAAATAACTGAAGATCCTAATTTTTTCAAAGATCGATTGTAAGGAGACTTATGTTCAGAGATGAACTAGGCACGTGGGCTTGTCAGACTCCCTGATACACCCAGGAGCAGCAAAGTCAAGTCTAAAACCATTGTCAACAAATGCCAAGCTTCAACAGTCGAAATGTGTTGGGATATAGTTCTTCTGTATCGGTTAGAAATTTTGCCCGAACAGCAGCATTTTATGAATTCCAACTGCCAAGGGTTCTTTTACATCTCATCGGACATCTATATTACACTGTTCCTTGCTCTATCATGCACCACTGAGAAGGGGAAATAAAGCTGAAAAATCCCCAGGTACTTTCTCTGGCAAAACTGGGATAAAACTTCTGACGTCCTGGTTAGTGAGTTAGTGCCTATAGGACCTACTGAAGTACAAGGTACTGTGTGTTTGTGTGTGTGAGGGGGATCACGTGGCTAAGTGGGTAAGACACTGGCTCGCTAGCCTGAAGGTCAGGTGTTCGATCCCTGCATTGGCCGAGAAAGTTTATCCTGCAGATTTTCCGGCGTGGTTCCCCCTTGTCAGTAATGCAGGACGGAGGGCCTGACAAGGACAGCTGTCTAGTCCTTCGGGTGATACGGAAAACCGAGGTCCCGTGTATACATTGGAATGCAGGTAAAAGATCCCTTTGCAGTTGGAATTCGATATAAGAGTAGGCGATAGTGCGCTGCCTGAGCAAAATTTCCCTCGTCATAGCACACTGTATGGCGTATTATTATTATTATTACAGCATATTTATAGTGCGCCCTTTCATGTAATATGTTCAGGGGCACTTTACAAAATGACAATGTAATCAAAAATAAACAACAAGATTATAGACATGTTAACGATTGTATACAGTCAGTTAAAAGCCTGATTAAATAAAAAAAAGTATGCCCGTCTTCATTAGCCCAGCATAGGAGCAGAACAGTAGGACGTTAAACCCCATTTCATTTCATTTCATTTTGTGTGTGTGACTGCTTAAAAATCAATAGGATTCATCACCAGGTAGCCAGGTCCGAGGTCACAAGAATGACCATGCCAGACAAAGGTGACAACTATATACAAGAATATTAAATGTGGCAGATAAACAGTGTATCCTAAAAAAGATAACCAAACTTTATTAGCTTTGAGAGATGTGTGTAGACCCAACTAGCAGCCTACTATATTACTAGGCCTAGTAATAATTAGTAATTTAGTATGTCACTATGTAATACTATGTATGTATGGTAGGCTAGTAGCTGCCAGATTTATAACTAAATAAAAAATAAATTACATTTTTAATTCAGTGGATTATTGATGAGAGGCTTGTTAGAATTGTATGGAATATAATATTCAGGTCATTGTTAATATAATCATAAGGATAACTAAGCCAATAACTTCTGCATGTTTTTGTCTTCTTTAATATTTTTCATACAATAATAATTCCTAAACCGGAAGTTTACATTATGGAGCCGGCGCAGTTCATGGGTCAATGCCGCGGGAAAAGGAGAGCGTTCGATATTATATACTGAATTTTCATTGGTTGATAAATGAACATTGCAGAGAGTACAGAAAGATTATCCAATGGTAATTATGTTTACAAATATGGGTAAAGGTCTTTACGCATGCGTAGTGAGGTTGCCTTTGTTGTCCCGAAAATCCAGGGACCAAGAACATTTCACACAAATTAGTAGATTCAATGTAGCAATCCGAGAGAAACTGCTGAAGACGGTGAATGAAAACATTTCTAGAAAATCAATTATGGTAAGGAAAGGCGTGACAGCAGTCACAAGTTGGTAAATTATGATCACTTTACTGAGTTACATAAATTTTTAGCAGACTGTCAACTTCCGACTTGTTGTTTATATTTTGAAAATGAGATGTTAATTTCACACGTTGGTTTGTTTGCAAACATAATCACAATTGTTTTGGTAGATAATTACTATGATTTACCGAATCTGTCTCGGGATAGATTAAATGAGATGTTCATATATTATTTAAGCAATCATTATTTGTTTTATGATGTTGTTACACAGACAATTTTCATACAAAATTTTTGACCCAGTTAATTCCTGGTGGTTTCGGGATGAAATGACACAAGCTGTCAACACTTTGTAGTTGTCTTTTAGTATTAATGATATTTTTACCCCAGGGTTCAAAGCATAGCACATGGTCTAAGCGCTGCTTAAGTTAGCTCTTCTTGTTGTTAGTTCTTTGGAAGCGAACAAATCTGGATCGATCTTGACATTAGTTTCGGGGATGGCCTTGCATGTTTTTACATGTAGTAAGTAAACAGGTTTCTAAAAAAAATATGCATTTATTTTTCTCTTTTACTTTCAGGACACAGGAGACCATGGTAAGATTAATTATTAAAAGCAGGGTTTATAAATCTTTTTGGAGGGGGAATACTATTGATGTTAGGAGTGCACATATAGTGGATTTTCACTGCAGTAACATTCTTTAAAATTTGGTCTGCAATGGCAAATGAAATAGGGTTTAACGTCCTACTGTTCTGGTCGACTTGGCTAATGAGGACAAGCATACACCATACAGTGTGCTATAGCTATGAGGGACATTTGCCTATAACAGCGGCGCTACAGCCTACTCTTACATCGAATTCCAACTGCCAAGAGTTTTTCACATGCATGCAAATATGTACACAGTACCATTATTTCTTCGTCCCATGCGAACGTCTAGACATTGCTCTTTGCCAGGCCCTCTGTCCTGCACTACTGATATGGGACAAACAAGCTGGAAAATCCGCCAAATAATGTTTCGAACACGGATCCTCCAGGTTAGCAAGCAAACCTCTTACTCAATCAGCCACTGCGGCTCACCAACCATGGATAAATTGGACTGGATAATAGTATCAGTCTGGCGAATTTGGTATCATGCTTGATAGTAAAGTTTACTATCTGGTTTTAATCATCTAATTTATGATTGGTATGATCGATAGGAAACTTTTCAGCACTTTGATTTATTAAATTTAACTATTGCCCATCTCTGCAACATTGCTTCACTAAAGATGTTTTAATAGATTAATAAATGTGTTGGTTTGTTGTAGATTTTGAATTTGGAGATGAGAATGATATGGAATCTATGATTGATAGTTATAATAAGAATGATGAATCAACAATGGGATCGATTGATGGTCGTTCAGACTCTGTATGTGATGGAAGTACGCTGGGGGTATGTAGGGTAAATGAAATGACTCTTTAAATATAGTGTTTTACAGAATAAAGAACTGTGTCAAAGACACTCTAGGTGCTAACTGCTACATAATTATTTACATTAGTAATTACAAGTGGTCCGCACTACAAGCTAACAAAACCTCCGTTCAATGCAAACTACACATACATTGCAAGAAATAAAGAAAAAATATCAAATCAAATGAATGGATCCGGAGGCCAGCCGTGAGCATCCATTGTGCTGTACAGTCCTGGGCCTGTAAAAATTGATAAGGCCCATAGTGTGAACAGTTGATAAGATATTCTAAAAAGTTTGTTGACGTTGAAGTCTCCAGACATTTTTATGAATTATTAATCTTAGGTTGAGGATTTGATTCTAATATTGTAGTTTTCTCCCACTTTCCTGTGCACAAGCAAATTATTGTAATAAAGCATTCTGTTGGATCTGTGCTCGATAAAACGTAAAACTAGGGATCCCTAAGAAACCTAGTTTTACGTTTTATCAAGCAGACATTAATTGCTTGTCCCTTTTGAAATTGTAGACTTTAAATGTTTTTTCTTTAGGGTGAAGATGACTATATGTCTAATATAGCTCTGTATGATGGTTATGATAGTTATAATGAGAGTGGTGAAAGTTCCGATGAAGAGGAGGAGTTGCCCAGAGGAGAATTATTGGCAGCTCATCTTAAAGGCATTGTTCCCACAAAACCTACTCCATTTAGATTTATGAATGGTAAAGATGGTATGGGTGAGTTAAGGCCGTCGTTCGCACTTCATTTGGTGAATTTTAACAATAAAATCGTTTTTGAGGTTTTATGATCATCTGCGAGTAACACTATTTAGGAACACATACCAGTCATTTTTTTTACAAAATTCTTCTTTATTTCTACAAAATTTGGTTCTGAATGATCCCACCCTTTTTTATTTTGCCCTAATTCCGCTAAAACTATTGATATAAATCTAAAAACAATAGGCATTTCATACGTGAAATACTCGGCTTCCGACCGGTAAACTGTCGCCATGTTGGATACTGTTAGAAAGCTTGGGATCCCCCCTATTGAAAGGAAATGACGTTTTATGGGGGTGTCTTGAAACCTTTCTTCTGTATTGAGATAAAAATAGCAAGCAAGAACAAGTTTTGCATACCTAATGAGGTTATTTCGAGAATACGTTATTTGATTGGTCGGTCACATAGGTCAATGGTGAAGTGTCCAATCAGAAGCGGGCAATCCTCTAGGTCAGGTCAATAGGCATGCGCACTAAGCTCATGTCCCAAATCAATCCTGGTTGCTATATTACTGAACCGTACGTCACTGTTTATCAATATTTTTGAAGATTTTCAAATAAAATGCGTTTGAAATTGTTAGATGACTAAATAAGTATGACAGACACTCATAATAAACAAAATGAAGATGAATATTCGTCTGCTAGACCTAGTAGTGGTATGGTTGCAATACCATTACCAGGTAGGCCTGCTGTCAGTGATTATATAGTTATGGTTGTTTTGAATAACATCTATTCCTATGTCAATGTTCGGTTGTAAATTTACACACAAGAAATAAAATAAGAAAATACTGTATATTGATAAGAAATACATTAGAAAATATATATATTAAAAGTCAGTTTATTAATATTAAATAAATGAATTGAAAAGATCGGCGTAAGTTGTTCTACTGAAATACTTCCAACTTCAGTTGTTGATTTCTCAAAACAGTTTTTTTCTAGAGTTACCAATTTTAGTCATGCTATATCTCTGAAAGTTATCGTCAGATTTTCTTGAAACTTGGAATATAACTTCCTATATAATAACTTTGTGCAATAGGAGAATTTTATTGAAATCTGCAAAATAGTTCCTGATATATTGTTGCCATAGCAACTGTGACACGTGAAAGAATTTTGAAGTTAACATTAAAATGTGTATAACTTGCTTTCTAATTATTATTTTGTAATGAAACTTGCCTATTGCACAAAGGAACATGTCAGTAACCTCTCTGCTTAATTTTAAAACATTCTGTTGAATAGTTTCTGAGAAACTGGATGACTAAAATTATACGCAGAAATCCAAGATGGCCGCCGTTTCCATAGCAACAGGTACCCCCAGGAAAATTTTTCGGCCGTTTTTGTAATACTCAATGGATGTGTTCTTAGATGTGTAAGAATGGTGACTTTACCTCAATTATTAAAAAAACTGAAATTTTCTACTGTCCACCCCCTTAATGAAGATTTTAGTTCAATAAATCCTTAGATAACTTTATACCACTTCATGAAGAAAGATGTTGAATTTCCTGGCACAAGATACATACTATTTTATTCTCAGTTGAATCTTGTTCCCAACAGAGCCTGTCCGCTGTACCTGTGAGGTCAACCAATGATAGATATTGGTGTTTTGAATATCTTATTGGCATTATTTTGATATTAGATCATAGATGTAAATGTTATTTTTTTGCTATAAAATCTAATATAATTCTGAATTTGTTTTCATATTTGATATTGCAGCAACTTGTGAGAAGTGTGGAACTGTTGGAATAAAACATGCTTTCTACTCCAAATCTAAACGATTCTGTAGTTTGTCATGTTCTAGAAGTTTTGCTACAGCTCAGAGGGAAGGGAAGCCATTGCCACCTAAACCTGTGATAGCTAGAAAGGTAAACCCATGCTTTATAAGATAACTTGAAATGAAAGAAAGATAATTGTTATTGGATTTTAAAGGGATCCTTAATTTGATATATTGTTGATATGTTGCGTTATTCTGTTAGTCAACAATGTTAGAAAACCGAAGATAGAATATAACCCAATATTCTAGAAGGATGTTTGGGACTTTGTGATTTGTCAGTAGATCGTTGCAGTTTCTCTTCTATTTGTAAGCTGGCTTTAATCATTGCATTTTATTTTGCAGGGTAATAAAGGAATAACCCATACAAAGAAGCCTATTTCTAAAGCGAACAGTCATTTATACAGTAAATCTGGAAAACCAGGTAACATATTTATCTTAAAGGTTTGATGCACCATTTTGCATTTTTCGCTAAGATATAAAATTTCTCCAAATCAGATTGATTATTTAACATTTAATTAAAGATACATTATGAGAGATTAGATAAAGAGCTGACAGATCTCGCTATAATAGTCAATAAAACTAGATAATGTGAAGGAAATTTGTTGAAAATTTCAGTCAAATTGGTCCACTATGAACCGAGATATCAGCTTTGTAAATTTCCGCCTAGCCTCGTTCATCATTACTAAAGTTATTACATTAAAAAGCATAGTCTCGATTATCCATTGTTTTGATTTAATTATCAATGAGCATTTGCAGCATATAGGATTCTAATCCGGTCGATATCGAAGGCTAGCCTTGACATCGAGAGTTGATTATGGTCTGGATAAGTTAATTAATGTCTAATTAATAATTTAGATAAGATTTCAGGCCTAAAGAAAGACCTGCGATAGGCAGATTTAGCTCTTGCATAATGTATGTTTAAGTAAACAAAATTAAAATACCAATGCTAGTTAATCTCCCAGCTTGGATTCAGTTAGATTTAAGCTAGATTCATCAGGTTTCTCTACATAGATCAATGAAATGTCAATTCCGCATATCTTTGTAAATACTGAACAGAACTGAACCGAACCATTTTGGGATTAATATTCATATTAGAGATTCATCTTTCACAATATTGTTGCTTGCAAGTGATTCCTATTGCTAAAAATGGCACAACAGGACTTTTATCTCTAATTATTATTGATTGCACAATATTTTATAAGAAAATGACAAATACAGCCACTGAAGAATTATGTATATTGCCGATCATTTCTAAATAATTATAAAAGCTCTACAATTTTAAAAGTCGCATTGAATACGGTAGTGTCTAACATAATGTTGATTCAAAATTATGTATATATTTAATTTTTAATCTTATTTGTTATTTAGAAACAGTTCGTGGGTTTGATTGGGGACCATATTTATCATCTGGTTGTGGTGATGGAGCCAATATTTCAAGTTTCATTCATGTAAGTAAAATATTCTAAACAACTACTTTTAAGATTGTAATTTTTTTGTCCCCCGCCTTTCGAAGAAAGCAGGGGACTATTAAAATGGGTTCGTCCGTCTGTCTGTCCGTCTGTCTGTCTGTCTGTCCGTCTGTCTGTCCGTCACACTTTTTGGGACACAATAACTCTCTTCCTAATTGAGCTAGAATGTTCAAACTTGGTGTATGTGTTTATTAGGTCAATGCCTTGATGGAGTTCGAAGATGAGCATTTTCCGCTTAGGGTAAGCAGAGATAAGCAATTTGATTGGTTGATGCTTTGGGACCTGATAACTTTAGTTCTAATTAAAAGGGAGAGTGAGGACACTTGGTGTATAGCTTTATTATATCAATACCTTGACTAAGTCTCGATAATGAGCATTTTCTGCTTAGGGTAAGCAGAGCGATAAGCAATTTGATTGGCCGAGACTTTGGAACACATTAACTCCTTTTCTAATTGAGCTAGAATGTTCAAACTTGGTGTAGGTGTATATTAGGTTAATGTCTTGATGGAGTTCGAAGATGAGCATTTTGTGCTTAGGTTAAGCAGAGATAAGCAATTTGATTGGTCGAGACTTTAGAACACAATAACTCTCATTCTAGTTGAGTTAGAATGTTCACACTTGGCATAGGTGGCTATTAGGTGAATGCCTTGATGGAGTGTGAAGATGAGAATTTTTTGCTTAGAGTAAGCAGGGATAAGCAATTTGATTGGTTGATGCTTTGGGACACGATAACTTTAGTTCTAATTAAGTGAGAGTGAGGACACTTGGTGTATAGCTTTATTATATCATTACCTTGACTAAGTTTGATAATGAGTATTTTCTGCTGTCATGTCATGGCTGAGTTCAATTATTAACATTGGTCGATGCTTTGGGACAAGATAACTTTGATTCTATCTGATAGAGAGTGCTGAAACTTAGTGTATAATTTGATTGCTCGATACTTTTGAAAAAAATAAATGTGCGATTAATTAATGTGTCATCTATTTATTTTGGGATTTCGGCGGGGGACATCAGCCTCACTGTTGGCTTGTTTATTTTAATTTGCCCACATGTTATCACGGTTGCATATTGTCGCCACATGCGTGTAAGCTGTATTCACTCTAATTTTCGTCGAATTGTCTGGAATAGTTAGTTTTGCAGATGAGTCTAGTTCCAGGGTTGAATTATTAAATCATTAATGATGAATATGCTGGTGGGCATATGTTCCTTTCCTCATATGATGTTCTTGCAATGGAAGAGGAAAGAAGTATTGATAATGATCATTCTTTCTATTTCCTATAAAATTTGTTGCCTGTTGATTAATCGATTGTGCAAAGTGATTTTGATTTATGTTTTTGATAGGCACCAATGAATGAAAGTTGGGAACAGATTAGTATTGGAATGAAAATAGAATGTTTGAATCATGATACAGATTTACCTTATTCTGTTTTCTGGATAGCAGCTGTTATAAAACTTGCAGGTAACATTATTGTACATACATCACGGGGGTTAGAGGTCACTTTGCTTTGACCATTACCGTTCATTTCCAATATGATTTGACTTGACTTAAAATAATACCATTAATTATTTTTTCTTTTTTTTGTAAACGTAAGAGATATTTGATTGACTAAATGAATGGGAGATCGTTGAACCGGCTAAATGTCCTATGTCAGATCCCTTTGGGTATCCATTGGTTTTGTAGTATTATTTTGAATATGTATCATAGTCTATGACATTAAAGATTTGAGATCTCATTGGATATTGTTCTAAATAGCTAACTTTTGACCATTATCCTCATTATGTGCATTTTTCATATTTAATGTTGAAATTATAAAATTTAAACTTTAAACTTTTGCAGGTTATAAAGCTTTAGTAAGATATGAGGGATTTTCTGGTGACTCTAGTAAAGATTTTTGGTTAAATTTATGTTCTAAAGATGTTCATTCTGTTGGTTGGTGTGCTTCATTTGGTAAACCATTAGTTCCTCCTAAATGTAAGTCAATTTTCAATATATGATCGATCGCATTAGAAGTTAAACATGTATACGTACAAGAGTTATAGATTTTCTGAGATAACTTGAGTGTTTGCATTTTCACTAAAATATCATATTTCCCATGGCTAAATATGTACTCAAATACCAACACTAGATAATCTTCCGACTTGGATTCAATCAGTTTTAAACTAGACCAATTAGTTTTCTCCGCTTGTTACACTCGAGCAGCATAGATCGATGAAATATCAATTTATCATAACTTTGTATAAAATAAACAGATTAAACCATTTTTGAACTCATATTTCTATTATATTCCCAATGTTGTAGTTTGCAAGGGATTCCTATTAAGCTAAATGATGCATCAAGCCTTTATGCAATGTTTAACCATCTTGGTGTTTCCACCTATCCTTCATTAGATATTCTGAATCATTTAAAAAGTGTCATCATGTAATGCTTAGCTGTTCATCTAGAAGACAAATGTCTGCATATTAATTTGAAAGCCATTCAGAGGGGTATTAACTCTATGTAGTTTCTTAATTTCATGGCATTATATCTTAGATTAATTTATACAACATGTTTTCTTTTATTATTATTTTATTATTCCTAGCAATTCAACATAAATATGCTGACTGGAAATCCTATCTTGTAGCAAGATTAACAGGTTCCCGAACTTTACCTGGTAGTTTTCACAATAAGGCAAGTCTTTAAGTTCCATTTCCTATTCAGTGGGTACAGTAAGACTGTGTTGTATATCAGTTGTATTAGAAACATTAGTTTATATTGATATGTCCTATATTCAGTGTCGTGAACACAATATGATGCTGAATACCTTGTCATTGTGTTCTGTCATTGTAAAGCATACCGTGCATTATGTTTAAGATAGTATTGTTAAAAGATATACTTGTTTGAAATCATTGATTAAAAATGTTTGAAATCATTGAAAAAAAGTTTGAAATCATTTGACAAAAAGTTTGAAATAAAACAAAAATAATTTAAACATGATTAACTAAATAATTTACAAATGATTAATTTAATTTAAAAATGATTAACTAAATAATTTAAAGACGATTAACTAAAATAATAATGCAATAAACTAGATTTTTGATACATTTGAATGGTTTTTGATCATCATTTAAATTACATTCATATAATTTTTCAGGTAGCTGAGTATATGACTAGTTTTAAATTAAAGAAGGGTATGCGTGTAGAAGTAGTTGATAAGATGTGCGTTTCAGCAATGAGGGTAGCTCTAGTAAATGAAAATATAGGTGGAAGAGTTCGTCTGAACTATGAAGATAGTAAAGTAAGTATAAATTTTTTTCTGACTTTAATCAAATTTGACTGGTGGTATTCAACAACAGTGTTATAGTGAAACCCTAGTCTGATAATAGAATATGAAATGCATCCTACTTCTAATAGGGAAATACTTCATTGTTTAGTGTAATGGTGCTATAACTCCATTCAATGAAAGAACATTTGAGGAGCTTTGTCTATTCATATATACCCACACCAAACCTTCCTAGTTACACGAAGTTTCAAAGAGAATATAAATTTACGTTACAAAAATACAATATATTTATACATTTGTCTATGGTAAACTTTTTCAGGATGAAAATGATGATTTTTGGTGCCATACCTATTCTCCATTAATACATTATGTTGGCTGGTCACAAGAAGTCAATCATAAATTACACTGTTCTCAAGGTAAGTTTATTATGATTTTATAGAAGCATGTATCATATCTCTGCATATGTGCAATCTGATTAAAATACAGATCTATATTTCGTTTCGTTTTTTTATACTTTCGATGGCCTACACTACATGAAGATCTGACCGGTTGTTGCGATAGGTCACGTCAGAGGTCATACGAGCGGCAAGTGAGCCTATGACGTCAGACATTTGATTACATTTGATCAACCAATCAGCATTAGTGTTACTAGTGAATTACCCACAGTTCCGTGAAAAACACGCCTAAAGCTCAACGTAACAGACCGTTTCATTGGCTAATAAATCACACTATTCAGAACAGTCAATGATAACAACTCTTCCAGATCCTAGTGTAGTAAACACAAATAAAATGAAATTTTGAACTATAAAAAACGAAATGAAATCGGATCTGTGTTTTCAAGGGAAAGACAGTCTGATTAAAACACAGGTCTATATTTTGTTTCGATTTTTACTCCATATAGGTCAGTTCAGTTTGGAAGGGAGGTCATCTCCGGGTCATACATTAGGTGAATGGCGTAAACTATTTATACTTTAACCTTTTTTCTTTACTCTGATTAGATGTCAGCCATAATGGACAACTCATCTAAGGCTCAAGTAAACACATGATTTCATTGGCTTATATCTTCTATCAAAGCAGTCCTGATTAGCTCGGCTGGTGCAGAAAAGTAGACTATTACACTTCATTTCATTTTTATATCAAAGAAAACTCAGTTTATTTACAAATTAATCCTGATTAATCCTAATAAAACAAAATTGGAACCATAGAAAACAAAGCTGTTTGAAGCAGACTGCTGAAACAATTGACCAAGATGAATAAAAAGATTAATTACATATCATTGTCATGTACGAGGAGGGTCTAAAAAGCTAATCAGTTTAATTTTGCATGGTGATACAATGGATTTTTTTGAAAACTTTCTTTACAGAATATCGCAGCAAATGCTTAACCAAACTTACCATGCAAAAATATGATCCAACAGATTCCACACCAGATATGTTTTTAAAGAATAAAGATTCTAAAACCAATCTAAAATTTCAAGTTGGGATGAAACTTGAAGCCATAGACCCATTAAACCTCTCAGCTGTTTGTGTTGCTACAGTTATGAAAGTAAGTTTGTTAAAGATTTGTGGGATTTTGAATCCCAAGCGAACAATCACATTGTTGAAGTAAAGGGAATATCCACACAAGAGAGTGATTGAGTTCCATTTAGTATTTTGAAAGATACAATGAACTGAAACTTTTCTTAAAACTCGTCATCTTTTGCAGATAATATAGACAAGACAGCGTCATCTATAAGTGTTGGGTAAAATTTTTTGATTGGCCTCTTTTTAATCCAATTGAATTCAAGACAGGAGATTATCTACCATTGATATTTTGCTTTTGTTTTATTAAAAGGTTAAATTCTTAGTTTGAGTATATTATAGAAATTAGAGTGGATTAAAAGAAAATATTGATCTTGGTTGTCTCTAGGGATTTCCACCTTGTATTTATTGCAAGTGAGATAAGTCATTTCAAAAGTTTTATTTCAAGTTTTTTTTTTTCAAAATATATTTCTATAATGAGGATGCTAGTCCAAACATTAAATAAGACTGTTATTTTTTAGGTGCTAAAGACAAATTATTTAATGATTGGTATTGATGGATCTGCAGCTCAGAATGGTTCGGACTGGTTTTGTTATCATTCATCCTCACCATGTATATTTCCAGTAGGATTCTGTGAAATCAATGGAATCGTTTTAACCCCACCTAGAGGTTGGTTGCTTTATTTAATTGATGTTGTATAAAATTATAGTACTTTTAATGATTGAGTCATCAGATAAATTTAAACAAAACCATTTAAATTTTAATGATTAAGGATATTTTATTAAGCCATGGAAAATCTTTTCATTTGATATGACTAAACATTTCTTCTTTTGTGATACATGCTTGGTTTGGTTCTTACGAAAGTATTTTTGTCACATACTGGTATACCTCAAAATATAAAAAATTATACTGTGGTTGTATTTTAGGTTATAAAGGACCATTTAAATGGTTTGAATATCTCAAACAGACCAAGTCAGTAGCAGCTCCTGTTAAATTATTTGATAAGGTGGGTATGGTTAGATAGTATTTGCTTGAAGATTATAGTCATTGATATTTTAATATAGTAAACTTTTACATTTGATCAAATACATTTTGAAGGCTTAGTTTATATCATTGTATGGCAAACAACTTTTAGATTTAAAATATGATATTGATATGTTCTCTGTATTCTTAATCCCTAGTCAAAGATTATTTTGTTGATATTTTATACTTTCAGGAAATTCCTAAACATGGTTTTAAACCTGGACATAAATTGGAAGCAGTTGATCTGATGGAACCAAGGTATGCTATGAATATATGTATTTACTGTGCCATCAGATAAAAATGATATCAATATATATTTGAGAAAATACCATCCTGGCTATATGTACCATAAAATGTTTATAACTCTCAAGCTTTGTCTCAACAAATTACTGTAAAATATCTAGGGTTAGTTATTTTTTGTCACTTTTATTGGATGCTTTGTTTTTCTTCGGAAATAAAATAAATACAGTGATGCTGAGTTAAGTTCTCTCTCTCCCAATAATAAATTGTTACATAATCCTGTCACTCAATATTTTCATGTCTCCCCTATTGACAGAATGGTCTGTCAAGTATCCCCCCAGTGGGTTTACAATGATTTATTGTATGTATACATCTTTATTTTTTTTTAGATTGATTTGTGTAGGAACTATAACTAAAGTTGTTGGTCGATTATTACGAGTACATTTTGATGGTTGGGAGAATGAATATGATCAGTGGGTAGATTGTGAAACCCCTGATCTTTATCCTGTTGGTTGGTGTGAAATGATGAATTATAGTTTAGAAGGACCTAGAATGAAAAGTTAGTCTCATTTAATTCAAACACATTTACAATATGGCACAGTATCCCATTCCAAATTTTTACATAATTTATAATAAAAGGATGCAAATTTTTAGTAAAACACACTTTAAGAGAGTTTCCTCCTCCCCAAGAATTATTAGAAAACATCTTATATTAAAGAAACATTATGTAAGATTTAGATAAAGAGTTGGTCGTTTTTGCTATAAATATAATACTTCAAAAATAGATAATGCAAAATTAATATATTGAAAATTTCATTAAAATTACTATATTCTGGGCGAAGATTGCAACCACCGTACTGGTTGTTTGAGGCTTAGCCTCTCTTCACTATTTTTAAATTAAATCCTGTCAAAACTTCTTGAATTACGCCCCCCCCCCCCCCTCATCCCCTGATTGTAAGAAAAACAACAAAAAACCGTTTTAAGATTGTTCTCTTGAATAATGTAGGCATACCTTGAATGGCCACCGTTTGTATTGATTGGATGTTTATTATATTTGTTTTATCAGTTGAACAACAGGGTATCAATAACTTACCACTGTCCAAGAAACGTAAGAGTAAAGCCCAGTTGTATAAAGGTCCGAGGAAGAGTAAGTGTAATGGTTTGTACACCCTTCATTTCTTACTAACATATTCATAATTATATATCTACAAATAAGGGCTTTATCTAAGTTCAAATAAATCATTTTCATTGGCATCATCAGAGAATAAAACCGAAACTAAAAAAAATAGTGTATGATCATAAACATCTTCGATGAACTTAGATGAAGTCCTAGTAAAACCATTAGTTTAGAAACTTAAAATTTCGAATTTAAATATTTTCTGTGTTTCATACACATGTGATAAAATCATTTTTATGACTTAATCATAAAGTGTGACTTGTTTATCCTTACTCGAAACAAAACTTAAATTACCAAGAAAAATGGTATATTAGGTTGTGAAAAATGTTTATAAATGTTGCATGGCACTAAATCTTTACATACTGTAATGTGTTGTAAGAAATTGGTGTAATTTCATAGAAAACCTCATCCCCACTTTTTATATTGAGCCAGATCTTTCCCATCTTTTACCTAAACACCATCTTAAACTAATTGGATGTATCATGTATATTTCATCACACCACATGCATGAAGTTTATTTTTATTGTTGGAATAACTTCTGCTTTCTTTCGTTGCTACACACTGCATGACCAACAGTTTCCTCTAGGAACACTTGTACAGCCAAAAAATAACCACACATCAACTTCATTTTATGCAACCTATAAATTTATAATAGTAATATGCTTCCTTATATAACTGGATTGAACAGGCTGTGTACAGAAAATCTTGCTTTCTATACTTTGAATATTCCAGAAATACTTCGATTTTCTCTTGTGGATTATTGGTTAAATATTTGCAAAGAATTTAAACTTAAGATATACTTCTAATCTGTACAAATGATCAACCTATTTTGATTTCAGAGAAGAAAAGTAAATCACCCGTTAAACCTGGGGTTAATTATACAGATTCCACTGATCATCTTCAATACCCTCCTTACGTTTCCCTGACAGCTGAAGCAGTTGCTGCTAATTTACCCCCTATGTTAGATACCCATGCATCAGACTCTTTTAAAGGTACTATATTATTCAAGCATACATATAAAGACAATTCTTACCACTAAGATACATAATCTCGATAGATGTAATATTTGACGATGTTTACTTTATTGTTTATTATCCCTGCTCACCCGCTTTCATCATTTTGTACTTTTTTATGTTGGATGTTTTAGATTTATTCATATTTTTTTATGCCCACATGGAAATGTGGTCGTAGGAAATGTGGTCGTAGATTGCTTTTGCCCCTGTCCATCCGTCGTCCACAAATTTCTTGTGAACACTCTACAGACAACATTTATCATCTGATTGTTTTGAAATTGATATATGTTGTTTACATTAGTGAGATGAAGAAGTCTATTTAATTTGTGTTTCTTTCTTCTGGAGTTAAGGCCCTAGCTTCACTTTGTTGCATCTTGTGAAGGCCCTAACGACAAAAGTTATCATCAGATCTGTATGAAATTTAAATGCATCATTTAGATTAGTGAAACGAAAACAAAGACCCCTATTGAATTACAGCAATTTCCATTGATTAGATCTAGAGTTATGGCCCTTGTTTCACTTTGTTGAACCTTGTGAAAGCTCTATCGACAAAGTTTATAAACTGATCTGTATGAAATTTATATGCATCATTTAGTGAATCGAAGAAGCCAATTGAATTTCAGCAATTTCCATTTATTACTTGTAGAGTTGAGGCCCTCGTTTCACTTTGTTGAACCTTGTGAATGCTCAAATGACTAAAGTTGTCATCTGATCTGTATGAAATTTATATGCATCATTTAAATTAATGAAACGAAGAAGCCAATTGAATTTCAGGAAATTTCTGTTAAATACTCTTAGAGTTAGGGCCCTTATTTCCATTTGTTGAACCTTGTAAATGCTCAAACGACTAAAGTTATCAACCGATCTGTATGAAATTGATATGCGTCATTTAAATTAGTGAAACAAAGAAGCCAATTGAGTTTTGGGAAATTTCCGACAAATACTTTTAGAGTTATGGCCCATATTTCCCTTTGTTGAACCTTGTCAACTGGTCTGTATGAAATTGATATTCATCATTTAAATATTATTCATTTTACTCATATTTGACCCTTTTTTGCCAATTTTCAGTTAAAGTGGAACCAGGAATGGAAACATCAACAGGGCAAGATGCCCCACCAGTGTTAAGTCCCTTAGAAGCACCTCCTAGTCGAGCTCAAAATATATCAAGAACTGCCTCAATGCCAGTAATAACAGACTTTAAAACTGAGAATTCAAATAGTAATACAACTGAAAATGCCAGTGCTAATCAGTCAAATCAACATTTGTTATCTAAACTCACCTCTCCGGTTAATAAAATGGACACATCAAACTCTAGTCTTAACCAATCAAACGACAGTACGCAGTTGAAACCAGCACCACCTAGTGTTGGTGAAAAGGTGACATTGTCAATGACAACACGACATCAAACTGTGCTACCAGATCATTGGACAATAATTGATGTTTATCAGTTTTTACATGTTAATGATTGTGCTGCATACTGTGAAAGTTTCAAAAAGAAGGTAATTGATAATACTTTATTTTCTGATATATTTAATTTTATCAGAGCTGTAATTATATTTGTATTTCTTCCAGAACTTTTCTTTGCTCTGATCTAGAAATTGATGAATCAAAGGACTCTGCTGATTTACATGTACAATATATATTGTAGCAAGAAAACTGTATGGCTTTAAATAATACTATTTACCTTACAATCATACAGACAACTTGTTTGTTTCAACTGTCTCACATGCGAAGTGTAAAAGATGTGAAATACTGTTGAAAAACGTTTTTGAATGCTCTTCTTCAGTTTAAAAGATAAAAACACATAACTGTATACTTTTGTATTAATCCAATGATTGATTTCTGTTTTCAGGGCATTGATGGCCGTCGATTTATGGCATTAACTAAAGAAGAAATAGTCAGTTTAACTGGTATGAAAGTTGGACCATCTCTTCGGATTTATGATCTCATTCAATATCTGAAACAACATTTCGAACGCAAGTTGCGACAAGATTCCTCTTGACCTAAACTTTGAAATTAGCAGACGTCAGCCAGATGTTAGAATGCTAAGAGCCGAGAGATATTTCCAGTGTATTAGTGTTTTGTGTTGTGATGTAATAATAGTTCTAAACTATAAATAGAAAACTGACTATAATATTATAAATAAGAAACAGACTATAATATTGAGATTATATCACTGCAAGAAACAGAATCTAATGATTATCTATAATGATGTATCTGGCCATAAAAGAGAGAGATATTTATTTCCATGAAAAGATGGTTGTGCTTAATTATTTTTTGTATTAAAATATTGATGCCAAAGACTGGCAAGTGCTTGTAACATACTGATATAAGCAAGTATTGATATTAGAAGTATTTATTTTACTAGTTTTCTACTTTATTACATTGTTTTAATGTTTTTGAAAAGATGATTACCCAGTTCGGGTATGCATAAAGTTATAAATTTTGCAATACATAAAACCATGACCATATGTTAAAGACCCTAAAAAATATTTTTTTGATATGGCCATTCATGCAATTTATTCAGACAGAAGAATTTTCCAGGACAGTGCCATCTACTTTCCATAGATTTAGACTATGTTGTAAATGAGCAGGAAAAGTTAAAATAAAAGTTATTGTGATTTTTGTATCAACAAGCAGATATTAATTCTTGCAATATTAGCCCTTATTGGCTTAAGCATGTTGAATACAAAGTGTTAATGTGAAAAAACCCTTACTGTGTAGTTTGAACCTAATTATTTATTGACATATTCCATTATTAATATTGTACATTTATACTGTAAGTGGGTAAAATCCATCTTATTTTAACACGATAATATAAGAATGATTGTAATCAAACTATAAAGTAAAACATGTTTGATGTATAAGGCGGGGATTTTTCGCTGGTTTACTTAAAGGGGCATTGCAGAATTTGGTGACCTCCAGGTATTGATTTCAAGCTCTACAGAACAATGAAAATGATTTTGTTTCAAAATATTTACCATTTTATCAGTTTGAAAATGTATATTCAAAGTTATCTTGATTAACTAGAGATAGATCTTTAACAACAAATGAAAAACTTAAAAACACCATGTTTCAACATGCTATATTTAGAACATGGACAGCTCACAATGCTACATTTTTTCCTCCATAGCAAATGGCATTGTTAAGCATAGCTGCTTTATCTGGCAATATCTTTTTAAACTATTGGAGCTTAGTGGAAATAGATATTTCGAGATGAAACATGATCTGTTGATACTGTGTTGAATACAAATTTTCAAATAACCTTTCAATGAAAATAATTTATTTTTGAGTAACCAGGTTTTTTGAGAAAGAAATCCCTAATAATCATATCGTCCGTGTGTATATAGAAATATAGTATTTAGAAATGAAGAGCTTAGTTTAACTATGTCATGTTGAAAGATAAGATATATTTGTTATCTATAAAATAACTGTTATGTTTACAAGATTTATATGTTATCACATATTTCTCATACATTGGTGTAAAATACTTAATAACATCTCAACATATCTTTCTTCTTTTTATTCCTCCATATTGAAATGCGGTTGTAAAGTGTCATCGCTCCATTCATCATCTGATCTTTTTATAAATGAAATGAGGTTTAACATCCTACTTTCTGCTCCAACTAGTTTAATGAAAACTGACGTACAGGGTATGGTAATTTTGTCCAGATAGCGACGATATGGCCTACTCTTATTTCAGTTTCCAAATGTCAAAGGTTCTTTTTACATGCATGCCCAATCCGAACAACTAGACACTGTGGGTGCTATGCAGGGCTGGGGCCATTGCATTGTCAATTCATCATTTGTGATCGTCCTGCAAAGCGTGGCTGTACGGATTTGACATTATAGCAGATTGATACACAGAGTTTAAGGTCTTGAAATGAACAAGTATATTGATTTTCAATGGATTTTGATAATTTGAACAGCTAAATCCATGATATTAAATGTTTTGTATACTAAACGTTAGCATGGGCCAAACATATTCTAATGATTTTCTGATAATTACTTAAAGATACATTATGGGAGATTCGATAAAGATCATCATTACTCAAGTCAGTACGATAAACAGTATAGTCTCAATTATCAATTTAATCGTTAAATCGTGAAGGAAAGCTATGCAGTAAATCGACTCATAATCCACTAAAGATTGCAGGCGAGCGATGCCATCTAGAGTCAATTATGGTCTTGATAGGTTGATTAATGTCTAATTAATAATTTAGATAACATTTCAGGCCTAAAGGAAGACCTGCAATAGACAGATTTAGCTCTTGCATAATGTATGTTTAATCTGTAGTTATTCTAAAATCAGATTTTAGGGTATTAAAAATGTTTCATTACCGACTAAAAGATATGTGACAACTCTTGTTGACTGCCCGGACATTTAGCTGCTGTGGGTGTATGTTTCATTGCCTGGCAACCTCTTTATTTGCGCACATGGAAATGTGGTCGCATATTGTTGTCCATACTACAATCAGGGGCCATAATCCAGGAAGTTATGGTCTGAAATGAGCGAATCGAGTGCGATATTTGGGATATATTTCAAGTTTCATCAAAATCGGATCAAAATTGTGACTTCTAGATAATCCACAACCTTGGTATTACATACTTTTACACTAATTTGCATACGAGAGGCATCCACTTTGTCCGGCAGTTTTGGGGAAAATTCAAACTCAACCAGTGATATTTTTTATATTGGATAAAAATTGTTACCTCTAAGAAGAACCATAAGCTTAAAAGCTGGTGTTTCGTACAATCAAGGACCATAATTCGGGAAGTTAGAATATCGAAAGGAATCAAGATCTTTGGGTTATAAACATGTATTTCAAGTTTATTAAAATTGATTACCATATTCTTACACTATTTGCCTACGAGGGCGGGTCAGCCATTTTATCTGACAGTTTTGGTCTGATTTTCACGAAATTCGAACTCACTGACGGGCAACGACAATATATGTCCACATGAAAATGTGGGCGTATAAAAATCTCGATTTGTAGAGTGTTCCACAACCAAATTGTGGACGACCACACACAACCTACAATATACCTTCACATGTAAATGTGGGTGTATAAAACATAATAAAGGAACTCGTAACAAATGAAGGTATGATTTTATATGAGATGACAAATGATATACAACATAAAAATTGGACACAAAACAGTACTAAATGATAACTTATATATCATAATATTATATATTGAATAGGGGACATTGTTGTCGGAAAATTACCATGTAATTAATTAATACCTTTCACTAACAAAAAGCTGACTGAAGAAGAAAATTTAAAAAATAAAATATTTTGTACACGATGTATCTTACAAAATTTGTTAAAACTGGTCACAATACAACTGCATGACATTAACAAAATCTTTCTTCCCAAAAGCAGAACAGCCTCATTGTTAGCACAATTTTGATTCGCAAATTAAAGTTGATACACAGACACATTATTTTTCACAATGATATTATTATGGAGCAATGGATCATTTTTAAACAAATAAAGATGGGATCAGAAACCGGACTATTAACTTTGATGATAATTTCATATAATGAGCTGACCAGCAGTGTCCCCTATAACCCCAGGACACCATATCCTTTATTATAACGACAGAAGGTGATTCCGAGACACAATGTATGACAAGTATAAGTGAAGGATGACGTTGGACATTACAAGATGAATGGACACATCTACAAGATGTGTGGCACCAAATGTACCAGGTTCCAGAATGTAGTCCTTGACACAAAAAAATCACTGGTTCCAAGTCACTTTTTAAACATTTTTATGTACACAATCCGCCCGTCTGCTGTTGAAATACGTCTATAGAATCGCCATCTTCCATGTCCATCTGAAATGAAAATAGAGATCTATCAATTAAATGCCAATTATGAAATAGGGTTTCTCCTCACCTGTGATGAAAATCTCCACATTTCTCAAGTACAACCAGGGTTGTAAAAATCCACTAGCCCGACGCCCAGGGCTACCAAAAATAACTTACGGGCTAGTGCCCTTTCACCGGTTTGTGAATTAAACTAGCGATGATATAGATAAATAAGCTGTAAAACATGCAACATTTATTTCTCAAATTCCAAGGAAAACTCAATCATAATAATAGGTTTTCTGTAGTAAAACTTAGAGCCGTATGAACATTTTTTGTACCCCTTCTATTCATTCATTCTTGACATTTCATTTCTCCATCTTGCACGCTTTGACAGGTCAGGTCACGTTGAAATCAGGTTGATTTAAAAACAAAAGACTCACTTATACTTTATATTAGATTAGTTCTGACATAAATATTTCAAAGCATACCTTTGTATTTTTAAATACAAGATAATTTTGATTATTTAACATGTCCCGTATTTCCAAAGAATTTACTACACGTGTTCAACACACACGCCATGATGAATGGTTCCAGTGACCCGTGTGTCATCAACTTTGACCCTATCGGCAAGCAGTGTGGCACTGGAGTGATAGCATAAACAATTTTACTATCCTGTCTATTTTAATTTTATATCAGCACATCAAACTGATTTGTTTCATTTTGAGACTCTTTATAGAGTGACCAGGCAAATAAATACGGTAAAACAATTAATTTGTCAATCAGTCGAGGCTATCTTGGGCTTTGCAGTAAGTGCTAATAATAACGTAACATATACAAATCTTCGAGCTGGAATTAAAGTACGTTAATTTACCGTGATATATTATAAATGACATGTGCTATATATGAAGTATTTATATGGTCTTTAGTGAAAGAAATCATTGTTGTGACTACCATTCCTGGTTTTGAAGGTCAGATATATGAAAACGAATATCGGATTGTAGTTTTTTGAACCGTTTCACCAGTGCAACCGAACCCTGACCAGTTAACTGAGTAGCGTATACATCCTTAATTATATACATCTTTATTAAAAACAATAGGTTGGCAGGAAACAAAACATATGCCAAAATATTGAAGATTAAATCTTGTAATTTGTCAAACTATGGACTAGTGGATATTAAAGCCGGGCTAGTGCCTGACAGTGGACTACTAGCCCTGGGCTAGTGGATTCAAAAAATTTTTTACGCCCCTGAGTACAACATTTGAAAATTATTCTGGCTTATTTGAAAAGAATATACAATGTAATAACACTTAAAATCTGTTGGAATTTCTAAATTAATGTGCATACTTAGAAATTAGTATGATTAAAAGGTGATTAATGACAGTAAGGCATAAACCTGGAACTGCACATAAAACAATTCAAATATAGTAGTGGTTCCACTCTCAGAAATAATTTCTATTTTGAGAGATTATTTTGTACCATGATTTATGTCTCCTTATTCCACTCTATCCCTATCAGTACCACGTGCCTTTTAATAGCCAGGTCTAAACACTTGGCGAAATTATAGCACCAGACATCAACTAATTCAATGAAATATTACAACTGTCCATTTCTGTCAAAGAGTTTAACTAGGCAAATGAAGACTTCAAAATCCCAGGAAGGTTCTTGGCCAATATCGAGATTGAACCCTGGATCTTTTGGTTAGTGATAGGCCCTGTACTCACAGAGGCAATATGTGTCCGGTAGTGAGGGCTGGGTATTATTTGTAATACTTAAACCCACTCTAGGATTGGCCTGCCCTGTGAAATCTAACAATCTATGTTATTTTTAACATACCGAGAGGGGTGTGTCATCATCATCCATAGGATTACCATCAAATCTGAATCTTACAGCACCAACTGTGATACCCTGGAAAATAATTATTATTGTACATTTTTATAGCACACAACTTACATGTCTACATGTAAGTGCTCATTACAAAGTATGGCAAAGAAATTAAATATACAAATAATATAAACTAAAATACAAATAAGACATACTTGTAACCATTTGAAATCAACTTAAAATCTTATAAAGTTCATAATCAAATCAATGTATTATCGAGAAAAATCTTTCTGCTGTTAAATAAAGTGTCTGAACACACCAATAAGAATTTCTCAATCTAATAACCTGAAGGATTTATCTGGTGTGTCAGTGACATCTGCCATATCTGGTTGTTACCTGTGGCCATGTCTAAATATAAGCCTACATAAAAGTATTTTGGCTTTTAGACTCCTGTCTAGTAAAATAACTGTTGTCAAAAGGATCTCTAACATTACATATTTGACAATCAAGGCCATAATGTGGCACACTACATTTTTTGTGGCACATTGAAGGATTCGCCATTTTGAACCATGCACATAGACCATAAATGGCAAGCTGATAATTGCTGTAATTAGCTACATTGTATCACTGTGCCTCAAGCATTAAATCAATACTTACAGCTCTGTTACAGTAGGCAGACATAAGTTTTCTGAGGGGGGTATTCTTTTTAATCTTAAAATGAACAACACTACCATCTTGACCTGTGACTTTCAGATTTATATGTTCGTTTCCGCACTTTTCATCGTTGACCTATAAATAGAATAAAGACAAAATAAACAACTTGTTAGCCATCAATCAAATTTAAGTCCACTTTTCTGTTTGTAGAGTTCAACGTCCACTTGCATGGAGGAGATATCGTAGACATGTTGTCTTATCTTAGTATTTTCAGCACAGGCATCTTTTATGCCGGGTGAAACCAGCTTACTACTAAATTTTGATAATCATGTGTTGCAATATAAACAAGTCACTATCATTGAGGACAATTTATACAGATTCATATGGAAGTAATTTATTCATGTGAATATAATAGGTAGGTCTATTATGGATTGAGTGGATCCTAAATAGATGAAAACTTGTCCATCTTTTAAAACTAATACATGTTTTGGGGTTTTTTTTATGTTCAAAACAAGAAGACTCAGTCAGACATTCATCAACATCTAGCACCCTTGGCTGTTTTGAAGGGTACATTGATACACAATCTCTGTTATTGGGGAGACAACAAAATACTAGTACAGAGGACTGTCTCTTCTGACATCATGTACGGGATCGATACAATATGCCGGATTATACATGTACAGCATGGCAGAATACTCAATTATCTCAACAATACCAGAAGTATAATTGTACTCAAATACCGGAAGTATTATTTCAATGCACCTTCGAATACCCAGAACTTAAAATATGATAAACCTTTCTGTAGATTCAAAATTTTATTACATAAAATTATTACATTTTTACTTCGGATGAGTACAAACCACTTTTGGGTCATTCTGCTGGTGTCTTCAAATTGTCTCTAAATGTCTGTTACATAATGATATTCAAATGGATCAAGAGTGAAAGGTAAGTTGCTGAAGTGATGAGTATTGAAGTAAGAAGTGGTACCGACATCCAATGTCAAATCCATACGGGCACGCTTTGCAGGACGATCACACATTATAAACACAATATCATAATGATAGTGATTCTTCATCTCGGCAATATGCTGCTGTATTTGACGTCAAAATGAAATACCAAGATCTCTCTTACGAGAGATTATAAAATTATCAAGGTAATCAACAAAGACGGGCACATGTTTTAAGCTCACAGATAATTGATTGACGATCGTTTGACGGTTAACACCCACAGATTGAAGGCTGGTCTCAAATCCGAGATTAAATTTCTTGATGAGTGCGCATGTGGTTAAAAATGATTGAATACTAAAACTAAGAATTCTAAAATTGACACGTAATGTATTATTCATTACATAATAAACCTTAAATCAATTTAACTCACTGTAAGGTGGAACTGCATGCTTTCTGATATGGTTGGGTTTTTGAACATAAAAATAGAACACAGCAACTCTCCAAAAGGTGCCCACACGTATCTTTGATCTGTTACATCATGGAATATACGGTTATATCGCGGGGTAATTCTGTTATTGAAACCCAACTGCATGAAAATTTAGTGAAATGCTGAAGCAATTTTAGTTTAAATATTATATCCTTTGTGTGTGAATTACTACTATTAGGCAAGCTGTGTAATATAAACATGAAAATTTCTAATTTTTTTTTCAATGTATATAGTTTGCTTTTTGTTATTAAATCATTGTAGTTAATTCTCGTTCGGCAGTCATTTTTATAAAAAAAATTGTTCTTTTCAATGTAATGTTTAAACAGACTGAGGTATATGGTTTATATGTTTCATATTCATGTAATTGAATTGTCAATGCGTAAGATTCGCCTTTTGTTATTAAATCATAATGCTCATTCGGCAGTCATTTTTATAAATTTTGCGCAGCCGTTGGGTTTGAATCAAATCGTTTAATTATGTTTCACCTTTATTTCAATTTCTTTCAAACACATTTAGGAAAACAAACTAATCTCGTGCATATTCTAATTATGGCTCGGCAGCCACTTTTATAAGTTTAGCGTAGCCGTTGGATTTGATCAAATTGTTTCACCTTTATTTCAATTTCTTTTAACTGATTTCAATAACATTGGAAACGGTACGAATTAATTTGAGGTATGAAGTGAGGTACGAATGAGCTAAGTTACTGCTAAGTACGAAACAGCCTGCACCCATGTATTTTCATTAAATTCATATTGCAGCTTAATAAGAACAGATAGGAGGAACATTCAGAGACCTTTGCGAAAGGAATTACAATTGTTCTATACAGGACAAAGGGCTTTATTTTCTTCAAGACTAGTTTCTAACACACAGAGGGCAGGACTAGGAGGCTCTCAAACAGTAAACTTCTGAGAAATGTTTCTGAATCAAATTATATATAGGCCTACTAATCAAAACTATGGGTGCACCCATGTATTTTCATTAAATTCATATTGCAGCTTAATAAGAACAGATAGGAGGAACATTCAGAGACCTTTGCGAAAGGAATTACAATTGTTCTATACAGGACAAAGGGCTTTATTTTCTTCAAGACTAGTTTCTAACACACAGAGGGCAGGACTAGGAGGCTCTCAAACAGTAAAACTTCTGAGAAATGTTTCTGAATCAAATTATATATAGGCCTACTAATCAAAACTATGGGTGTAAAATAAAGTTTTAATTTGAATAATTCTTAATTCTCAAGCAGAAACTTCAATTCATAAGTTTTTTCCTAACTCAGGTCAACAAATATGGCTTCTTGCACACATTCTTAGCCACTGAATCATTATTTACTCAGCCAACTCAACTCATTTTATGAGTTGAGTTTTGGGGCATCCATTTTACCGGCTATTTTTAGATTTTCAAATGAGATTTGACACTATCGTTAATAAGGATATACGGTTAAAGTCAGTTTGTTTCATTTAATCTTAGAAATTCATATAAAATATACACATATCTAACTCATTTGACATTTAATATATAAACTCGGGTCGTAAATTTACTCATTCTTGTCGGCTACTCAGTCTGCAGAGCAGACCCCGATTTTTTTTTTTTTTGTTCTCCAACTTCCGTTTACAGAAAACGCGTGTGATATTTAAAGGATCAAATTCACAGAATGAATAAAGCTCATGAAAGAAATAAAATTTGAAATGAATACAACATTTACAATAGAAGGTATAATAACAGTTTCCTAAAATCTTTACCTTTTTTTCGTCTGACATTGTGATGTTAGTTTCTTGAGACCGATGCAAACAACGAAAATGGCGCAAATGCACGGAACTGTGGGATAGGTGGCTTTTCCGACTGGATTATCCAGTCTGTGAGTTTCGTATGGTCACATGATATTCGAGAGCAAACCACTGATTGCTAAACATATAAGTGGAGCAAACCCATAGAGTTAACATTATATCACAGAGTTTACTCTGTGGTTATATATAGATCTATATGGAGCAAACTGGTACGGCCCGATTCTGATCAACCGCCGCAATACTGCCATTTTTTTTATTTCTGATACGCCTTCACATTAACATGGTTTTATCATTATGATATTATCCTCATCAACTTATTTGCCAATTTTCAATAAATTTGCAATCCTATTCTTTATCGTTCTTTTGGGTCCTCGTAAGTAGGCTACACATACATTAGTCGTTCGGATGGGACGAAATTGAATTTCTTCTAGAGTTATGACCCCCGCCCAACCCTGTTTTACGTTGTAGAACCACGTGAACGCTCTAACGACAAATCGAATTAATATGCATACTATAAATTAGTGACATATTATACCGCCTCTATATTTGCCAATCAGCTTCGCTTGAAGTGGCTAATAAAAATATAGTTATGGGGATTTTTAATTGACTACATTTAATGGTCCTAATATTCATATAAGATATTTTGAGATATTAGAAATTATATATTCTCCTTTTCTGATGGTTCGCATGGTGACATTATTAGGCTGCATATTAACGCTTTACTTGGTTTTTGAAATCTGCGTTTGGTCAAAATAAATAATCTTCGGGGCCCCGAAGGTGTAGGCTAACATCAGGGGCGGATCAAGAGGGGGGAGGGTCGACCCCCCCCCACCCCGCCCCCCTGCTCAGCTACATATTTTTTTTTTTGTAAATCAACACTTTTTATGAGAAAAGTTTCTCGGCCGTGCTTTATCCTTTATCGTCAGATGTGGGACAGGATGGGCACTCAAAGCACGAGATAATGATATAGACATTATGTGATATCACAATTAATGCTTTGCATCCATGAAATTGAATCACAATGTCATTGCATATATTCATAATAAAAATTGACATCAAACGAGGTGTTGAATTTCTCTGTTTAAAAAGCTCAATTTGTATGTATATACGCCAAAATGACGATAGAGACCATGCGGGAGGGGGGGGGGCAGATACATTGTCTCAGGAACCTGGCAAACCCCCTCCTCCAAAAATTCCTGGATCCGCCCCTGTGAATGGAACGGAAAACCAAGATCTCTTATACAGAATAAAATTTCCCGAGTGACTTTAAACCGACCCACTCTCCCCTATTGAACCCGAAAGGATGTTTCTACCTAGTAGCACGGACAATCTCATGCCAAGCCTAATAAAGTCTATTACGTTCGTGTTCAAATCCAGGGGCAAATAACTCGTCTAAAACTGATTACCTGTCAGTTGATACTATATTATCAAATCAGACGGTAAGAAACAGGGCCCATATGCATAAAACATCTAAAGTGCAAGAAATCCCCAAAAATCAAGAATTGCCCATAAAACCATCTGTAAGTAAATTCCTTATTCCAAGTCGTATGCCGTTATCAATTTAAGGGAAGGAAAATCCTCAAATTCTACCTTAAATCTAAGGCTGTTCAATATCTGTACACAAGTATGAGTGTTAGTGTCTGTTCATGACTGGATTAAATCAGTTGGTCCAGCGAACTTTACGTAGAGAATTAGCTTTTAGGAAGAGGCGTGTAGAAAAGGGACAGAGGGGGAGATGGCCCCGGGCATCAATTTCAATGGGGGTATCCAATCAGAGTGAAATAATTAAAATTACGTTGTTTGTTTTTTAAAACAAATTATCGCTATTAGCATTGGTGTACAAACTGCCCTACTTGATTTGAATAAAAATTTATATCTGTTTTTACATACTTGAAATGTCTTCGTTTCTCAGATTTCTCAGTACAAGGCCCCATGCTCGAGTCATGGTGGAATACAGCCAAGGAGTTGACCCCGGACATCACTAAACCTCTACACGCCACTGTTTTTAAGGCATTGATTGATGATAGAGAATGAATTCTGTTTATCACTGATTTGATTGCAAATGACATCCTCCGAAGAACTGAGAGAAACCATGCCGTCATTGCTTCAAGTATTTGTGGCTTTACGATTTAAATCTTGCTGTAGTTTCCAGCAAGTGATTGCAGAATCTTGGAATCCATCAGAGCACAGATTGTAGACTTTTACATAGTGTAACAGATGCACTTATGAGGAGGATAAACCAATTTATCAATTTCGCTAGAGAAGAAGAAGCACGTCGAGCACAATGATATTTCTACTAAATAGCTGGGTTTTCAAATATGGATGAAGATGGGACAGTGGATAGTACATTGTACCTATTCTGATATTTCCAGAAAATGAGCCTGATTTTATCCATAGGAAGAATTTGTACTCATGTGCAACAGCTAGACGATCTTCGCCAATGTAGTTGTCATGTGGACAGGGAGCACCCACAATTCAAGAATCCTCAAAGAAAGTGATATTGGTCGATAGTCTGAACTAAGAGAACATCGATCATGGTATAATCCTCGGTGACAGTGGTTACCCATGTAAATCATGGTTTCTAGTTCCTTATGTTACCCTGCAACTGGTACACAGAGGAGGTTTTGATTTTTAAGTAATGTTATAGCTGAACTTGCAACGCGATACAGCTATTGTACTTTTGGATGCCTTATACACCCTGACTTCTCGTGAGATGTCATTATGGGCGAAGTCAAAGCCTCAACGGTTATCTTCGCATTATAACTGCTTTCCCATTTAATGGGATTTTCCCTCAAGAAAACCTTTTGTAAAACTTACACCCATTGGTTAAACATACATTATGCAAGAGCTAAATCTGTCTATTGCAGGTCTTTCTTTAGGCCTGAAATGTTATCTAAATTATTAATTAGACATTAATTAACCTATCCAGACCATAATCAACTGTAGATGGCATCGCTAGCCGATTTACTGCATAACTTTACTTCACGATTTAACGATTAAATGGATAATCGAAACTATGCTGTTTATCGTACTGACTTAAGTAATGATGATCAAGGCTAGCCGGAAATTTCAACCGCTTAGTTCTGGGTTCATAGTGGATCAATTTGAATGAAATTTTCAGCAAATTGCCTTTAGATTATCTAGTTTTTAACTATTATAGTGAGAACTGCCAACTCGTTATCGAATCTCCCATAATGTATCTTTAAATCATGGACCGTATATAGACCTAATTGGAAGGTACTTTAAATGAAAGTGGGTTTAATGTCCTACTGTTCCGCTCCGACTGGGCTAATGGAGACAGGCATACACCATGCTAAGAGTGACACGTTGCCCAGACAGCGGCGCTGCTTACTATTATATCGAATTCCAACTCTCAAGGGATCTTTTATGTGCACGACAATGCGTACATGGGGCCTCGTGTTTTTGTACCACCCGAAAGACTAGAGAGCTGTGCTTGTCAGCCCCCCCCCCCCGTCCTGCACCACTGAAAAGAGGAAACCACGCTGGATGAACATTCACGGCCAACATTGGATATTAGAAGCCTATCTTTTCACGGTAAGATAACAACACCAATATGTATTTAATTTGACTAATAAGTCGTGTTTGCAGTGTTGAAGACTGTGAGTGATATTGACTCAGAGACTTGTCTCCTTTATTGGCTTTAAGTTGTTGTCAGCATACGACTTGGAACAAAGATAATGATTAATCCCTTAAGATATTAGCTTTTGAGTTTTAGGCCAGCCTCGACCATCATGGTCAGGATAAGTTAATTAATGTCTAATAATTTAGATAACATTTCAAGCCCAAAGAAAGGCCTGCAATAGGCAGATTTAGCTCTTGCAAAAAGTATGTTTAAGGGATTTCTTGCACTTAAGATGCTTTACGCATAAGGATTTAGAATTATGCTTCTTGTCTCTTTCTCTTAAATCATCCTATGTCTGCATTATGAAGCAGAAAGGCTGAAAGTTAAACCCCCATACTCAGTTGACAACCTATATTCATAAAATGGAGACAACTTCACAATATTCAGCTTACATGTAAAGAGTTTGTAGTAATTTATTTGGTTCGCTCCACATGGCTGCCCTTTCTTTTATCTCCATATCGTAAATGGAGGGGAGCGTGTTTGTGGGACTTTCACCCCTATATAACAGTATAAAATATTAAAGATGCTACTTATTTAACCATCAATTAAAGATACATTATGTAAGATTTAGATAAAGAGCTGGCCGTTCTTGCTATACTAGTTCAAACATAGATAATGCAAAATGAATATATTGAAACTTTAATTCAAATCATTTCATTCCCAGCGAAGTTATAACTGTTTGACGTTTTGACAAGATGTGGCGGTTTTATGAAACGCGTAAATATGAGCTTTTTTTATTGATTGTGGTGATGTAGCTGAAGAAATGGATTGTTACACTAAATATACGGTAATTAATAATGTCAAGAGTCCCGAATGGCTGCCATATTCCAAATTAGTATTTCATTTGGTTTTGTGGTTCTAATCTTTCATATACCCACATAGTCTAAATAAACACTTTTCAAAATTCTCGAAGTATAGTTAGTGTTGTCGACTAAAATCGTCGATTTAGGAATTGCCAGTGTAACTTTCGAATGAGCTTGCCCCAGTATTCAACTGAGAGTTCTACCCACTGGATCACCATCGGAAGTTCTACTTCTTCTGTTATGGCAAATGCTTTCGTTTTGTTTATATTGCTGATTTATGGGATATGACTCACCTTACATTGTCGCCTTTTATTGTATTATGTCTAATCTATGAAGGTGATGATCATTTACATCGGCTAAGTCAATTACTGAGTAGCCTAATCTGTATCATTGGTGTGCTTATGACTTTAGGCATTGCCCCTCTGTCCCCTCCGTGCACACAAAAACAACACCTCCCACCATTTACTGGAGTGTGCTAGTGCCATTACACGTCTTATTAGGACCTGTCATTGTTTTACTTTGACAAGGGGATAACTGATAGTTGGTTTCGCTTCGCACCAGTAGAGACTGAATATTTCTAATACCGGTGGGAGTGATTTTGCAAGATATAAAAGATACACCAACCAACC